TTCAGGACAAGAACAAAGACAAGAGCAGGCACGGGCACGGGCACAAGTGCAGGCCCTGGCAGAAATCGAAGCAGAAGCACGGGCTCTAGCACTGGTGCACGAGCATACGCGGGCATTGGCGGCAGCGGAGTCGGAAGCCGAGGCACGGGCGCAGGCGGCGGTCCTGAGACAGCTGCAGGCCTATGCAGAGACGGGGGCGGACGCACAGGCTCAGCAAGCAGAGGCGGCACGCATGGGGACACACGACCGGGCGCGGGCCCGGATGCAGTGGAAGGAGGAGCAAGACCAAGCGACGGTCGAGGCCCAGGCACGGCTGGCGGAACAGGAGGCCAACCCGAACCGGCAGGATCTCAGCCCTCGGCAGCTGCGACGGCGCCGGCCGCCCAACTACTTCTACCCGGTGAGCAGGGGCATATCCGAGGCGGCGTCGCTGTACGAGGCGCGGGCGGAGGCGCTGGGAGAGGTGGTTGAGGATTCCCTGCTGGCGGCGGACCGGGGCTCTGACGGGGAGGAGGGCGGGGAGGTGTTTATCAGACACGGGCTGGTGCACGACGGGGACATGACGGACCCGCCGCGGCTGACGCAGCTGAACCTGAGCGTGAACATGCTGATGCTGGGCCAGATCACGGAGGACGAGTGGGCGCTTGCACGCCGGGAGGAGAACCAGCGGGCGCGGGCGCGGGAGGTGGTGCTGGGGAATGTGCTGCGGGGGGTGAGGAGGCGGTTTGACGGGTGGAGGAGGCTGGTGGAGTGGTTGAGGGGGGTGGGGGAAGCGCTGGAGGGGTTTGAGATGGAGTATGACGAGGGGGTTGAAGGGGAAGAAAAGGGGGACCTTGCAGGGGTTGAAGGGGAAGAAAAGGGGGACCTTGCAGGGGTTGAAGAGGAAGAAAAGGGGGACCTTGCAGGGTTTGAAGATGATATTGAGACTGATGAGTGAAGTCATGTATTGTTAGTCTATGGAAGACAAGAATGTACAAGAAGGACTTTTCAGTAGTAGAAGAGTAGAAGTAGAAGAGTAGAAGAGCTAGTGGGTGAGGAGGTCGTGCACGCTCATGCCCATCTTGCGCCGGGCGTCGGGCCATATGGTGGGCGAGGGCAGGGTGTTGGAGTGTCTGCGGTCGTTGTTGAGCATGAGGAGGGCGGCGGTGGCCTCGCGGTCCATGTCGGTGTCCTGGACGGCGACCTCGTCGGAGGAGGGGACGAGCAGCGGGGAGGTGGTGGTCGAGGTGGACATGCTGTACGACCTGGTGGAGGCGTTGCTGGTGGTGCTGGTGGTAGGGCGCAGGGCGGGCGAGGGCAGGACCATGGGGATGATGTCGAAGGAGGCACGTGACGAGCACTCTCTGGCGCTCTGGGCGGGCGAGGGGATGGCGGAGGCGCAGAGCGGGTCGAGGTCGGGCGAGACGGAGTAGCTGCTGGTGCCGTCGAGCGGGACGGACGGCTGCCACGCGGGCGAGGTGGGCGTCTCGTCCCGCCGCGCCTTGAGGTCCTTGACGCAGCTCTCCAGGTAGTTGACGTACTCGATGCTGGCCTGTTCTCGTTAGCATATATATATGTGTATGGTGTATGGATATACCTGGAGGATGGCGAGCTTGTGCATCTCGTGTCCGCGGCAGGCGGGGATCATGTCCTTGAGCGTGGCGAACTCCTGGTTCATCTTGGAGCGCCGCCGCCGCTCGATGAGGGAGTGTGCGGTGCGTCTGGCGATCTTGCGTCCGGCCGCGGTCGCCGCGCTGGCCTTCTTCCTCCCGCTGCCGGCGGCCTGCTCGGCGTCGTCGTCGTCGCCCTGCCGGGTCTTGGGCTTGACCTGGATGATCTTGCGGGTGCGCGTGGGCGGCGGCGGCAGGCTGAACTCCGGCTGTCTCTTGCGTCGCCGCCCGTCGTCCTCCTGGCCGGCAGTCGTGGCAGCGCCGTGGATGGCTGCGGGCGGGAGCGAGAAGTAGAGGTCGTCTGCGCTCTTGTCCATGGCGGCGATGTCGGTGGACGATGCCGGCGTCAGAGGCAGGCGTGGCCTGGGCATCTCTATGTAGAAGTGGTAGAGTGGTAGAGTGGTAGAGTAGAAGAGAAGTGGAAGTGGTAGAGTGGTAGAAGTGGTAGAGTAGAAGAGAAGAGAAGTGGTAGAGTAAGAAAAGGTCGATCCTGTTCGTCTGCTCGACTCGCGTGTTGCCAACGGTTGGCTGGCAGCGGCCGGAGCAGAAGCCACCACATGGACGCGGGGGGGGCTCCCATTGGCCGGTCGCCAGCACCAGGCACGTGTCGTCTTCTGCCTCTTCGGGCTAGTCTGGCTAGTCTGGCTTAGTCATGTGCTTACTCTTTTACTTTGCTTGTTTGCATGTTTGTCTCTCTCTACTACATGGTACCTCCTCTTCTTCTCTTCTACTTCCCACTTCTACCACTCTTTGCATGTTTGCTGTCTGCATAGTTTGCATGTTTGCTGTCTGCATAGTTTGCATGTTTGCATGTTTGTCTCTCTCCTCTTCTACAGGCCAGAAATGAGCAATCACCTACACCAGTACATGCAGGTAAGTATATAGGCGGGTTACAATAACTAATAACTCAACCAGATGCTCAGTTGTAATGAAACAGGGCTTAAATAAGAGAGGAGAGGTATAGTAATACATAGTAATAAGAGACAGCGAAAAAAAGGGATCGAAGGACTCATCCGGTATTACTTCCCAGGCTTCTTGAATAGCCTCAAATAAAGCATCTTTCGTTGCTTCAGCATCCTTTGGTAGTGATAGGATATCTGGGTATCTTATATATACGGGTTCCTTGGGTTTTTTCCGGACATATTCGATTAAGATCCGGGGAATGGGGTGGCCAGGATATCGTAGTTATTCCATGAGCCTATATCCAATCTGATACCCGGTGGGCAGTTCTGGCCGGAGGTCGCGTTTCTGGATAGTGTTGGCCACTATAGTGTAAGGAATGCTCAAGCGAGCACTAATTTTGATAAGCCCCCATCATAAAGACCATAAATTAAGCCCCGGGTATGGCTAGAGAGCTCCTTTCTCCTTCGATTGCTATTAATTTCAGCTGCTGCACCACCGCTCTACCACTACTTCTCTAACCGCGCCAGGAGATCCTCGCTTAGTAAGCCGGGTCCCTCTTCCAGCACGCCCACCCGGTTTGCCCCGACCCTCCACCAGCCGCGGTCGTCCTCCCGGGCCTCCGCTTCTTCTGCTTCCGCCGTGTCCATCTCCGCCCTGACCCGCCTGTCCACCACCGTCATCCCCCGCGTCCACTGCCCCCGCGTCTCGACCCTGACGTCGCGCTCGCTCCACCGCCACCCCCCGCCCGTCAGCACGTACCACACGCACACCGGGTCGTGCAGGCTCATCTCCTCCTCCCCCTCCACCGCCTCCCTCCCCTGCCGCGCCAGACGCAGCGCCCGGATCGTGTCGAACGTGTGCTCCACCACCGTCGACACCAGCTCCGCCACCGGCGAGCCGGCGGATAGCCGTGGCTGTATCGCCGCGCGGAACGCAGAGGGCGTGAAGTTGTGCCTGTGCGTCAGGTCCAGCGGCGCCATCTTCAGCGTCAGCGGCCGGTCCAGGCGTCCGGGCGGGCACGGCAGCGTCGGCGAGGCCGCCGAGCTCAGTCGCGGCCGGCTCGACGTCAGCGCAAGCACCCGTGCGGCGGCCACCGGGTCGGCAAACACGTTGAACTCCGCAAACGGCGTTACCTGTCAGTACTCAATGTGTAAGTGATGTAGTGATATAATATAGTAAGTGATGAGGATGTAGTAGTGATAGTGACGCACGTTGCCTGGCTCGTCGATGGCGCCGCCCATGATGACCACCTCCTTGGCCCGCAGGAAGGCGTCCAGGTCCTCCGCCGCGGCCAGCGCGAGGTTGGTCAGCGGCCCCACGGCCACGATCGTGATGGTCCCTGCGTCGTTCTCGCGCAGCAGGCGCAGCATCTCCCGGTGCGCCAGCTCGCGGGACGGCGTGTACAGCCTGTCCCCTCCCTGCTCGCCCGCCGCCTCCAGCTCCCGCACGCTTGCCGCCGTTCCGTCCGCGGAGCCTGGGGCAAACAGCGCCTCGTAGGACTCTTCCGCCGACAGGTGCGGGCACTGCTCGTCAGCATGTATCTATAGTTATAGCTGGCGGGCTACCGGGCCAGTACCTTGGTGTGGACGTTGCCTAGTCCGTCAAAGCCGTGGAAGTACCCTGCGTCCACCGGCTCGCTGTCCAGCGCCCTGTCCGCACCACACGCGACGATAGGCTTGCATGCCCGCAGCGCCTCGAAGCCGGGCGCGAGTCCTCGCTCGCGGCGCCACGCAAGCTCCTTTTCAACCACGTGGAACACAGACACCGCGTTGCGTAGACATCTGCTCGTCCCTCGTTAGCATGGCATTACGTATAATGGCTCTCTACTTCCTTTCTGATTTCGATGTTGCCGAACGTCAGCGAGACGAGCAGCACCTGTAGCTCCTCTGCGGAGGAAGAGAAGGCTAGCAGTAGCGCGAGGATGTCGTCGACTCCCTGGTCACGTTAGCCCGTGTCCTAGTCGTGCATGCGCGTGGGCAGAGGGACGTACCGGGTCGGTGTCGATGATGATGCGTTTCGGCATGGTCGTTGTTGTAGTTATGTGGGTGTATGAGGATGTATGGATGTATGAGGATGTATGGATGTATGGATGTATGAGGATGTATGGATGTATGGATGTATGAGGATGGATGTATAAGGATGTATGAATGACTTATATATGACTTATATACTAGCTGCCGGGTTACTAACTGGACCCACCTATCGGACGCACGGAGGTGCCGTCCTGATATCTCTCTCTTATAAGTATATGGTCTACATGTGTATGTACGATGTATGCTTATTTGGGTAGTACATGCGGCTCAAGGCCAAGATGAAGTTAATAGCCGACGCGCTTATGTCATCTTCTATTCACATCTACTTACATGGTGCTGCACAGTGAACTACACATGGTGGAAGATACCCCAGTCAGTCTCTGATGACTCTTTCACCACCGTTCACTGCCCTTCCGTCAAATCTGTGAAGATGGATGTATGCACTGACTGGACTATATATTCTGCCTCCTCCCTCTTTTCCTTTTTCCCTTCTTTTCTTCATACCATGCCTTGCTTGATCTTGGCCTTGACACCTGATCTACCCAACATGGAAAGAGACTGCGTTCGAGTGAACCCGCACTTCCTCCTAGGCGGATCCCCCGAGACATCAGCAGCCGTACAGACGGTCGCCCGCCCCCTCTCTCACGCCCTCTTCTCCTCAAAGAAGATCCGGCTCTTCGGGCCCCTAGGCGCAGCCATCCCCCTTCGCGAACTCACCATCGGCCCAGGAGACCATCTCCCGGCCGGCAACGGTCCCAACGCACAAGCAAACCAACTTCAAAACCAACTGCCCTGGCTCCCTGGCCACGGCGCCACCACCTTCTACACTCCGTACATCCCCGAGGATCTATCGGCAATCCAGCTTGAAATCATACTCCAGTTCCACCGCTTCGTACATGGGTATCCCGTCCCCTTTATCGATCAGCATCTCGTCCCTCGCATTTTGACGGTACATGACCAAGTGCCGACACCATCCACAGCGTTTGACGAGACTGCTCGGCGATATACCTACCAGGGCTGGACACGCGCTCACTTCGTCGACTTCTTCAATGAGTATTGTGCCGGTAAGGTCACTGCCTGTGTGCTTATGGGTGACATGGGGCTTGATGTGGGTGAGTGGATGAATACGCTGCCGCCTGCTGGCATGCGGTGCGAAGACTGGGCGCAGATGTTGCGGGAGATAGGGAGTTTGGATAACATTGTTACGGACGAGGAGATGGGGGATGTGTTCGTTGGAGTGGGGGAGTATGCTGATTTGCGCGAGCGGGAGGTTAGAGCTCTGGTTGAAGGCAGGATGGTGAGAGAGACTAGGGCTGGGCGGCGGAGAGTTCGCAAGGGGGAAGAAGAAGATGATCATGAAGTATAAGGTTGGCCGGTGGAGGGCCGGAAAAGGGCCGAAGGTGGTTGAGTTGCGGGCTCAGTGGCTCTTGGGTTGGCTTGGCTTCTATGGTTTTGGTCTTCGGATTGGCAATTTTGGGTAGACTAAATATCTTTTCTTAACTTGCTGGTTGCTGGTACCTTGCTTGATCTTCGAGCGGCTCTGTCGAGAAAATTCATTCATAGATCGTATGCTAAGGTACTGGCAATGGATTATGCATAGATGTATATATCATCCAGCAAAATGGCCCCTTGGACCCGGCAAGATCCAGCCAGACACTGCCGGCCCGCCGTTAGGACGCGCCGACTGGCCCAGAGGTAGCTGCAACGAAGAACCAACCAGCCGGTTCTCCCCGTACTTAAACGTAAGTATGGGCGTGGCCGACTCCACGCGGCCCTTGAAATCGTCCAAGAGGCTACGGACACCCCATCTCCGACTGGCAACTTCAAGAATGGACTGCGTCTTGGCCAGGGCTTCCAATGCCCTAGCTGTAGGGTTTATCCGTTTAGATCGGTCTATGTACGGCGGTAATGGTGTCTCAGAAGTGCCTGACGTCGAAGCAGGCTGCATCAGCCGCTCCGGAAGTGTCTCGCTGAGGACTTCGTTATGGTAGTGGTTGATGATGACGATCAGTATGCATGCAACAGTGTATACGCGTTCAAAGTCAATGTACGTCACTGGCAAGCAAGTAGCAGATGAGTTCAGGAACGTATGGAAGTTAGCGAGGAAGTCAATAGTGTATTCGAAGAGAACTATTCGGTTGATTTCGCTTATTACGGGGTCTCGTTTGGATGGCGAGAGCACTAGGATGCAGGTGTATAGTAGTTCAAGGTGGTATAGTGGTATTAGGTGTGGGGGTAGGTCTGCCCGAGCCGTCTCAAACCAGTCCATGAGAACGGCGCAGCGTCTCCAAGAGACGATCTCGGCATCGGGCAGGACTTCCCTCCCGTTGAAATATAGGTCTTGGTAGAAAGCGGATTGCTGCCGTCGGACTTCAAAAAGTCGCGTGGCTGCTTTGATGTTTTTCGGGGATATGGCATCCCCTAGATTTATCGTGTTAGAAGATACTATGGGTGGGAGAGGAACGTTGACAGAGTCGTCGGAAAATGAATACGCTCGTCCCAACGCTCCGCTAACAAACCTAGACTTGAATTAGTTTGTAAACGTTAAAAGTCCGACAGTAGCTACGTACCTATCAATAGAGTAAAGACAGTGGAATGTCTTTCTGGACTGGTTCAAAACCGCACCGTCCATGTTTATTATCGACCGTTGTTCTTGATGTATCCCCAGATCAGTGGCTACCCGTGCAGCCATGCCTATCAGATACCATGTCTTAAAGTACTTGGGCGCAAACATGGAGAATTGCGTCAACAGGAGAATAGATTGTATACCGGCAAGTGACCCCGGATGTAATACGTCCTCGGCATACTTTAATGCACCATAGACATGGCACAGCGCGGCTTCGCACTCTGCATCTCCATGAGTACGTGACTTCATCGCCAAGGAAATTGCCAACACCATTCGCAGAGACCAGTGGTCAAAGCTTGTTGAGAACCTGCCGCCATCCTGGTATATATTATCCAACGAAGCCCAGAACTTGGTCTCCGTGAGAAACGGCATCAAGACATAGAGGTTGTCAAAGTAGTACTGCACGAGGCCTATAGCTTCCGCTCTGGTTGGGTACTCGGTCGGCGGGCATGGCGGTACCGAAGATGTCCCCTTTGCCACGGTCAGGAGGAGTCCTGCAAAGGATGTTGAAGATGTGATCCCATAAAAATCTCGAGATGTAGCGTTGACCGACCTATACCGGGAGCGACATTAGACAACCTACAGTGCCACACAAGGTCCTAGGTATACCGACAAAAATCCAAAATCACCAACTAAATCATCGATATCAGATGTTTCTTTGCCGTACATTGCTGCACTTGTAGTCCCCGATGCATCTGGCGAGTCTTCTGGCTGAGCGCCTCGAATCGCTGCTAGTCTTCTCTTCAAACGCTCACACTGAGCTTCCAGAGCAGCAACATAGCTTCGTTCTTTTCCCTTTGCAAACTCATCTGTAGCTCCAGAGCAGGTTTGCGCTTTGCCCGCCCGCTCGCAGGCTGAACAAGCCGGTAGTTTGCCATCACATTTGACCTTGGACGACCGGCACCTGGAGCAGGCTGCAATCGGGCGGCTAACTTTCAACAACGGATCGTCTAAGAGGGCCGTATATATCGCATCCATCGCGTTGTCGGTCGTATAGGGCTGTATATTTTTGATTCCTCGAGCCGCGGCTGGTTACCACCACATACTCGAGTGAAGGCTGCACGGTTGAGATTCAATGCGGGGGGGTCATGATGGGGTGAATATCATGCAGTGTCCATCTATACTGCAAACTCCAGCTTCCACGCATGCCACCAACCGGTAGCACATACACCAGCTGTCAAAAGGCCGCGCATCAAGCATCAACATGAAGCTGGTGGAGAAACATCTCAAAGTATGAGATGAAGTTGCTTCTCTGATTATGTCATAGTTCTTAGTAATAAGGTTCAAACTGAAAAAAAGAAACACCCGAAAAGAATAATATTACAAAAAGTTTGGTCTCTGGTTTATCATAAGTTGTACCATCCTTCTACTATTTGTCGTCTCAGGTTATACAGTGATAAGTGTTAAATCACAGAAGAAGAAGAGGAAGGAAAAAGGAAAATCACGAGTTACTCGTAATCCTCAAGCAAAAGACGCCCTTGCGGTGGAACACTGGCGATATTATACCAATTAATCACCTCAAACTTCCCACCCTCGAGCTCTATGCGCGAATGCTTGAGCAAAGCGAGAACCCAACTTTTGATTTCTGTGAAAGGTTAGCACAGTAATTTTTGCATTTTCCTCCAAAGGGCTCTTACCCATTATACCGAGGAACCGGCCCGGACAGGACCATCGCCCAAGCCCAAAGGCCATATACCCCGGCCCTGCTGTGGCAGCAGACTTCCCCGTTCCAAGCCATCGCATGGGCTTGAACTCGTTGGGATCCTCAAGGAACTCGGGTGATCTATTCGATAAGTACGCCACCGGGAATATCAGAAAGCCTGGCGACCTCTTGTTAGAAATATACCCAGTGATCGAACCAGATACTAAAGCTGTGAACATACCCTTGGGAATTCTATAACCGGCCATTTCGACCTCTTTAACAGTAAGTCTGGCGACATTAATCGTGTCTCCTTTCATTCGCAGGACTTCACGAATGAAAGAATCAGTAACAACTGCTTTTGCCATATCAGAAGAATCAAACGTGGTGCCCTCCTGGCTGCTCATAATAGAGGAAATTTCACTATGAATAGCTTTCTGGCTCTCGGGGTGGAGCGCTAGGTAATATGTAATCCAAATAATTGTGGCAACTCTAAGATATAATGAGTCGTCTGAAAATGAGACACAGGAATGTCCGGAGGTATACTAACGTTTGGTGGACACTGACGAATGCAATGGTAATTATTAACACAATAATCCATATCCTCGATGCAATGGGCACATAACCATTCTTAGATGCATATCGACGAATAAGGTACTCCACGATCGTTTCATCCTATTATAGAGACGGTCAGAAGAATGTCGCCTAACTGCAATTCAATAACATACTTTGGTATCACAAGGGGTTTGTTTGGCAGAGATATCCGTCCATAATTCTCCGGCAAATTTCCGTCCAAAATCCCACGGGATTCGAATCAGCATAATTCTAATCCTACGGTTCATCAATATATTTCCTGCTTCCAATATGCAGGAACGCGCCTTACCAAGTGTAAATTTGCCACAGGAGAGGCAATTTTCGTGCACAAAACGGTTTATTAGGGACCAATCCCATTAGCTCTGAGATATCTCTGGAGAGCGCGATGACACTCTTCGAATATTCTGGGTTGACATATTTCTAGAAAATTTGTCTCATCAGATATATCCCCGAAGCGCAGCCTGTGTCTATATTCATGCTTACCTGACCTAGAAAGATGGTAATTGTTACTTCGGCGAGGGTGGAATGCAATATTGGCTTGATATCAGTAGGTTTTTTATGGCGTGCGGCCGCGGCTACCTCTGAAACAGCACGCTCGAAAATTGGCCATACTATTCTCGACAGATATTAGTACTGCGGAAGACGAGCATATACTCCTAGTGCCTACCTTTAGGAATCACTTGGTTCAAACGTCGGCCCGAGAAATCTCTTGCGATGGTATCCAGGTCACGAAAGAAAGAACCTTCATGGAGGTTGATCAGCCAGTTAATACCCAAAACCTATATGCATCTTGTTACCAGGCGGCTATCAAAAAATATTATCAAAGAAGAGGTACCTTTGCCATTCCATTTTCAAAACTGAATGTCTTATCTTCCGTTAGGATTCGTCGCGCATATTGATCTGAAACAAGCATCTCTTTCTACACGGAAAAATTATTATTATTGAACAAGCTGGCATATGGTATCTCACATATCAATGCCCTTACATTGCCGTTCCGTTTGACCATAATAACTGGACCATGTTCACGCAGGCCTTTAGACATTGACTCTATGGGCGAATGGAGAAGTTCGTGGTCCTTGGTAGACAAAAGAGTCAGGAGTTATAAACAAATATTTTCTTCAGCGCTTGCATCTGCCGTTGCCAGACCTACCGTGATAGGGACAAAAGGAGGGAGAGGGAGTTTAGATGCATTCTATAGTCTTAGCCATTCGGCCTTTGGTTAACAGTGTCTCTATCAAGGTCCGGATGGGCACAACCTTCATGTGAGTAGTGAGCTTCCATAGCATCCAAGAGGCTATGAAAAACAGCCCGCCTACAACAGCGAATTCAGTCCTGAATATAGCCATAGCGGTTCAAGGGCAAGGCTTCTGGGTAGGTGTCCAAAATCTGGTATCGATCGAAATCTATTCAAAAGACATACGCCTAATGAATTGTTCTAGGGAGTCGGCCGTATATATGCCTAGATCGCTAAACAGACTTTCGAGGTCTAAGCTTTGGCGCCGTTTCTTTTAGTTAATCGCCGCATGCATCAAAACCGTGCCGATGCAACTTTAATTTTTGGGTTGATGAATTTCTATACTCGGATATTGAGTTCTTTTCCAACTTCTTTGTGCATTGTTCGTGAGGTTTTATTGGTATGGATGCACCGTAAACACCGGTCGATATATTGACTAAAATGCTAGCGTCTAGAAGTGATAAACGCAGCCATTGTCACTATTGCAAAAGAGTGATTTCTTTGTCTGGGCGCCCCCAAAAAATTATATCCCTCACCTCATACAGTAGGGGATAGGAGCGCATAAAAACCCTCGCGTTTCACGGCATATTTACGCCATGGATATATCACTTGTCTTTTCATTGATCCTCAATCCATCATGCTTAACTTCTCGACTTTGATAGACGTCCAGCGCACTCAATTATATCTGGAAGAAATGTTTTCAAACGGATTCCGTTTGTTCACAGAAATTTACCATCAAATACGCACCCATCTACTTGATGCTCAGTCTATACCTAGACAGGGCTGTGCACTCTTTATTTTGACGCTGTAAGGCCAGACTGAAACTTGATTACATCTCCTACTGATGGCTATGATAGTGTAGGCCATATATCTCTATTTGCTATTCTGTCAACCATTTGGTATATCCGGTCTTTCGATCAAAATTTACGGATAGATAGACGGTTCCGCAAAGCACAGATCAGACATGAGATCCTCGAGTCCCTGCTTGGTATAATTGGCATTGGGCTAGCCAATACCCTCTTCGGTATGCTTCATATAAATGGGTATTCACGTCTATATCTTTCCATGAAAGATGGTCCAGGAACATGGTATGAGATTCTCCAATACCCCCTCGCGATGTTCCTCATAGAAACGGGAGTCTACTGGCTGCATCGGATGTTCCACCTTCCACTACTATATTCATACACACATAAAAGCCATCATCGGTAAGATTTCTCCCCACAAGCAATGTCAATGGTTCGAAGTAGAGATGCTAAATATAGGTGGAGGTTCATCATCTCAACGCCTTTTTCTGCCTTCGCATTCCACCCCTTGGAAGCCTTCATTATGAGCTTTCCCAACCTGGGTGTCCCTTTCCTCATTCCCATGTCAATAACATCGTATCTTCTACTTTTACTATGCAGTACTGTGGAGACCATTCTGAGCCGTATGTTTACCGCAGCCCCGTTTCTTTTGTACAGGAAGGTTGCTAATGGAACATATGCTCCGTAGACGATAGTAGGAAGGGTTTTCACACGGTACATCATCTCAACCCAAAGGCCAATTTCGGACAGATGCTTACGATCTGGGACGTACTCATGGGCACTTATCAAAACCCACTGGGCCATTTCCGGACAGGTTCTGCGAATCCCTTAAGGATATCGCGAAAGGGCCATAAATAAGCTCCAATAACATGTTATGACCATAAATGGCATGATGATGGTGCTAATTGACTGTTAGCATAAGCGGTGTTGGCGGAAAGGAGGCGGGAATGGGTTATTTATAGCCAACTAACGGCGTTCAAAGGCTTAGAGGCTATGTGATTTACTGTTATATATGTATGAAAAGGATGCTGAGCTAGGAGTCTCTACTATATATCTGGTGCTCTTTATGTTCATCATCCTTGCATGGTAATTACTCTAAGTGGTAGTGTATTTATTTAATTAATACTTTAGAGGAAAAGGTGAATAAAGATTATCATCCACATCTTGATCCACCACGCAACATATCAAATATCTCCTTATAGACTCCATATTGGAGATTTCCTAGAATACGTGAGTAATGTATTTTAGAGCTAGTATTTCAGTTTAATATACTATATAGTTACTAACTCCATAAAAATTAGTCCTGAAACAACTGAAGGCTTGGTATGATCTGCAGCAAGACGATCATAGCAGCTACCCCCTGAGATACAGCTAAACCCAGGCCAATACTGTTGCTGTTGCGTGCAGAGTACGGAGTATACAGAGCCTTGGACGAGCAGATGAGGAACTTATAATCAGCATATATGTTCATGTTGATGACAATCAGGCTCATGTTGCTGCAGCTTGTTTGCCAGTTCCACAGCCGCTATCAAAGTCGCTCGGATTGATCAACTTCTGCAGCATCCAGAAAAACAACAACCCTGCAAAAGCCTCTATCGGGATTTGGTTTCGGTCATGGCGCAAGTACCGATATCTCGAACCTGCGTTTATCTGGCCAGATGGTTTTGACTCGCCATTCGATAATGCTCGTCAGTCTTCAGTATCATTCCCGGAATCTGTTTCCGGGTAGATTGATGGCCATCATTGGACAACCCAGCGTTTCATCCCTTCAGGTTCAAAGTGCCGTGAGGGAATGACAGCAGATCGCTATCCTGCAGCTGCCACCCTATGGCGGCGAGGGTCCGCGGGTGGCTTGAATCCATCCCTGTACCCGCAGGTTATATATATTCGAGCATTGCTGCCCTCCCTGACAAGCAGCAGCTCCAAAGAAACAAGTGTACAGGACCAGAAACCATAGTCAAAATGAAGTTGTGCAGCCCGACATTGGTTACCCTCTATGCTCTAGGCATCGGAGCAACGTCTGCTCAGGCAGCCCCAGATTCTAATAGCACATGGCCTGTACAATCGTTCAATAGTACCGACATTCGTGCCTCTATTGTTGAATCCTCCAAGACTGGCGAGACTGAGCTAGGATACATATTTCTTACTCCCTGGAACGGCCATCGTAGTGGTCATCCCTCGATTTACCAAGATGATGGCCAGCTCGTCTGGCAAGGCCCAGAGGGAACCATCTACGGTTTTCGCCCACAGAAGCTGCATGGGAACCCTATGCTTGTTTACTGGGAGGGCCAATTCACGGGTACGGGGTATGGTCACGGTGCCATCAATCTCCGCAACAGCTCCTACGACTTAGTACACAAGATCACCCTGTCCGGCGAATATTTTAACACAGGTCTCGATCAGGAGGTTGAATCCCATATCGATTACCACGAGGGAATCGTTGAAAATGACAAGGGATCCATTCTCGTGGCTGCGGTTAATATCACCCAAGCTGATCTTCAATCCGTGGGAGGCCCAAAGGATGGCTGGGTCGTTGATGGTTTGATCTATGACATTGATATTGCAACAAACAAGGTCCTCTTTCGCTGGAGTGCCGTGGAGCATATTGACCAAATTCCATTCAAACTGTCCCAACGCCCGCTTGCCGGTACGGGGACATCTGAGAAAAACCCATGGGATTTCTTCCGCACTTCATCCACCGTCAGGTATGGGGATGATTACCTTATCTCATGGGACTATGGATGCAGTATACTACATGTTGCTCGCAACGGAACAGTTTCCTGGAACCTTAATGTAAGTGGATCTATTCTTTCCTATTATTATAAATATTCTTAATCTCATAAATCTCTGCTCTCCTTAATATGATGGCTAACCTTCAACGCTTTCTAGGGTATAAATGGTGGTGACTTCAAATTGGGACTGAATTCGAACTTTTGCTTCCAATACGGCTTCCGCCTCAATGAACAATCAGAGGAAAAACTCAGTGTCTCCATGCACAACAACGATAACTCAGAATTCAGCAATGGAAGAAACCCATCAACCGGACTTGTCTTAGACATTGACCTCCAGAAGAAGGAAGTCATCGGAAAGCGAAGGCTGTGGAATAGAGAGAATCCCGTCGTCTCTAGAGATCTAGGAAGTTTCCAGTCGCTGCCAAATGGACATGCATTGGTGCATCATGGACAAATCCCACTCATTGAAGAATATAACCAGGATGATAAACTTGTTATGCAAATCCGCTACGGACATGATTTAGTGGATGCGTCCTATCGAGTGCATCGGGTTGCTTGGACTGGAATGCCGAGCGCGAAACCAAGTGTCAAGGCATGCCGCAAGACGGATAAGGATATAGTTGTGTTTGTGAGCTGGAATGGAGCCACAGATGTGAAGTCATGGAAATTGTCTGAATATTCGGACGACAGAAAAGTAAATGAAATAAAAAATGAGCCTTGGGGTGGGTTTGAGACGATGATACAGGCGCAAACCACCAGCAAAAAGGTTCTAGTTTCTGCAGTTGGAGGGCCTGGCAATGGAGTGCAATCTGATCCTATCGCAATTGGTGAGTGTTAAAAGATGATGAGGGTACACGGAGGGGATAATGCCATTAATGTTCACTTATACTCCGAAGGATCCGCTATTTAGTAGCTTAATTCTATAGACAATATGGTCAGAACCAGTAAATAAGATAATGTTAACGACATTTATTTGGCATTCCGGATTGAATAAAATAAAAGGAGATAAGCTACTTAGATCTGTCACAAGATACCTATCCTTTCCAAAGTCCATCCCAAATGCTCCTTTTACAGAGCCACTTACCCCATCAAATATAGGACCTTCAAATCTCTATACCCTATAATACATAGAACTGGAGTGATGATTATCCAACTTTAATGTCAGCTCGACTGTTTCAAGGAAGGTTCATGGGCTACTACCTAAGTGGTTTGTCGGTGAACCATTGCTCTTGGAGCAACTTCGTAGCTGTAGCTCTGTCCTTAAGCATCCGCATTAATGTGTGCTAAAGAAGCCGTAACGCCTTTCTTTATTCTCTCGCTCTAGGCGAGTTTCCAGGGACTTTCATTGTAAGTAATTGGTATAGATACCTAATATCTTGAGCCCAGTCGGAAGTAACCGTCGCTCTTCAGGAACCATTCGGGCGACGGTTTGGCAGAGTCAAGTTTAAAGTGATATATGAAGCGAGAACCGTCCATAACAAACGCAAACTTATCCTAGGATGCTATGAGAGATAAGAGTTTGCATGGTAGGTAATTGAACAGCATCAAACAATTCCACTCATGCATTCGCCAGTTATATTCCGTTTCGATGTTTCAATCAAAAGGACATTGCAACATTAAGTTCCTTTCATATAGGACATTATCGTGTCTGTAAATGAAGAACTTTGGCTTTAGTTTTTGCCAATGAGTCGGCGGGTTATCTGCCTGCTTTTATCGCTACTCCGTAGTTAGTTAATCAGAGGAGGTTCTCTAGAGAATTGGCCGGCAACATCGAAGCTGCACTGGACTTTTCCCTATCGGATGGACGCTTTAAACACTGTAGCGGATCTGACGCCAATCTGACATCTCCTGCCTACTATCAAGATCGAGTGGGAAATCCAGCCCGGATTTGCGCTGGTGGTTCGTTTGAAGCCTCAAGGAAAAATATTTATTATGTAATTAAAATTACATAAGCTATATTCACTTGGCGTTCGTCATATATAAAAGTTAAAAGCGAAAGCTATACATCTCTTCTCTTTATCCTAATGATAAAGACAACACATTATTCATAGCAACACACCTTGCCCTTCAAACGCATTGTCCTCTAGCTCTAGTAACACTCTTACACTTCATAAGCCCTCGACTCGTCTCCTTTTATTTCTAGGAGTTACTATCGTTTTTCAGCACAATGAGTAGCATCTTTCCGGGCGACAAGCCCCCAGAGCGTTTACTCAGGAGTAACGCACCACCCGTCTTAAATCCACCTTCTCCTCAGAAACTCTTTAATCATATTCGCAGAACAATCCTAGAATCAAACGAGAGTACGGACTTGACTTTCGACGGGATCCCTCCAGAAACAGGTTATGTGGTAACCATCTCCCTCTGCGAAGATCCAGATATTGAGCGCGTCTTTCCAAGGTATGTTAATCCCCTAACAACGATCTTATTTCGCAAGCAATGATTAATATCTATGCACACCTTTAGAATTTCATACAACTCCCATAGTCAAACTATCACAATCGGGGTCATGCCTACGCCCATCCATAACGCTCATTCACCGTGGATCACGCATGAATTGTATCACATGCGGGACACCGGATTCTTAACGGCACAGGAATTATATAGTCTTGAATTTTGCGTGGGCACATGTATGTACTGTGTACTCATACCCTCCACCTCCAGTTAATAACCTAGTTGAATAGCATTCAGAGGGTTTCAAGGCCCTTATGCAAACTCGGTAAAGGAGCCCGATGCATGTATAGTTCCGAGCCAACGATATTTCCCAACTGTTGTCATTGAAACAGGATGGACGGAGTCCTGGCCAAGACTTGTGCGCGACAAAGATTTGTGGCTACAAGGCGCGCCTGTAGAGCTTGTCATTCTCATCAAATGGTCTAAAATTTCAAACGATCGCGTTAAAGGGGACTTCGAAATCCATGAACGGGGTCCTGGTGGATCAAATCTATTACAAAGCGAGGTACTTGGATCTTCTCTCGTTTCCCAGAACTATATTGTCTAACTAGATACAGTCCATCTTCCCTGCACCTACTACAGCTGCATCACAGGCCATTTCCGTGACACGTGGCCAGCTTTTTGGGATAAACTTACTTCCTGGAAGGAATCCCTCTGATATTTTTCATCTATCTATCGATAGGCTCCGAATCTTGGCAGACAGTAGGATTCGAAATATGGGGTTAACACCCGCATAGCCTTGGGGCGGGTACGCTGAGAAGAGACTGCCTGATCTGTTATGCAACGCTGATGTCATCTTTGGAAGCTGAGGAGCTACATATAGGTAAGATATCTACCGAAGAGATACATTCACATCAGCTACTGCCCCCGCCTCGTACTCCGCATCCTGCTGATTACATGGCAACAATGTAATCGGACAAGGCTTGATATGGGATTGGCTGGCACATATTAAACCCTGCACTGCTAGCCGAGATTGAAACCCGCATTTACAAAGTATTTATATAATACTTCGTACTAGCTGCGCCAACATAGATCCCCCGCGTGGATCGTTATTATATATCATCATTGGGCCTTGGCCTGCTATTGACTCGGCATTTTCTTCCCATTTTAAAGCTGCCTCAATAAGTATCAACAGGGCAGGAATATACCTCGTTCATGACAATGAGCTCCTTGCCTCCACTACATCTACTAGGTGAACTCCAGGAGAAATGGATTATACCGCTGGCTGTGAGCATCATAGCGATTTATGTGAGCAAAAAACCGACATTCTATACCCATGTTATATGGAATTATATGCCTTAGATGGTGTGCGCGCTTAATGACCTTCTCGCTAATACTTTACACGAATCTTTAAATGAAATTAGGTTCCACTGGTTGCAGTTTATCGCTTGACGCTACATCCCCTAGCGAAATATCCTGGGCCATTCTGGAGTAAATTATCCGACTGGCCGTTCTTCTTCGAAGTTATTAGTGGTGACCGCCATCTAGAATGTTTGAGACAGCATGAAATTTATGGTAAGCCAAATATAAATCAAGCTAGAACGAAGAGTTGTTTAACAAACGTTGATAGGCCCGGTTGTACGTACTGGTCCGAATAAAATATCCATTAATAGTGCATCAGGTATGCGACAGATATATCACCGCAACGCAAATGTGAAAAAGGGCGATTGGTATTTAACTCTATACGCTTCTGCTTCCAATGCACATACTGTTCATACAGAAATCAACAAGGAGAAACACGGCTTTCGGCGCCGCGTTATGGAGCATGCTTTTTCTGATGCTGCGCTGAGGTCTTCTGAAGAGTTTATCGTTGATAATGTCAAAACATGTTGTGATCAACTCAGCAAGACGGCCGCATCTCCAGGAGCATGGGGAGTTCCCCAGAACATGAATGACTGGAGTACTTACTTGAGCTATGATATTATGGGAGACTTGACGTTCAATACAAAGTTCAACTGCATGAAGAGCGAAGACAGCCGATATGTTCCTGCTCTTATTATTACTGCGACCCAATTTCTTTATAATGTTAGCCTAAACAACTGGCCCCCGTTGATACATTTAGTTGAACTCCGAACTAACTACATCTGTTATAGCTCGGCTATTTGCCATTTGCTAGATTTGTTCGTCCTCTACTTGGTAGCAAACTATTGGAAATCCTCGGGGGAAAGCTAGCCCAGGATGGAAAGCGTTATACGGCCTATGCCGCCGACCAATTGTCTCAACGTCTCAAAGCCACTGAAATGAATGATCCTGATTTCCCTAAGAAAGACTTGATGCACTACCTAATCAATGCAAAGGATCCGGAGACAGGAAATGGGCTCAGTCGCGCTGAACTTGCCGCTGAGACTAGTCTTCTAATAGCAGCTGGGTCCGATACAACATCAACAGCCCTGTCTGGAGTCATCTTTTATCTTCTTCATTACCCAGAGTGTTTAGAAAGGGCCACGACTGAGATTCTATCTACATTTAGCTCTATCGAGGAAATTCGCGGTGGAAGCAAGCTCAATAACCTTACCTACCTACGAGCATGCATTGACGAAACGCTGAGACTCAGCCCATCGATACTAAGCGGCTTGATGGTAGAGACGCTACCCGGGGGCATCACTGTTGATGGGAATTACTTTACGGAGGGAACCACGCTTGGAGTTTCTCCGTATGTCATCCATCGTAATGCAGAGTATTTCTCTTCTCCGTATGAGTTTCGGCCAGAGCGATGGATTGCCACCGATAAGCCATGTTCAGTTATCGCTGAGGATGATAAAAGAACCGTTGAAGAAGTTTCCAATGCTCGATACGCATTTTTCGCATTTAGTGCCGGGCCTCGGGGCTGTATTGGGAAGAATCTGGCTTACCTGGAACTTCAGATTACCCTTGCAACCCTCCTCTTCAAGTTTGATATCCGCATACCTCAGGACGAAAAATTGAGGCAAATGAGTGGAGGAGGAACGCTTACCAGCAAGCATCCAGGCCGACGTAGGAGTAGTGAATATCAGCTACAAGACCATTTTGTACCATTGAAGAAGGGACCAATGGTTCAATTCAGGGAGAGGGATCGCTCAGCTAATGATGCTTGAACTTACGGGAACTGCTGTTAATACCTCATCCAGAATTCGCAAATTCATCTCGTCAGGCCTCGCCGGTAGATGGAAAAGGGGAGCCTCTTGGACCGTTTCATTCACTATACCCGTCGAACAAACTTCGTTCTCCGTGTATGTAACGTTTTTCGGTTCTGGTACTACTGAGACATCTGTTAAAGATCTTAGCGAATATAGCAGTTTGCATTTTCTATGATTTTGTCAGACCTGATTTAGGGGCTAGTGAGGTCACAGGTCTTTCTTGACTTACGTGCAGCCAGCCGAGATTCAGCAAGAAAATCCCGTATGCCGGTGGTTAGATGACGGATTAAGATACTCATTTCTCTCTCGGGCTTTTCCGGCCTTGTTCATACTGTCAATTCGATTAGGAATGCCCTGAGAAGTAGTTCATGAGGCTACTATAAGTCGACCCGTGGGCGGTATCAGCTTCTTCAACATCCAGATACGATATATGCTAGATAAGAACGAACAGACTTACACAGACCGAGCCAGATCTAGGTCCTCGCCTCTATCAAGTCCTACATAGTACATAACGAAATCCGATATGGCCAAATTTAGACCCAAGGACCGTACCCAGTACGCATATCGCAACTGACAACGTTAAGTAAACCAGTTGGATCTCTGAATTGATAGAGGCCAGTACTTTTCCCTTGACTCTAACGGATTGATACCCTGATGAATACTTTTCACAAGAGTTTAGGCCCACATTAGGAGCGAATAGATCGGCCAAGTGACACCAGCGATCCGGCGTATTTTCCCATATTAAATCTTGATTTATTCCCCGGTTTGTGTTTATGAGGCCCATTTGACCGCAGCTTTCAACTCTTCGTATATGTGCCACAGGTTTCGGGTAATCCTCCCGCAACGATAATATAGGCAAAAGCTATCCCGTCACTGATCAGTTTTCCTGCTCACGCTTTTATGAAGCGCTTTGGTCCACGAACTTCTCACACGCGATGGGCTCATGTCATTCTAAAGTTGGAGGCACGAGTTGCATATCGAACTTGTGCAATGGGCTAATGCTGGTCTCGGCTGATAGTGTAACATATTCGTATGTTTATATTAACCTGTGGTGTATTGTACAACCCCCCAGTTTTTACGTCTACTGAGGATAACCATGGAAGAAGGTGTGCAACGACACTAAGTACGGCATCTAGAGGCCCATGACATATGAACTAGGTAAAGACTCCAGGTGTCTCATACCTCTCGCCTTGATGATGATTGCTTTTAACACAGGATTTTCCCCAAGTGTCATATCTCGAGATACGACTACAGTCTATCCCTTTGGTAACTTAAGTGGGAAGTCCGGAAAAACAGGGATAGACTCCGTCATCCTGTCAAGAGCACATTTACTGTGTCCTTTCATCGGAATATCAAAAAGTTAATCATAGCATTGCAGGTGATCCTTGACTTAAAGAAGCCTCTACCGTTGGCTGATGAGGAAAACCATCTAATCTCCCTTACCCTCCATTAGCTAGCCTCTCGGGATGACCTATATCCTATGGGGAACCAGTTAGCTAGGCTTCGTGGAAAAGCCCGTTTATGGGTCCTACCGCCTAGGAAACTGACCATCTTATGCTTGTTTCTACACTCATAAAATGCCAGGTCTTGTCATCTTGCGTATCAAAGATAGTACCGTCCCATATACTTGCTTTGGCATCTACAAACATGTATAACCGGCATGTTCATCTTTGCATATGCCCCAAAGCTCGCTGGTATGATATGTGGCGAGAGAGTGGTGACGACGCCAGTGACATGCCTGATACCCAGACTATTGGATTATATCCGACATAGTTCTCACGATTTTCCCGAGAACGTTACATGGACAAGTTCTGCATGAGTCCTATAACACATTGGTTCCCGTGTACTCTTCTTCTGCTGTCCGACAAGATAACTTGATCTATGGGGGATAGCTGAAGATGGCTCAGCCTGTGATTCCTTGGAAGAATGGAGCATCCCTGGTATCCTAGTGTATCCGGCTTACGCAGTTTGCTCTGAGCTACGGTCGCTGCAGCCACCCAGGTAATGCGTCAACAATGATGTATGAAGTGCAACACTCGTGATGAAAAGTAGGGCCAAGTACCAGTAATCACGACTCTGCGATACCAATATAGACCGGTAAGGGCGGCTGGGATTTGTATATAAATGCTGGACCTCACCTCGATATTCTTACAGCGGATCGTTTATCTTTGCAACATCAACTGAACACCAGCCGTGACGTGACAATGGGGTTCTTCCGCACCTTATTTTCCTTTTCCATTTTTGCGCTGTCGTTGGCCGACACCTCTAAGTTTATCGGTCTCGATGATGTCGATAATATCATCCCTAACTCTTATATCGTTGTGATGAAGGGCGCTGTCACAGAGGCAGAGTTCAAAGATCATCAGGTTTGGGCATCCAGGATCCATCGCCGTAGCAAGCGTGATGGAGCGGCGGATGGGCTTGATGGCCTCAAGACTACCTTTGATTTCCAGGGGTTCAAGGCATATTGTGGAACATTTGATAAAGAGTCCATCGAAAGGATCACCCGAAGCTCTGATGTATGTGATATACCAGCCTTTTGCATGTTTATGATGTTATATATCTGACTAGATGCTTCCAACAGGTTGACTATGTGGAAGCAGATCGTGTAGTGAAAATGGCTGCCCTGAATACCCAACGGAATGCACCATCTTGGGGTCTTGGCCGAATTTCACACAAGAAGGCCGGTAGTTTCGACTACGTCTACGACAGCGATGCCGGCAGCGGTATCACTATCTATGGTGTTGATACTGGCATTGATATTCACCACCCTGACTTTGGCGGCCGTGCAACTTGGGGGGTTAACACTGTTGATAGTGAGAATTCGGACCAGAACGGCCATGGTACTCATACTGCCGGAACCTTTGCGGGAGCAACGTATGGTGTTGCTAAGAAAGCAAGAATCATTGCAGTCAAGGTGCTCAATGCCGAGGGCACGGGATCTACCAGCGGTGTTATCCAGGGTATCGAGTGGAGTACCAACCATGCTAGTAGTAACGGTCTGAGTGGCAAGGCAGCCATGAATCTGAGTCTCGGTGTCCGTAGCTCTAGTGTTTTTAACAGCGCAGCTGAAGCAGCACAGAGGTCTGGTATCTTCCTTGCTGTGGCAGCTGGAAATGATGGGGTAAGTTTTCCATTTTCTAGTTTCTATCGGCCTGGGCATTTAGGGAAACTAACATACTCGTCCGAAAGACCGATGCGGGACAGTTCTCTCCAGCTTCTGCAAGAGGTGTTTGCACCGTTGCTGCTACCGACGCTCAAGACCAAGCAACGTCTTGGTCTAACTATGGATCGACTGGTGAGTGGCTTTCCTTTCCGGAATGGAATCATGTTAATGTTCTTGGGTTGTTTCACATTGCTTACGGTTTTGAAATATACAGTTGCGTTATATGCTCCAGGGGATAAAATACTCTCAATATACCCCAATGGAGGAACGGCGACGCTGTCCGGTACATCGATGGCTTCTCCTCACGTTTGTGGAGTCGGCGCATATCTGATGGCCCTTGAAGGAATCGGCCCAGGCAGAGTCTGTGACCGCATTAAACAGCTCGCACTGGAAAGTGTGAAAAACCCAGGACCAGACACCACTAGAAGGTTACTCTATAACGGTAGTGGTGCGTAAATGGATCATCAATGTGATTGGTGAATAGCTAGCTGCCACTGCAGAAAATGGGGTATTCTTCCCGTCATTAATGCTGCTGGCTGTGAGATCATTGTATTGATCTATTGTTCTATTTTTGGGCCATTGGAGGGAATTTAGGTTAAGATCAAGTGGAATAGAAGTGGCGATATCCAGCCAGGCTCCAGAGGATGCGTTCAACTTGTTATGACCTTGCTAAAACACAACCAAAGTAGATCTGACTTTTGTTTGCTCATCATGTGTATCTTGTGTAAGCTTCAACTCTCAGGCCCCTAAGCACAGGATCATCCCTCCTTATCCGGGGTGCTCAGCAGCAGGAGGACTCAGCAGATCTAGACGCCATCAATTTCCATGCTTTTGCCATCCGATGCTGTATACGTTGTGCAACGACCAGAGTAGGACACTATGCCGAGGGTGACAACATACCATCTATTCTCGCGTCTAGTCGCCTTCACGCATCAGCCTTCGTCTCTTGTCTTTGTATTGGCTATCAAAGATTCAAAGTGTTGAAGATGTTGTTATTTTTTGCCTCTTAGTCATCTGTAAATTCCACGTGACAATGCCGTCTCTCGGACCAATAATTATCCCGTATCACGTGAAAATTTCCTAAAGGGGAAATGTCAACTTCCAACCAAGCAAGTCGCTGTCGAGACATCCAGCTTGCGATACTTGAAGAATGTTTGCTTCTGTGAAAGTCGTCTACGGAGCAATACTTATAAAATGGAAAGTTGCATTTGAAAACGGCCTGGCTGCCAGAGACAGAGGTGAAACTCCAGGCGTTCAGCACTAAACAGGAAGAAATAGCCTGGGTCAACAACATGAGACAACAACCGATCCTAACGAAAAATACGGGCTGGGGAACGCGGGGTTGAGCGCGCCCCTTAACCTGCAACTATCCTGGGCCTTTAACTGCAACGCTGGCCCACAGAACTAATTGGCAGGGACAGTTTCGACATCCGCCTCTAAAAAAGAACTTCAGGGGCAAAGCAACCAACGACAGGGCGCAGCTTGGCTGCCAGGGAAATACTCTTGTTCAAGCGCTGCCAATTAAAATCTCCGGTCCGTGTCCAACAGAATTTATGAGCAAAAAAGAGGAACTCCCGATGGTCGAAAGTTTGTTGGATCTATCGCTTGTCAGACAGCTTTGAGGGTTCGGAGTGAAATGTGAAGCAACTTAAAATATCGCCCTGACAGGTCTGTCGCTCTGGTGGTCTGAAACCCATTTCTCTCAGAACCCTGCATCGGACACGCCTCTCATGCCATGTTGGTCTCTGGTTTGATTACGGTTTGTTTATCTGTGGGGTCAGCCAGAGATCGGCATAGCAGTCTCTGGAGACTCGTGATAGATGTTCATGATGCCCCATTTTCTGCCCTTTTAGCCAGGCTTTATTCGCAGGTATAAGCTTGTTTACATGTGTGATTGACAAGTGATGTCTTGTCTTGCACGTTGCATGGGCCGTGGTGCGCGGCCTTCCCGGATGCTGTGATCGTCATTGTGGACGGAGAGTACATCCTTCAGTACCATCCTTCGTATACCTGTGAAGAATGAATGCCCGAAGACAATCCTCCGATATGGGGCAACGGTTGGCTACGGCAGAGATTCTTGTTCCTAGCGATGGTGTCATTGACTCTATCCAGCGTTCAGGCTATTACCATAAGTGCAAACTGTGCCTCAGAGTGTGTGCTTATGAAGAAGATGGGCAATTCACGTGTCACTATGTCACCAATGATGGAGTATCATTTACCAGCGTCCTTTTATTGGAATAGCCACGCGTCAGACAGAGACAGAATTCGGTCCTTCTGAATCGAGCCGCTGCATAGCACACAACGGGGAGACAGGCGTGTTTTATGAGTGGAAACGCCATGTGGACGCTCATACTTCAAAAGGTCAAAACTTTGTGTACCGTTATACGTACTATGTAAACATAGTATGGCTTTTGGGCTTGTTGACAGCCTTCTCCACCTCGAGAAAGGAACTTTATCCATCATGGCGGATGTTCTTTTCTCCCGCTGATCGGCAAATCCGAAGCATACATAAAGGGCCTAGTCCCATCACACCTTTCAGAAGTTTGTCTTTCTCTGAACTGAAACCTCAGGCACTGGTGTCTGGCTCCCTTACGGTCACTGTATTCTTTCCATATCTTTAGCTTCATTCTTCTCGCAACTATGCAACCTTTATTGGTACTTGCCACACTGCTCGGCTCAGCCTTGGCTGGCACAATCCCATTGCAGAGTGCCAACTACCATGGATACAAGGTCGTGCGCCTCTCTGGAGAGGACACCAGCAAGATCTCTCATATTGTCTCCCAGTTGGGATTGGAGACTTGGAAATTCCCCAAGTCTGCCAACGCCAATGTCGACATCGTCGTTCCCCCAAAGAAGATTGCCGAGTTTGAGAAGATGTCTCATGCAGCCGGCCTCAAAAAGCAAATTATGCATGAGGACCTAGGAAGATCTATTGCATCCGAGATGTCCTTCCGCCCTTACTCCTGTGGGTTCAGCTTTCCGATGTCAAAACTCCCTAACGGATTCAATTGCTCACGATAGTTTCGGGATATATAGACGGTGGTGCAAATGACACCTGGTTCCAATCGTATCACAAATATGAGGATCACTTGAAGTTCATGAAAGACTTCCAGTCTGCTCATGCCGAAAACACCGAGATTGTTACCTCTGGAAAGTCTCATGAAGGCCGTGATATTACCGGTGTTCATGTTTGGGGTAGCGGCGGAAAAGGGTCTAAGCCAGCCGTTGTTTTCCATGGAACCGTCCATGCTCGTGAATGGATCACCACTATGGTAGGTTAATTTCAATCTTGTCTTAAGTCATCAGAGAATCATCTTAACTAAGCATGCATTTTACCATTAGACCGTCGAGTATATTCTCAACCAACTCTTGGAGGACAAAGAAGCCGGAGCTGCTCTCCTTGATAAATACGACTTCTACATCTTCCCAATCACAAACCCTGACGGTAAATAGCCACTTTAAATATTGACCACGCCCTCAACAGAGTAGCTGATCTTGCATAGGCTTTGTTTTCTCCACTGATCATGACCGTATGTGGCGCAAGAACCGTGAGCAGAATGAGAAAGGCTGCTATGGAACTGATCTGAACCGTAACTGGCCTTATGAATGGGATGGCGACGGTTCCACCACCGACCCATGCTCTGAGACCTACCGGGGTTCGTTCTTCTTGCGTTCAGGTTTTTACATACTTCAAATCACTAACTTCTAACACAGGACCATCTCCCGGATCCGCCCCTGAGACCAAGGCTAGCACCAGCTTCATCAAGGGCCTTGCCGACGGAGCGGGTGTCAAGATGTTCGTTGACTGGCACTCGTACTCCCAGCTCTTCATGACCCGTAAGTTTACATTAACCCTCATAGCTAATGTTTACTCGCCTTGCTAAACATTATAATCACTAGCCTACGGATACAGCTGCTCTGCGCGCGCACCAAACGACGATGTCCTCCAGGAGATGGCAAGCTCCTTTGCTGATGCCGTCAAGGCTGTTCACGGAACCAGCTTTACTACTGGCCCTATTTGCAGCACCATCTACCAAGCCAACGGTAACTCCGTCGACTGGGTCGTTGATGAGATCAAGGGCGAAACTGCCTTCGCTGCTGAGCTCCGTGACACTGGTATGCACGGTTTCGTCCTCCCTCCCGACCAGATCATCCCAAGTGGCGAAGAGACCTGGGCCGGTGTCAAGGCCATGTTTAGCAAGTTGAAATAAGGGTCTCGTTACCTTGCGGCTGAAAACCGTAATAAACGGTCTAGTTATGCCTACTCTTTGACATGTAGTCCCGGGACTGCTGTGTTTATAAATACCTACTTTTCCTGTACATACTATATAGTTATTATATGTGGAATATACATACTACGCCACTGCCTGCTTCAGCCGGGCCATTACGTCAAGGTCTGGGTTCAACAACCGCCGGCTGCATCGTTATATTAAGTATCAACTGCAAGGGGTGCTCCGGTAGGTCTACTCACGTGACCGATCTCATCGAGGCAATAGATCGCTGTAAAAAAAAAAATAGCTTAAGTTCAGCCCTACGTCAACTTCTCTCCCTTGCTATTATGAACGACTTTTGACATCATTCAAGCTGGATGAGGGAGAGAACAACGGCCAAAGCCTCAGTGATAGACCCCATGTATCCTAATGGAGCCCGCCGCCGCAGGGCTTACCACCTCACATCTTCGAGATACCTCAAATGCGATTGCTACATCCCAATCCGATGAGGCTAACGCTCCCCGCATCGCACACACGTTGACAGCTTGCATACGATGTAAACAGGTAATGCCTATTCCACCTTCTGTTCTACATCATGCAAGACCCCTTACATCTTCCGACGTAGCCACTAAGCCATGTCTACGTTCAATGTGCGAACGGTTTACCGCTTTGCGCTAACACATGCTCAATTATAGAGGAAGTCCCGATGTGACCCAGGCATCCCCCGGTGTGAGCCATGCAAGAGAAGCAACTCTAAATGCGAATACTATGACCACACCAAAGAAATTACAGTATCGCGAGCGTATATTATTGAACTAAGGGAGAAGATCAGAAGACTCGCGCGTGAGGTTGAGGAACTGGAAGATGAGGCCGATCGTGCGCCTGACGCCGAGGCTATGGCGCGCGGAGCAGGCCTTATCAAATTCAAAGAGACAGATGAGTCAAGGTTCCTGGGGCCATCTAGTGGCATTGCTATTACCCGGTTCGTCATGGACATGGCAAAGCAGAATACGGGCTCAAAATCAATAAAAGAAGTCGTGAACGAGAATACCGCCCAGCAGATAAAATCAGTCTTTGATATTGAGAGCCAAAAACCGACTTCAAAGGTTTTTCCAATGATAAGTTCTGTGGCCGAACCAAATCTTCCACCTCGAGAACTCACAAATAAACTCATTGATATCTTTATAGCAAGGGGTAAGCACTTCAAAGAGAGAATTTTTTGGGCTATATAAGTATTCTAATTTTATTTTCTTATACTGCAGCCCAATATATGATTCCCATACTCCATGAGCCAACCTTCCGTTCTGATGTCGATATCGTCTTTAACGGATCTCAAGATCCATGCCGGAACTTCCAGTTGCGCCTCGTTATAGCCATCAGTATGCAGCGAGTCAGCACACAGTATGCCGGATTGGCTGATAGCTACTACCTAGCTGCCCTACCTTACTTCGACAGATGTTTGGCCAAGATGGATATCTCAACGTTGCAATGTTGTGCTCTTATGGCCTTATACTCCCTCCTGACACCAACTAGAACGGCCGCCTACTGGGTGGTCGGGGTTGCTGCCAAATTATGCCAAGACCTCGGCATATCAGACGAAGAGACTATCACTAAAGGAGCGAATGGGCAACCGCTCAACTACCTTGAAATTGACATGCGGAGAAGGCTGTTCTGGATTATAACGTCTATGGAATATGGTCTCTCGCACAGCCTTGGTCGCCCGAGCTCATTCTGTGTGAGCCATGACCATATAAACGTCAATTTCTTCCATACTTGTGATGACCGTTATATTACCCCTAGTGGCATTTTACCTGAAGCGCAACCAATAATGAAAAAATGCATTGCAATTCATTTCTTTAAAATGAGGCTTTTACAGGCCGAAATCCGACGAAAGCTGTACCTTTGCAAACGGCCAACTCCGCTAGACGACAGAGACCCTTGGTTCACGCAAATGCTAGACAAGATGGATCGATGGGTTGAATCATGCCCTAAAAACGATGAAGGGAGCGGCTTTAGCCAGTTGTGGTAAGTTTTGCTTTTCCAGCACCCTTAACCCTAATGCATCATCTAAGTATGATAATAGGTTCCAAGGCAGACGCAACACGATGATTGTGTTTATGTATCGCCCCTCTCCACAGATTCCGGAGCCTTCACTTTATGCGGCTCAAAGATGCTATGACGCTTCTGTCTTTAATGTCAAGATACAGCGCGAACAGGTTGCCAACGGATCAATAGACCTTACGTGGATATTCACACAATCTGTATTCATGGCACTAAATACCATTTTATGGTCACTTTCCTATCCTGAAATCCGAAAAGAACACCCTGTCGGAGATGTAATAGGGGAAATTCGCCTAGCCATGGAAATCCTTGCCATCAGCTCGGAGCGTTGGCCAGGGGTTGAATCTGCACTCGAACTCTATAAGAGCCTTATTTCCGGCTGCCTCAAAGCATATGGAACTGATGAGTCCTACGTGGTTCATTCTCCTCCTTCAAATCGCCCATCTCCCTCTCCTAGCTCCGATTTTGCAACACCTCCTCCAATGTCTCATTCGCCCAACACTGCCTCGGTTCCATCTCCCATATCTCAACACAAACCTACATCAAATCGACTTAGCTCAAGTCCGTACGAAACCGCACATTCTCGTACATCTTTTGAAACGGCAACGCTTCACCCGGGGCAGCTAAAGTTCGAATCCACAACCCCTCCACCCCATACAACAATGTCAACAATACCCTATGATCTTACCCTACCACAGCAAGTCACCTACAGTAACGAGAACAGATCAAGCATTGACCCGAACTCGAGCAGCCCAGCCCAACCATTCTCATCTCCAGAAGCCAATACTCTCGCACAATGCGACATTAGCCCGACCCCAAGAAACAACTTTGACCCCAGCTCATTCCATAATAACTTCCCCTCGGTATTACCGGGCCTTCACCACTGGGACCCTAATTATAATACCGCTTCCACGACGGCAAGCTATCTGACATACCCTGGCGTCGCTATCGAACCGATGTCATGGGTAGGCACTATCGGTGACCAATACTCCCAATTTTTCAATCAGCCATACCAATCCACTCTATTCAGGGATCGTAGGCTGAGTTATGAGGAACACGCAGAATTGATGAATACCATTGGGCACGACCTACCAGATGTTTCACAACTGGTTGAAGAACCAGCTACCTTTTACACTCCCAGCATGGTACCTTAAAAGCAACAGTGTGCTATCATGTCTTACAACGCACTACTTTGCAACGCCCCATTTCACGCTTCTTTTGTGATTATTCTTTTTTTAAAAAATAAATGTTTACCTCGATGGGTTATATGTTTTCTATATTACGATTCTGGGCCTCCTTATTCTATATCTTTTCTTTTGGATTATTGTTTTCATCCCCCCTATTTTTTTTTTTTTTTTTTTTTGGAAACGAGATACTTAGGCCCGCGAAAAACGCTATGACTGCCATCTATATATACCCTAGCGGGACGGGATAGTGTTTATCTGACTTTACTTTCAAAACCCATGCAAGTTTGAAAAGTGAACATTTTGGTTTAGGTTGAGCCTTTCATGAGCAGTTTAAGAGCACGATCGTGTGCTTGTTAGGCCTTTATACCCCATTTACCCTTTATTCCTCAAACAAGCGCTGCCTTTTACTTGGTTAAACCGCTATGATTAGAATACAAAATTTTGGCTACAATAACTACACTGTTGCAATGACGGGCCAGAGAAGAAAGAAGTAATAATTCATCATCCACCGGATGATATCAAAGCTGGTTTGTTTAAATTTCTTTGGAAATACACACATATGTACGTTAGTTAATGCTTACGATACACGGATTATTTGGTCTGTCAAACCAAGCAGCCAAACCTCGTTTCGTCAACTCAGGTTGCTCGTCCTCACAAATATCTCTTCGAGTAAAAAAAAAAAGGACGACAAATAGAGGGTAAGAAAAAGGAAAACCATGCCAGGGAAAGGAAATATTATGCGGGAGGCTCCTGAGAGCGGCTTTATATGTCCCTCTAGCCATCACCACATGAAGGACAAGTATGAATAAAAACCTTTGAGAAAGACAGCCGTGGGGTAAAAATAGAGGGAAGGATAATAACAAGGGAAAGAAAAAGGAAAGCAGATAAAAGCAGCAAGAAAGAACCCAAATATAACCACCGTCCTGTTGAATCTCCGGAAACACCGCAAAGGAAAGATAATGAAGAATCAGTGAACATCTAACGCCGTTTTGACCGAAGCGGGTATATCCTGCACCACTATGCAAATTTGAAGAACTAAGGAACCAAAGTCCAAGAGAAACTAAGGTAAAAGGGAAGGGAAAGGTTAGTGATCTTGTAGTTTGTACCGAGGTTTGTTTCGCGTTGAAAAAAGTACATCGAGCGTCACTGCTGCCGAATGGAAGAGTAAGTCAGACGACCACATCTGTTTTAGAGGCGATGTGTATGCATGGAAACATAAGTTGCAAGAAGGAATTTTGAAGGCGGGACCACGAGTTGACCTGTTTGGTGACCGTGTTTGAGGTATATTGTCATCGGGCACCAATGCCAAACATCCCAACACCGTAGCTGCCACCTCGTTCGAACGGCGCAGGGCCTCCTGCCGCATGTTCCTGCTATGATTATGGTAAGTAAAGTAATATCAAAACAGAGCAGTAGCAAGATGTTATCCCGAGGTAGGTTAATCAACATGCGGGAAGAACGAACCATCTTCTTTCGTTTTTTCTTCCCTGCGCTGCTTCCATCATCCTCGTTGGAGTAAAGGGAACCTTCCAGATCGTCATCGTCGGGGAAGCCTTCACCGTAGCCAACAAAGCTGCTGTCGAGGTAACTTCTCTTCCGGCCAGCGCGTTTCGGTCGGCCAGGATCGGGCACAGCTGCAGCAGAAGATGCCTGTGCTGCGGGCGTACCGTTGCTCTGAGGCGTATGTTTAAAGGAGCCGGCAGCCGCTTTCTTCGGTAACTGCTCAGCAACATTTTTCGATGGTTTTTCATGGCCAAGTACGTCTTCCCAGTATTCATTCCTTGGCGTGAGTCCTGGCTCCATTTTCATTGCTCTCAGCTGCTGCTTGTAGAATGCGGTATCCGGTTCCGCGATCGTAATCTCCTTCCCAGCAACCTTTTGATTATACCATTCTTCATCGGGCCACATCATCAGGCTGCGTAGGCCTCCAGGGGCACCGGGCTCTTGTTTGACAGGTTTATTCCTCCCGGCCAGGCCCAAACCCTTGATCTTTCCTTCGTAGGACTTCCGTAGCCGATTTATTTTTTCACCTGTGACGGGATCTGTGCGAGCTACCGATGCAGCTATGGGGCCTAGACCGTAAAGCGATACGATGTCGAACTTGGGGGTCGGCAGAGTAGAGGTGTAAGCTGTGCGTGTTAATCATCATAAACAACATCCTGACGCCAGAAAAGGACAGAGAGTATATTGGCCAGGCTGCCTTACTGGATTTGCAGAGCCCTATCGCCTCTCCCACATCTCGTTGGAGGGACTCTAGGCTTAGATCCTCCGGCGGACCGGCTCCGTCTTTCAAGTCTATTTCCATTGGATCATGATCGTTACTATCGTTAGATGAAGATTTGTGCGTGCTGATACTCTTCTCATTACTGGACTGGTCATGCGCAAGAAGTTTCGCGTCGGTTCCAAGGGCTTCGAAGGGGATCTTCCCGCCAGCAAACGACGCGGTCATCGCTGTGCCATCCGGTCCATCTCTCACGGGCCCGCCGGTACTGCTAGCCGGCGTCGGGCAAGACGTTGATGTCGTCACAGTCGACTGGGAGACCGAGTGCGGGTGCATGGCGACGGACGAAGGGGGAGAAGAGAGGTTAGCCGACTGGGCGGCCGTATGGGCTGGAGACGTCGACTGTGTCGTGGACGAGCTTGATTCATAGTTCTGAGGACTGAATGACATCAACGGGGAGGGAGAAGTGACCGCGAGGCGCTTCAGCTGGCGATATCAAGCGTGAACGCGGACGTGGTGACGGCGAGGAGAGGCCAGGTTCGACGAGCCTGGATGTGGCGATGGAAGGGATCGGGTCGAGAGGAGACGAAGACGAGCGGGCGGCATGAGACGAAGATGGGGATGCGGCAGAGGGTAGGGGATTGCCAGGACGAAGCAATCCAAAGCCCTTTTGTATCTCCTTTCTTTCTGCTCTCTCTTTCTTTCGCTTTCCTTTCTGCTTCCGTCTTCTTCAGCGTCTGGCGAGTTTGCGAAGTCGAGCTTTTTTTTTCTTTCGAGCGTGAAAGTTGAAGTTCGAAAAGTTCTTTTTTTGTCGATTTTTCGACCTTTTTCGGAGATGCTTAGTCAGCTTAGTCATCCTTACCTCGAAGATACAAGAAGCTATACAAGAAGCTATACAAGAGACAAGAAGCTATACAAGAGACGAAGCTATACAAGAGACAAGAAGAGAATAAGATGGTTTGCTCTACGTGTAACTGCTCGTCGAGGGTTCTGTGCTACACCGGCAAAGAGTCGACAGCGTCCGCCAGCCCGCCCAGGTCGCTGAACCGCCATCCAAAGGCGACCTTGTCCCGGTGAAGATACTCAGTGACGTCGGTCCCCATGCTGCTCGACCCTCCTCCCCTCGCTATCCAGACGCTGTTGAGGCCCATCTCCTTCGCCGGTACATGGTCGTGGTGCAGACTCTGCGCGACGTGAAGGATGTCCGATGCTTCGACGCCAAACCCAGACCTGACGTGTGAAACCAGATACTCAAAGTTGCGCAGGTCTGGCTTGTACGAGCCAATGTCCTGTGCGGTGTAAACGGCGTCGAAGAAGGGCTCGTCTTCTCTCAGCCCCTCTCGCATCCCCGCCAGCGGCCCTGCCAGCGTCCTGGAGAAGGACTCTCCGTCCACGTTCGACAGGGGAACGAGCTTGTACCCCTTCTGCTTCAGCCGGCGCATGGCGGCCACCGTGTCAGGGAATGCGGGCCAGCGGCCGACGCTGTTGCCGAACCCTGTTGCCTCTTCGTCGAGGAGCTGTTCTGATGCTGGCAGAGACCGCAGCTCCCTTGCCAGGCTCTCGTATGCCGACTTGAGAACAAGGCTGTACGCTAACCCCGGATTTTTCACTTGAACAGCTCGCTCATGTCTGCTGTATGCATCTCCCAGCTTTTTCGGGTCGGCCTTTAGCGGGTTTGCGTCATCTAGTCTCTGGCTTAATGGCTTGAGGGCCTCCTGGATCCCGGTTTCCCAGTCGATCAAGGTGCCATAGATATCAAAGGATAGAAGGCGGAATGAGCTCAGGGGCCGACTAGAGTCCATTTTAGCCAGAGAAAGGTATTTTAAGAAGTGTATACTGCCTCAACCGAGAATGGACTTGGACGTACTTTTTGTACTCTGCTCGTCAGTATTACTAACCTGTTCTAACAAGTTCTTTGATATTCCCTCGGCAGAAACGCGGGGATGATGATATAGTAAGCAGGTTTCCTGGTCTATTCTTGTTTTTAAACAATATACAGAATTCGAGTGGCCCTTTTTGTTACCATATATATCCACATGTCCAGTATTAATCAAACTAATCTAAATGGCAATTTTGTCGTTAATAACCTCGCCGATGGACTTCCATGTAGCTCCAGCCGGCATGGAAATGACCCGGCGTTCCTTTTTCTCTAACCCAACAAACTCTGGGGGAAGCACATTATCAAACGAATACCCCTTTTCGTTTCGGAGGGCTGCATCCACCGCTTCAGCAAACTTGGCCGGATGTGCTGTTGACAGTGAAATGTGGAACGTGTCCGCGCATCGGGATATCGACCTCAGCGAAGCCGCAACTCCAATAGCTGAATGGGGGTCTAGAATGTATCCGCCAGCCTCCCCTCTGGTACCAGCGCTGACAGGGGCGGGTGGGAAACAGGTGGAGTAAATCGAACGAATGGTGTCGATTGTTTGCTCGTCAGATACCCGCTCGCTCTCAAACTCTCGCTGAGCAGCTTCTAGTATCTTACCGTCAACCCCGAATCCCCCTTTGCTAGATAACTCCTGCAACCATCCTCGGACAGTGTCGCCGGTTGTTTTCCGTTTCTCGTTGACGTCCCCTTGTCCGTAGACTTGGAATGCAAGGAACCAAAGCAGCCGTTCAAAGTTACTTGATACCAGAATATCCATGGCCGGACTCCACGTTTCCTTGACGGCAGCGGATCCCGTCTGTGCCTCTGTTTGCGCTTGTTTTGTGTACTGACCTGTTTTCAAGAATCTATCAAGGATGTCATTCTCGTTTGTCGCGATAACTAACTTCTCGGCAGGGAGGCCCATCTGCTTTGCAAACCACCCAGCCTATGGCAAATAAAACGCATGAGCAACTAAGTTCAGGTTTTGTCACATTGGCATTTCTGCACACTCACCAAGATATCGCCAAAGTTACCTGACGGTACAACGAAGCGAACAGGCTTTCCTTTGGCATAAGTGGGGGATCGGATAAGAGAGAAGTAGGCCTGGAAGTAGTAGGTGATTTGAGCCAGGATGCGTGCCCAATTTATCGAGTTCACAGCCGCTAGCTTGTGAGTTCTATTTATCTCCGGATCAGCGAAGAGGGCCTTGACCATATCCTGGCAGTCATCAAAGGAGCCTGGAGCCAAACTGTTAGCGGATAAAAGATAGGGTACGGCGATTAGAACATACCTTGGACACTGATGTTGTGCACGTTTTGATCCAGCACAGTCGTCATCTGAGCTTCTTGGATGGGAGACACTTTTCCCTTTGGATGTAGGATGAAGACTGAGGCATCTTTTTTCCCACGTAGCCCGTAGATGGCAGCTGACCCAGTATCTAAAAGAATTATCAGTATCCTTCCATTAGCAGGGCATATTGAAGAACATAACATACCTCCACTTGTAGCTCCAACGACCACAAGGTGATGACGGTCCTTGCCGGTCTTACCCTACAGGATTCCAAAACAATTAGTTCTACCCTGTAGCCTCCGTATCAATATCCATGCGGGCCCGAACCTCATTCCGCCTCACGAGGAAGTATTCAAACAGATTCCCCAGGAACTGCAGCGCAACATCTTTGAAGGCAAAGGTTGGTCCGCAAAACAGCTCCAGGAGGTATAGTCGTTTCTGCTCGTTTAGTGTAACCAGAGGTGTGATGTCCGGGGACCTGTTGACCTAAGTCAACAACGAACCATTGCGTTAAATCATTCTAGGGGAATTGTACCTGAATGTTCCGTAGCTGCGGGCTATGATATCCTTCAGGTCATCCGACGGGACTTCAGAGGGAGAGATGTACAATGACAGTATCTCAAATGCAAGCTCCTGGAAGCTATAGTTGCGCCACTTTGTCTCCCAATCAGCAGGCAACGAAGGGATCTGCTCGGGGATAAAGAGGCCTCCATCAGATGCAAGCCCCTTGAGAACGACTTCTTCAAAGGAAAACTGTTCAATTTATCTGCATCAGTTGAGGCTCGTCTTGGGTTCTTCTTTGCAGGGGGGTTGTGATATCGGTACATACGCCGTAGGAGCCTCCTCGGGAGCTCAAGTACTTCTGCGACTCTGTGACTGACATTGTCATATATGCGAAGACAACAAGATCTTCTTTCTTATATCAATATTGATATTTTATACAAACGACAGTAAAGAAGAACTTCTTGACTCGCAGAATCGGCTTTATCTTTCGTTTTTTCTGGTGGGGCAAAAAAAACCATCAAAAATTGCGCGATGAAAATGCCGAAGTTTGCAGCTTTTGCACTTTTTCAGTATATAAGAACCTGCAACTTCGAGATATTCTAATAACTATTCGATACTATCAAAGATATACATATTAACTGAATAAGTACAACGAAATGGGGTCCAGGTTTGAAACTGCATTGAAGAAAATCGACGATGTCCACTCCAAGGATCCCAAAGTGGTCACAGTCACCACCACCAACGGAGAAGAAGAGATACCAGATGAGCTTCACTATGCGAACAGGATGACGGAGTATCTTCTCAACCATGACCCCAATCCCTCAGAGCTACTTCGTCTGGCTGTACGAGCCCAGCACCTGCAGCGCTGGGAGATACCTCGCACCGACTACCCAATGAACAGAATGGGTTATCTTTCCTGGAGGACAGCACAGAAGAAGCGCCAGGCAGCTCATGCTGAAGAGATCTGCTTGGCCTGTGGCTACTCTGCAGAAGAGGCGGGGAGAGTTGCGGCATTAGTGAGAAAGGAAGACATGAAACGAGATGCAGAGTGTCAGGTTCTAGAGGACGTTGCGTGTCTGGTATTTCTGGCGGACCAGTTTGAGAAGTTCGAGCAGGAGCACGGCGAGGATCGGGAGAAGATAGTGAACATCCTGAGGAAGACCTGGACGAAGATGTCTGAAAGGGGTCATGAGCTGGCTCTACAGATTACGATGTCGGAGCAGGCGAAGGGGCTGGTTGCGGAAGCCCTTGCGTCTTAGATTGTCTTTTTAAACGGCTTCAGTTTGCTTGAAACGTGCCTCGTCCGTATATCACGTTTAATTCCCCCGCTCAGTTTCGTCTCAAATCAGCCCGTTACCGGAAGGGTTGATAGCTCGAACCAGAGCTATAGATGCACCGGCCGCCAGACCTCCAACGACAACCATCTGAAGCCCTCCTTTAATGCCGGCAACGATGTTATCTCTGCCTATCCACCCACGAACGACACAGGTCTTGACGTAGCCAAAAACCAACAATGTGATGGCCATGATACCAATGCTATAGTAGAGCGCAACCAGGACACGATCCACCAAGAAGTAAGGAATGAGAGGAATGAAGCCGCCGATAAAGTAGCCCAGAGCAAGGGTGATGGCAGATATCCAGGCCCGATTGCAGGAGGGCTTGGACTCTTTGTGGTGAAAAGTGAGAAGGAAGTCAAGGAGCTTCTGCGGCGAGTCATGCAGGATGTTGCTCATTCGAGCCACGGGTTCGTCTGGGAGATTGTAGGGAGCAAATACTTGACGGATGATGGTCATTGTTTCTGCTGGAGATGCTTTGACTAGGTCTTTCGTTTCTCGGACCGTGGCTTCGTATGCTTCCCTGGGCGTTGTTAGAATATATCTATGCATAAATATGATCCTGACTTACACTTCACTTCTGGAGCCAACGTATCCGCCCAGGCCCATGGAGATAGCACCAGCAACGAGCTCAGCCAGGCCTCCGACAACCACGACCCTGGTGTTCCCGAGAGCAGAGAGCCCAGCGCTAAGGGCAAAGGGAACGGTCAACCCATCTGACAGGCCGAGGATCGCATCAGATACGATTTTGGGGTTGACTCTGGTCCGAGTACTAGAGACGACACTCGCCAAAGACTCTCTGCTCTCCGTTGGCGAAGGGGGGAAGGTCCTGTAAGGAGCAAAGTCCTGGCCTTCGAGGTCCTGCGAGCCCCCGCTGCCGTTGATGCTGTCTCCGCCACCGAGTAAGGGCCGGTCTGTTGGTATTTTTTCGGTCTTGTTAACAGCTTGCTTTCTCTCTCTCTCTTTTTTCCCCTTTCTCTTAAGTGGAGGACTTACCACTCATGCTGATCTATTTGTCTGCTTTCTTTTTTCTCTTCTGCTTGCTGGTCTGGTTCTTTGAAGGGGGTATTCAAGGTATATAGCTAAGCTTGCACAAGGAGATGTTCAACTTCACAGCCAAGCAGTCTCTCTGACAGTTCTTAATCAGGCTTCCAAGGGCCGTCTGTAGCTTGTTAGAGGGGAAAGGGAAGAACAGCAAAGAAGAGCTCAGTGGGATAATACTTAATATATCAGCTAGCAGGACGTAAGAGCAGACAGCGTCAGGTCATCTTTTAGCTGGGATGTTTCATCCCGCATCCGAGAGGACGTCCTCTGCCCTTTTAAATGCCGGGCACATCCTCTTTCTTTCTCTTAATACCGCTTTTTCTCTTCTTTTCATGCTATTTTGCACACCTAATGCTAAGTATCTTCCTTCTAGACTATATCAGGATGACGGAAGAAGGGATTGTACCTCTAATGCAGCCAATAGGAGGGCAGATGATTGTAAGCATCCAGCAACTCCCTGCAAGCCTTCAGTGCAATAAACCATTCAGATCAAAGATGATTACTTTCTAGCTTTGCCGTTTCGATGTTTCATGCACCCCGCTTGACAGTGGGCTAGACAGTGGTGGGCGCAGTTTTTGATGGTTGGTAGAATGGTTGAAATTGTCGATTAGGTAGAGATGGTGATGGTGATATCAAATATCATACAGAGACCATTCTTATAACTATACAAGAGCAGAGACGACGCAGAAAACATAACATCGACATCGTAAGGTCATCATAAACAGGATTAGGCCCCTCCTTCTCGCTTCGCGTACTCCTCTTCCATGCGCTCTTCGTATAGCCGATCTACCTCTTCCTGGCTCAAGATGCCGGGATCTGTGCCCGCTGTTGTCTGAGAAGTGTTTGAAGTTGGCTCAGCCGTGGTCGTGGTGGTGACGGTAGATGGCGAGGACAACGGATCATTGGCGTTTCTCTTGCCGTTGGGACCCAAGGCCGAATTGTCTTTCTTGACGTCTTGACTGAGTGGAACGGGCATCTTGCAGTGTCTTTACGTGTGCTGTATTCTTGGCTGTATCCTTGATTTGGAGAGTAGTGTGCTTGTATTCTCTGGTTATTCTTCGTCTATGACTTAGAGGTGACTTGACCGCATGGAATATATAGAAGAGTTGGTGGCGACTTCAACGTGCATCGCCACTTTGTTCCTGGCTGATGATGTCAATCCTTGCTGAGTTACGAGTTTTTTAACATCTAGAATACGATATAGTTAAGAGTCCGTTTACTTTGCTTGTTAAACACCGGGTTGTTTACTATAGATATATTAATCTTATCTTCTTCAACCTCCTGCATAAAGCAAGATACAACCCCTCCTTTGAGAGAAGCCGGATCGATGAAAACGAGAGAAAGATGAAAGCCAAAGAATGTGCCTCTCAAAGACCCGAAGGCCGTTGAACAAGACGAGTCCACCGCGAAGTGCAATGCAGGGTCTCTTCTGTGGAGAGTCGCCTTTGTGATCGCGGTCCCCGAAACAAGGTAAGTATGAAGAAGAAAAGGAAGAGAAACGTTGAAGCGTTTGGAGGCGAAAGAAGTTTTTATATCAGAAAGCTGAAGGCGCTAACGTAAGCGAGAAGTTGTATGGAAGTTCTTATTGGTTGGTCCGCTTAGTCACGCTAGTATAGGAGGAAGAAGAGGAAGAACATGGCATAGCATCGTTTATCATTCTTTATCACTATCTTTTAGAGGTAGGTTCCCGGGAAAAGTACATAGGAAAGTCATGTAAAAGATAGAAGTAAGAAAAGAGAAAGGAAAAGAAAGAAGAGACCAACGCAGTAGATGTTGAGCATTAACCAAGTTCCTAATCAAGGGCCAGATCTTGAACAGAGACGTCGACTTCTTCCCCTTCCACAGGTCCCTTTGGCTGCCCGTTTTCATGTGCCCCGTTTTCTGTCGGCCTCTTCTTCTTACTACCAGCATTCTTCTTCCCCTTGCGTCCGGTGCCCGCAGAGATGGGAGCCATACGAATCCACCATGAGACAGCCTCTGCACGCTCGTTACAGAAGGGGAAGTCCTTCGCATCATCCTGAGCCCATCTTTTAAACACGGCACTGCTCATCTGGGTGGTATGCGCCAGCACCTCGTGGCTAAGACCTTTCGGTGAAAGTTCTGGAAGTCCGCCAGGCTGCGCGGCTGCCGAAGGGGTTGGCTCGGCAGCCATGGCTTTTTTGTACAGGTTATGGCCTGGAAGCGGTGCGGGGGCGCAGAGGACTTCCCATGGTTTGATCTTGAGCCAGTTATCCGTGCGGTGGAGAATTTCCATCCAGTCCGAACGGGAAGGGGACCGGGGCGCAAGGAAGATGGGGTACCCGTCGCAGATGCGTGCGACTCGAGCTACCATGTGAACATGGCGAACGAACTCCTTTTCCGGTGTCTGGAGCAGCGAGTGGCATATCAAGAGCGAGTGAAGGGCATCGGTAAGTAAGGGATGATAGGTCACAGCTTCGTAGCAGACGTCTGGGTTTCTGGCCTTTTGGCCGGAGGAATTGTTTCGGTTTGCAAGGGTCAATGCATCCGATTCCTCCGGGTAGGGTGGAAGGTTCGTAGGAGGCGTCGATGAGAAGAGATCAGACACCGGGTAAATCTTGTACAGCGTGGCGGGAGTGCCGTCGGGCAGGGTAGAAAGTATAGGCCCTGGGGTATAGTTGATCAACGACAGAAAAGTGAGATAATCACGAAGAGCCCGTCGAGCGTTTGTCTTGACGATCTTCCTTGCCTCCAGCCAGCGTCGATGAGCCTGTTTGTCCTTGGGACCGTTGCCGTCCTCGGTCGCATTGGGTTCATCGCCGTCATTATCGGCCGACTCCCGAGCCTCCTTGGATTTTTCATAGGCGCTCAATGCTTCATGGATGTGTTGGCATGCAATGCTCATGTATACGCCGGCTCTGTGGAAGAGTAGCTGTGCCTCCAGCCCGCGTGGCTGGTCTTTGTCATCTATTTTCGTGTTGTATCGGGACGGCATGGATTTCCGCCTGCTGCTTTCCGTCACCACCTCTATGTCCTTTTTCGCGTCTTCGTGCTGTCTGCCGCAGGTGCGGCAAGCTGCAAGTCCATCTGTAAGATCCCTTGCTGCGCCCACCAGGTCATCCTTCAGCATCTTCGCCACCGCTCTCGTCCGGTAAGTAGCTCCATCCAGCTGTCGTACAGCAATAATATCGTCCAATGGCTGCAGACTGGTGCACTGCACCAAGGAACGGGACGGAATCTTCTCGTGAAAGAAATGGACGTACTTCGCATCGTAGTCGTTCTCGTTCCGCTGCAGGACCAGCTTCGCGACCTCCTCCAACGCCGAGGCAGATTGCATCGTTGCAACACTGGCTGCAATCTCGTCAAGAGCATACGCCTTGGATAGCTTCTGCGTAGCATGTTCTCGCATACGATGGCGTCGTTCTCGGCTCAGTTTCGTGCCATCTCCTCTGCCCCCCCTCATTCCGGAGCCACCCAGAGAACTCCCTCCATTGCCACCGAATAGACCGTATCCAGAGTTGAAAGATGTGCTCCCAGGCGGAGAGATCGTTCCATTAGCTGCACGAACAGCGAGATCAGTAGCTTCCTCAATCAATCGGCGGATCTTGATGAGGTCGAAGAACACGCCCGGGTCGATTGGCTGTGGCTGCGGAGAGGCATAGTTGCTGTACGCCAGGCTCTCGAGGATCTCAGGAGGCAGCTGGAGCCACGGACCATGAAAGGACGAGATGTATCGCCAGTGCCTGTGTGATCGTAGCAGATAGTAAGCACAACAATGTCCAAATAATGAGAGTGACAGGGATAGTTCAAGTCTCGAAAAATAAATTCCTTCATAGCTTCATTATCAAGCTACATAACTTCTCCACCCTGCACATGAAAGAGGATTAAAAAAAAAGAGAGATAACAGAAGATAGACAGCAGGCTCACTTGTTACGGCAGATAATGAGCGCTGAAGTTGATGGCTCTGCGGGCGCTGGATCGATAGCTTTTGGCAGAGACGAAGATCCTTGTGGCTTTTGCTCCTGGTGGCTCCGAGTTGCAGAAGCAGCAGCACCAGCACCAGCAGGAAGAGGAGGAGGGCTGTCTTTTTTGCTCTCGCCAGCCTTCTTTTTTCTGGTCATCACGGCGTCTCTCACAGGACTACAGAGGAGCTGCTGTCCGGTCTTATAACCCTGGCGTAGACGTTTTTGATAAGTCTGAATTTGTTTGATAACGGACTGGTGGAAGGAAAAAAAAAAGGTGTTGAAGTTAAAAGGGCCAGTTCAGATATTAATAAGATGGGCGGTCTTTTTTTCTTCTGTTTGTACCAGGGCCAGCAGACGGGAACCCGCAGTGTGAGTGATATTTTGTCTTCTCTCTCCTCTTCACATCGCTTCTGCTCTGCCTCACTGGAACAAAGCGAAAAAGGGCGTAAAAAGATGCACAAAAGTGACGCCGAAGTTACTCTAAAATAAGCTTAAAATGATAGCTAAAAACAACTTGTCAGACCTTCTTTTTTTCTGCTTGGAGCTCAGGTAAGACTTTCTACAGGGTTCTCCAAGTAGCAGTTAGAGCGGCACAGCGAGGGCTGAGGGTTGTACGAGGAGAATAAATCAAATTATGACTATATATTATTCAGTGGGTATCCATGATATTATGACCCGACCATAACTCCAGGGTTATGCTCGTAGTTTGTGCAAAAAAGAAAAATAACCCCCATCGGCTTTCAAGATTCGGCGCTGAGCGCAAGACAGGCGTCAACCGCAAGACCGACCCTGTGTCAGTGGAGGGAAGGGTTAGCTGTGGTCCAAAAAATCTGAAGATATCGGATGAGAAATTCTAGACTAACCTCCCTTCCTTCATGGTGACAACGTCGTCGATCAAATCTCGGTCCAGGTTCGGGAACATGCCCGCGAGTGTCCTGTAACGCGTGAGTTATAGATCATATCGCCCATGCCAGACTAAAATAGCTACTTACTCGACAACATCGTTGTGCTCAGCTCGTTGGATGCGGCGAGCTTCCGCTGACTCGGCGCTTGCTTGACGGGCAGCTGCCTCCTGGGCTTCAAAACGGGCAGCAGGGTGTGGCGACATCCCGTCACGGCCTCTCGACTGCTCCTGGTTTCTCCAGGAGTCGGTATCCTGGCGCTGGGACGGGTACGGTGCATTCTCAGATGCCGCAGAGTTCTGCTGCGTATTATAGGGTGATCGTTCTCGAGGATAGCCTGTATCGTCAGAGAATATTCGGCCGATGGTAGTCAGGGGTTTTTGGATGGTTCGCAGTAATCCCGCGACAGGAGTGTTATCTTCTGACACCGGCGAGTAAGGAGGTGAGACGTCTTTATGCCGCGAATTGGAGCTTGTTTCGAGTGAGGGTCTTGATGTGGCTTCTCTTGGATTGCTAGCAGATGGTTTTTCCGGCACGGACGGTGGTTCATCAGGCTCTGGATTCCGCTCCGCTATGGCGGATACGGCTTCCTCTACGTTTCGTTCAAATTCCTCGTCGCTAACAGTCAATGATGTCCTATCTAGGGATTCTATAAACTGTATAGCACCAGACTATCATCTTGTTAGTAAACACTGGATATTATTAAGAGATAAAAACAGAGACATACCAGAGAAGACAAGTAGTATCCGGCCTCTCCGCTTAACTTATCCTGGTTACGAAATCGAAGAATATACTGCACATTGGAGACTAGATGCTCTGGGTTCGCCCTTAGAACAACATATATCAAAAGAGGTATGAACGAATCTGCCGAAGTATCGCTGTTCTTTGCATGGCGTAACAATCCTGCTCCCGTTAGATAGAGGCCATGGCAAAAAAGGTGATAAAGATATGCATACCAAATATGACTTTGCAGCAGTTCAGAATGCATATAACTTTATCTCGTGGCGCCCGGTATCCCTTTATCTTTAATAATTCTGTATCAAGTTAGAATTGCATGCATGATAACGGGTCATACTGTATATCCAGTACCTTGTTGGGCCAAGAGTAGGAACCGACGTCCGTTAGGGCCAACGGGTGGAATGTCAAGATGCTCCTCCCGAACCCAGCTGTATATCCGAACCTTCTGAGCCAAAATCTCATCCCGCTCAACGTCTTCCTGATGTTGCCCACGTCTGCCAGGATTATGCATCCTTTCCATCTCCTTCCTTCTTCCTCTGCTTCTACTCCGCGAAGGGGCAGGCGGAGGAATAGTCGGTGAAAAGGTTTGGGTATAAAGTCTGTTCATGACCAATTTTTCCATACCCTCTTTGGCGTTATCAAACTCAACATCAGATACCCCCTTCCATACCTCACACTGGGCCATCTTGTTGGTTATAAAGGCTAAGAAGTCGCTTATTATCTTAACTTGCTCATGAACCATCCACTGGCGTTTACCAAATTCATTCAAGAATGATCGTAAGAACTTTGCAACCGGGTCAGCTGTTCGGTGTCGCAGCTGTTCTAGAAAGCGATGGAAGTCAAACGGTTGCTCTGCTTCCGGTTCTGGGGGTGGAGGAACTGCTGAAGTTGGAGTCGAAGGTGTGTGGTGACTATCAGGCTTTTCGATGGCCGCCTGTTTCCCTGAGCTGGTCATGGATGGAGACTTTGGTGGTACAGCAGGTGGAGACATAGACTGACGATTGCTGCCTGCACCGGTAAGAGCAGAAATTGTTTGGATATCCGAGGACTCATCATCCTGTCTTGCAGGTTGCTCCAAGCTTGACTTTCGCGGAGGGAAATGTCCCTGGCCGGTCCGAAATTGATCGGCCAGTTCAAGTCTTGGAGACATGATGTCTTCCTGGCGGAGGCTGCTAGTCTCATCTGCAAACTGGCCCATGATCGTCTGTATCTCTGACTGGGAGTCCTCACTTGTCCTCTCCTCACTTTCGGTCTTTGGCTTGTTAGTACTGTCGAGTAGCTCATCTGAGGGAATTTCAGGTAGGTCCTTTTCGGTAGGTGATCGTGGAGCCTGCGGAGTTTTAGGGGTCGGATCGAGATACGGCTCATCTTTCTTGGGAGGCAGAGGTGGCTGGTCCCTTTGTGTTTCCACTTGTAGTAATTGGCTAGGATTTCCACGTTTGGACTGAAGGGTGAGCTGTTGGGGTGGCTGTTCCGAAGATTGTTCGTCCTGCACCTTTGCCGATAAGGATGGTTCGCCTCTATCTAAAGCTTCCGCCGCATCTTCAACGCTCTGAGAGAAGCCCATCTTGTCTCCGGTGCCATTGTTCTCTACAGCATCATCATCCTTCGATATGGCTTCACTGCCCGGTTCCTTAGAAACTGTGCCATTTTGGGGGTCCTCGCTTTCCCCTAGTTTCGTAGACGTCTCCCCAACGACGTCTGACGGGGAGACCTGGATTTCCGGAGGAGACATAAGCTCAACATGAGCTGTGTGAATGGTGTATATATGTATCCGAGGGCTGTTAAATCAGCTGTCTATCATGATCATCGTGGGAATAATCGTATCGTAGGATGGTTTCTGGTTGAAATATTGGCTCTCACACACAAGCACGGCCTGCTCCTGAGTCCACAAAGAGCTTCCCTGTACTTCTATATATCTGAAGTTGTCAAGAACTCCGTATAATTAAACAAGTTCGAGCTCAGAAGTTCCAACTAAAAAAAATTGCCGGATTATCGTTTTGCCGGAACTTCCCAAGAGGGGCATAAAAAAAGAAACATCGAAGGATTTTAACGATTCGACAATGCAGAGGAGATTTCGCCATGTGTGGCATCTTCTTCTCTTTGAGTACTGGGAAACACTGCTATCCGGACCAATTGATAGAGCAGCTTATCCGGAATAGAGGTCCGGATAGCTTTCAGACGCACTGTGTCTGTGTTGATGAGTCTGCCTACCTGACATTCACATCTTCTGTTCTCGCGCTTCGAGGAGAGTCTACACAGACACAGCCGCTGGTAGGCGACAATCAGTCAGTTCTATGTTGGAATGGCGAGGTGTGGAAGCTTGCAGACGGCGCGTTGAAAGGAAATGACACCTACGCGGTCTTTCAGTCGTTTGTTGGCGCGTTGAAGCCGTGTACTGGTGAAGACAGGGAAGATACGTTGAAGAAACTCTGTGTTGCAATTAACAATATCTCAGGCCCGTTTTCTTTTATCTTTTATGATAGCTATTTCCCTCGGGTGATTTACGGGAGAGACTATCTTGGTCGACGCTCATTGCTCCACGGATGGAATAAGAATGGAGACTTTAAGATATCCAGTGTCCGCGACGGTCATACGTCAAACTACTTTGAAGAAGTTGATACCACTGGGATTTATGTCATTGACCTCGCGGGACTATCTAGTCATGACATTGGAAACAATACTGAAGCACCCAAATGCCCTGTCAAGATCTCTATTATCCCATGGTCCCCCGATCCGTCCTCAAGTCTTGTGAGAATACTAATAACCGACCCCTTTAAACCAGATGTAAAATACGATCCACGGCTAACACGATTAGAAACGACCGATCCCTGTCATGAATACATCTACTCCCGAGAACGAGCCTGCACCCCGGCTAGCCATCGATTCGCCCTGTATCAGTATACTACATAGGAAACTACAGGAATCGCTTGAAGTACGGCTGACCACAATACCGGGTATCCTCACATCGCTGGATGCTAAAATTGCAATCCTCTTCTCTGGAGGGCTAGACTGTACTCTGCTTGCAAGATTGGCCCATGATATTCTACCTAAGGGTACACCGATAGACTTACTCAACGTGGCCTTTGAGAATCCTCGAGTAGTAGCGGCAGCTACAAAAAGTATGACGTCCGCTGCTTCAACATCTATATATGATGACTGCCCCGACCGCAAGACAGGTATATCCTCGTATCACGAGTTGAAGAATGTCTGCCCCAACCGCCAGTGGCGGTTCGTCCGCATTAACATTCCATATACTGAGACAGTTGAGCACCGACCGCAGATTAAACACTTAATGTCACCACATAACACAGAGATGGATCTCTCTATCTCCTGTGCTCTTTACTTTGCTGCGAGAGGTAAAGGGGCCTATCATCCTAATGATGAAAACAAAGATGGGATCCACTATACCACACCCGCTCGTGTCCTACTATCAGGTTTAGGTGCCGACGAGATTTTTGCAGGCTACAGTCGTCACTCCATCGCTTTCTCACGACATCATTATCGCGGCTTATTGGACGAAGTCCAGCTTGACGTTGGCAGGTTAGGTAAACGTAACCTGGGTCGTGATGACCGCGTCATTTCTCACTGGGGAAAGGAAGCGCGGTATCCATACTTGGACGAGGGCTTTGTAACATGGGCATTTTCTCGGCCAATATGGGAGAAGTGCGGATTTGGATGTGAGAGAATAGATTCGGATTCGTGGGCAAAAGTGGAGGATGGAAAGAAAGCTCTTCGCCTTGTAGCGTGGAAATTAGGCATGCGAGGTGTAGCTATGGAAAAGAAGAGAGCTATACAATTTGGATCTCGCACAGCAAAGATGGAGAGTGGAAAGAGCAGAGGGACACAGATTCTTGAATGAAGAGCTTGTCACCCTCGCATTTCTCATACATACCCCTGACAGCTATGATGACGCAACAGATACTTCCGACTTCCTCCCTATCTGCTTTTGCATCTCAACCCAACACGTCCTGCCGCCGTCTTCCCACTCAGCCTTCTTTAAAAACACTCCATTCACTCATATTGCTGCACATACCCTTTTTCCATTCACTACTCAAGTGCTCATGACACTCCCTATCTTGATAGCGTGAGGGCATGAACTTGATGGTGGCTGTAAAGGGAAAGGTGCAGTGGTTTGGGTAATATGGATGGGTTTGGAGACTTGGTGGTGAGGCGGAGGGTAGAATGTGCTGGGCTGGACAGAAGATTAAGGGGGAGCTGAGGAAATTAAGGCAAGTCTGAGCTGAATAATAGTCCCCTGATTACTCTCAATAGTTCCTTATTCTGTGTATATATACTCTATGGAAGGCCCACAGAACATAGCTTGCTATTATCCTGGCAATGTGCAAGGCCCGTTGAAAACATCTATCCTTGTCTGATATAGTAGAAACACCTAGTGGGTAATGCCCCTTGGACAATACAACCTTGTCCCATCAGGCTGGAAAATATGGTTGGGGTTTTCGGGTCTACGAAAATGAGATAAAAGTCGATATGTCTATGTGGAAGCCAGAACCGGAAGAGCCAAATAACGAATTCAGATACCTGCCATATAGTATTCACTGGGTAGCAAGCGTCAAGCAAGAGAGACTATTATGTATCGAAGTGGCATGCCAAAATGACGAGGCCGAATACTGATTCCCGCAGAGCATCATTTGGATAGGAGAGGCCAAATGTCTTCATCAAATAAGTTGGTAAATACATTATAATATTTTGAAGTCGCCTTGCTTTCAAGCACTAACTGCAGTAACACAAGCTATTCTCACTCTAATGGTGGCAAACCGCTATAACTATGTTGGCTCCGCCGGTACAACCATAGAACTGGATATCCAACGAAAATGCTTTTACACAAATGCAATGCAAGATACCCTGCAAGGACTTGCCGATACCAACTTTATACCTTGGGGATTAGGCCATGGGATTGACGGAGTGGAAGTGTATTGGGGAGCCAGGGACCCCTGACGCTGGCGGGGCGGACTCGGGCAACTTGCCAAGCCGGGCGGGGGAAAAGAGGGTTGTGGAGGCTGATAGTTAAAATAGACGCGGGTGGTAACTATATCTTCAGCATGCAAGAGGCAGGATGGATGGTTGGGGTTAAGCTTGGGTTTAAGCTCACTATTATAAAGGTTCTAGCAAATCTTGCATTTCTAGGCAGGAGATGATGGCCTAGCATTTTTGGATACTGTGGCGGCCAAGTACGTCTTTGAACATGAAAGTAATGCGAGGACGGAACAGAGTGTACGTGAAGCATACGAAGTGGAGAGACAGGTTAAGGATAGAAGTTTGATTTTGTAAAGGATTCTATCCTATTTATCTAATCAGTGTGCACGCATAATCTAGACCACTGCAAGCCCGAGGGCGAGGGTCAACAGAACGCATCAACTGAAAAAAGAAAGACAGACAGATGGACATCAGCATAAGAATAAAAGAATCAAATGACATTAGGGGCTGGTGTCCATCGAAAAGAATAGAAGTAGAAAGAGGACAAGAGAAGAAAGTAAAAAAGGCCACGAGTCAATCCTAATGCGAAACAAACCAACTTGAGCTGGGGTGAGAAGCCAAAAGAGGAGACATCAGACGGCATGGGAATAAAAATAAGTTGAGAAGAGAAAACATAGCAGTGAGCAGTGATTGGGGCCGAGCAAGCGTTGCAAGAAAAAAACGAGGGGCTGAAACTTTTTTTACAACGCCGTCTGGGCGAGGGTGGTGACCCGACGAGCCTCTATTGATAATAAATTTTTTTTTTTTTGGATGTTGAGATTTGAAGGGTTTGGAGGCTCGTCGGGTAACCAGATCACAAAATAAAACAAAAAAAAGTAACAAAAACCACCAAGTGTGCAAGTGTTGGTTACCCGGCAGGCCTCTGGGTATTAAGAAATTTTTTTTTCTGTTTGGGGGTTGAGAGCTTTAGTTTGGAGGCCCGCCGGGTAACCGTGAACAATAAAAACCATGTAAACAGGGCACATCAATTTCTCATCAACAACTACTCTCCAGTGTGTCCAGCAACGCCTTTCCAGTGTTCGACTTGCTGTCTAGCCTGTTCCAACTCAGTTTCCAACTCTTCAATACGACGCTCAAGCGACTCTTGTAGCTCGACTTTGCGTGCTCTAGACTTTCTGGCTGCCTCCGTATTTCTGGCTCTCTTCACTGCGACAGGGTCGGAAGTATCGACGGTGATTGGTGGCAATGGTTGTCTTTCGCGGGTTCGTTTAGTCACTCCAGACACAGATGAATGACGGTTAGTGCCAGCACGCGTATTGGAGCGTGGTGATGGGGCCGAGAAATTCCGAGAACGAACGGCAGGTGAAGGTGCAGTGGTAACAGAGGTTGGTTCTGGTTGGGTAACTGGTTGAGTGGCTGGTTGAACAGGTGGCTGGGGGGCGACTGTGACCGGAGCCTTGGAAATTTCTTCCGGAGCAGGTGTTGAGTCACCCGGAAAGAGCGAGTCCCAGGCTTCGTGGTCTGGGGGCAAATCATCCACATTTCCGAAAAGCGGCGAGGTGTTGTGGCTGAATGTTCCGGGTGTCCCGAAGGAAGGAGTGCTTAGGTCGGTGAAACTGGTGGAAGATGGGCAAGAGGAATCCAGCAAAAGCTCTTGGGGGGAAACCGTCTGGGGGGTCTCTGGGATGCCAAGGGACTGGGTATTATCCAGGGTCAGCAGGTCACTGCCATTCATGTCAAAGTCGGTGAATTCAAGGAGGCCGACGTCTATATTGAGATTAGCAGTAGTCACAAACAGAGAAGCGGCGACCGACATACCCTCCATCGCGTTTGAATTTTCCATAGTTTGAAGAGGCAGTTGTCGATCAACTTGAGACTGACCAGGCTGACTCGGAAACAGGGGTACTGGGGGACGAGAGGCTTGTACGATCTGACCAGAATGAGGGTCTAGCTGAGGTATAGAAGAGGGTTGTTGAATGTAGCCGTAGGTGTTGGTTGAAGTAAAGTAGGTAGGAACAATGTTCCTCGAATTACGGGCTTGTCTGGCGAGGCTCAGAGACGCTTCCCTGGTTAGCCGACTGTTGGAGGCCGACTGAGAAGGTGAAGGGAAGAGCTGAAAGTCTTGCTGCACAGGGAGGCTGTTCCTGCTCGCGTTGCTGGTATAACTGTATTGCTGATGATTGTTTGAAGCCGAAGGCTGTCTGGACTGGGGTTGGGAAGGCCATGATGGGCGTTGGTTATCCGTGATGAACGACGTAAAGTCGGACTGGGGAATGGTGAAGGAAGTTGAGAACGCGGGGTTTGCACGAGACAAATCAGCAGCTGCGTTCAGAGGTCCTTGAGGAGGCTCTGAAGAGGTTGAAGACGTGGTGGAAGAGTGGGTATAAGCGTGGGAATCCAACGTGGTTGTTGTCTCTGTGACAGAGAGACCGAGCGAGCTAGAGCCTGCGTCTAGAAGTCCATCTTGTAGGCCGATAAGAAGAGAGTCGAGGTCAGAAAGTGCTTGTATGTTTGCGTCTTGGTCCTTTTTGCTCTAGACAAATGATCTGATCACGCTTGTTGAAGTAGTTGTATGAGTGAAAGATGAAGATGAAGGTGAGAGAGAGAGAAGAAGAAGAGGAAGAAGAAGAAGAAAAAGAAGCGAAGTTATAATAAAAAAAAAAAAAAGACGAAAAAGGGCGCAAGTGGCAGTAAATCCCACCGCCTTCCTGATCGAGCGACCCGACTCCTCGCTAAACTCAAAACGGAAGAAAGTGGGTCTCGAGGTGTGAGTCACCGCCTTCTGGTCCCGTGATTGGACAATGGCAGAATTCCCCACCCTGTCTTAGTAAGCAAGAAAGTCGACGCAGCGCGACGAGGAAGCGTCGTAGAGAGACGAGAGGAGATGGAGAAGAGAGCTGAGCAGGAGGCGAAGACAGCGGTGCCAGTATCAGCGAGATGGAGGGAGCGGAAGAGGCCTGGAGTGCGGAGGGATCAGAGCTGAAACCGATAGTTCGTGACTGGCGTGGAGATTTGCGAACCCTGGCAGAAGAAACGAAGATGCGGCTCAACGCCGGTTCAGCCTGAACACGAGCCAGGCAGTCATCCTTCGCCGCCTGCTGTCGTCGCCCTCTGCCGGAAGACTCGGCTGTCGTGCCTGCGACACTCTGGTTGCTGGTTTTATATGAGACCCGGTCCTCGTCTTGACAGAGATGTCGGTGGTCTCTTTTATATATGTGGCCGGGTGGCCACGATGACTCTTTTGCTAGCTTTTCCCAGCTTTCCAGCTTTCGTGCTTCCGCTTTCGGAAGCGCATCTCTGATCATGTGATAGCGTCTTGCCAAGCCTTCACGGGCCGCTTTCGATGACTCAGCGGACCACCCTTATTCAGCTTTTACGTAAGGCGGAACCAGACCCTCCGTTGCTGATAAGATCAAGATAAGATCGCGCTTTGTTCTTGGGAGCTTCGGATGGAGGCCGCGCTTATCCCAGTCAACCCCTCACGGCAACATCTTATACAGACAACATACGGCCCTCTATGACATCTACAGAGTAGATACATATATATATATATTGATTGACTACGTGACCTGACGGGGATATCGACTGTGTCTCGACTGGAGATAGAGTAGAATGTTACCCGTCTCTAGTTGCAGGTTGTAGACACGCGACCATGAACATCGCCTCGCCGCTGCGGAGGGCTCTGGTCAGCTACGCGCACCAAGCTCGTCTCTTCTCCTGCTCGGCCAGATGCCACCAGCAGCAACAAGACGACAGCAAGATCAAGGCGGTGCCGTACTCCTCCCTCACCATCGGCGTGCCACTCGAGTCATACCCGTCAGAACGCCGTGTTTCTCTCACCCCCGCCAATGCTGCTTTGCTGCTGAAGAAAGGGTTTGGACGCGTGCTGGTCGAGCGTGGGGCTGGTGCAGAGTCCCAGTTCACCGATAAGGCGTACACGGAGGCCGGTGCAAACTTGGTCGACCGCCGTGACGCCTGGGCCAGTGATATCGTCCTCAAGGTGCGGGCTCCCAGCGTCAACGGAGAGGTTGGCTTGCTCAAGGATGGGGCCACGGCCATATCTTTCCTCTATCCAGCGCTGAACAAGGAGGTGGTTGAAGCATTGGCTAAGAGGGGAGTCACTTCTTTCGCCATGGACATGATACCTAGGATCTCTCGTGCCCAGGTCTTTGATGCTCTTAGGTGCGACTACGTATTTGAACGGCTTCTTCCCCATAGAGTGACACTGACAAGGGTAGTTCAATGGCAAATATTGCGGGATACAAAGCCATTCTTGAGGCATCTAACCACTTCGGACGGTTTTTACCTGGTCAGGTTACCGCCGCTGGGTGAGTATACTCCCCATATCACTTTTAACATATATCAATGCTGACATTGAATAGCAAGGTCTGTTTCTATGCCTGCCCTTACCACCACAATAGTTAACACAAAGTAGATTCCACCTGGCAAAGTGCTCGTTATCGGAGCTGGTGTTGCTGGTCTCAGTGCAATTTCGGCAGTAAGCCATTACCTCCTCCCAATACTTCTGTCGCTATGTTAACAAGTCAAGGCACGCCGTATGGGCGCCATAGTCCGCGGTTTTGACACTCGCCCTGCCGTCCGTGAACAGGTCCAATCTCTCGGGGCCGAATTCATCGAAGTAGACATCCAAGAAGACGGTTCCGGCGCCGGTGGTTACGCAAAGGAAATGTCCAAGGAATTCATCGAAGCCGAGATGAAGCTCTTCCTCCAGCAGAGCCGTGAGGTAGACATCATCGTTACTACGGCCTTAATACCAGGGAAACCAGCTCCTAAACTGATCACCGAAGAAATGATAATGGCTATGAAACCCGGTTCCGTGGTCGTAGACCTGGCGGCTGAGGCAGGAGGAAACTGTGTCTTGACCAAACCCGGTGAGCTCGTCATGAGCCCCAACGGCGTCACTATCATAGGTTATACCGACCTGCCTTCCCGTCTACCCACGCAGTCCTCTACTCTGTACTCGAACAATATCACTAAGTTCCTGCTCTCCATGGCACCGGTGGAGAAACAGTACGGTATCGACCTAGAAGATGAAGTCGTTCGTGGCTCTATCGTCTCTCATGCTGGATCCATTCTTCCCCCTGCCCCCAGACCTGCCCCGCCCCCACCGCCGGCCGCACCCAAGAAAGATGACGCTGCCATCTCTGCTGATACGGCGAAGATGGAACTTACTCCCTTCCAAAAGGTATCAAGGGAGGTTGCTACCGTTACAGGCGGGATGGGCACAGCCCTCGCCCTGGGTAAATTCACCGGTCCGCTGTTCATGAGTAACGTCTTCACGGCTGGCTTGGCTGGCTTGATTGGATACCGAGTTGTATGGGGTGTCTCCCCGGCCTTACACTCGCCGTTGATGAGTGTCACCAACGCTATTTCAGGTAATCTACTCGCCACCTCAAAATTGCGAACAGTTACTCATTTGTGTATAGGAATGGTGGGTATTGGCGGCCTATTTGTCATGGGCGGCGGTTACTTCCCCGAAACCATACCCCAGGCTTTGGGAGCATTGTCCGTTCTGCTCGCCTTCGTCAACGTATCAGGTGGCTTCGTCATTACCAAACGCATGCTAGATATGTTCAAGCGTATGTTCCTCTCCCCGTGGCACATGCATCCCTTACTAATACTATGCAGGCCCTACCGATCCACCAGAATACCCGTGGCTCTATGCGATTCCTGGCCTGCTTTTCGGAGGTGGGTACCTTGCAGCAGTCAGTACTGGAATGGCTGGTCTCATTCAGGCTGGATACCTTGTCAGCAGTATTTTATGCATCAGTACGTACCATTTTGCCTGATCGTAATATTTCCGGATGTCACTGACCGGATAGGCTCTATCTCCGGCCTTGCGTCCCAGGCCACTGCGCGCGCAGGAAATTCACTGGGCATTCTAGGTGTGTCGTCTGGTATACTTGCCTCGTTGGTTGCCGTGGGCTTCTCCCCTGAAGTTCTTGCCCAGTTCGTCGGGCTGGCTGGTATTGGAGGCTTAGTTGGTTAGTTCTGTCCTCGCCGAATACTATTATTCAACATACCGACCCTGACACAATGTAGGTGCCATGATTGGTCGTCGTATTACTCCTACTGAATTACCTCAAATGGTGGCTGCACTACATTCTGTCGTTGGGCTTGCTGCCGTGCTCACCAGTATTGGAAGTGTCCTTGCCGATATCGACCATGTTTCAACCCTACACCTCGTTACGGCATACTCAGGAGTAGTTATAGGTATGTCATCTGGTTTTAATCTAGTCCTGGTCTCTAGAGGTAAAAAGGATATCTAACTGATCGATTAACAGGAGGAATCACCTTCACCGGCTCTATCGTTGCATTCCTAAAACTTTCAGGCAAAATGGCCTCTAAACCGCTTGCCTTCAAGGGTCGTCATGTTGTAAACTCTTCCCTGCTGGGAACCAACATGGCGCTCATGGGAGGATTTATATCAATGGCTCCCGGTGCGCCACTGGTGGCCGCCGCGTGTTTATCGGCTAGTACTATTCTCAGCTTTGTCAAAGGGTTCACCACCACTGCCGCCATAGGGGGTGCTGATATGCGTATGTTATGCCTTCACCCAAGCCTGCTGATGAAGACCTACTAAATTAATGAACGTAGCTGTCGTGATAACGGTTCTAAATGCCTATTCTGGTTTCGCACTCGTCGCTGAGGGATTCATGCTTAACAACCCACTTCTCACTACCGTTGGATCACTTATTGGCATTAGTGGCTCTATCCTTTCGTATATCATGGTTCGTCCCATATTTACTCTATGGAAAATAATACCAAACTGACCTGTTATCCAGTGTGTTGCAATGAACCGTTCCTTAACCAACGTGCTGTTCGGCGGAATATCCTCCCCCACCCAGGCACAATCAGATCATCAAATCGAAGGAAAGATCACAAAGACCTCCATAGAAGAAACCGCAGATACTCTTGCTAATGCAGAAAGCGTGATTATTGTACGTTTATTATTCCTTTTTTCAAAAGTTACTGGGCCGGTTGCTAATGCCCACAGGTCGTTGGATATGGTATGGCCGTCGCAAAGGCTCAATATGCCATTTCAGAAATCACACGCATGCTCCGCGCAAAGGGCGTCAAAGTACGATTCGCGATCCATCCTGTCGCTGGCCGCATGCCAGGGCAATGTAACGTCTTGCTTGCCGAAGCTGCTGTGCCATATGATAGTAAGCTCTCATTGTAAACAAAAGTCAGACCATTATAAGCAGTAAAGCTAATGGGTTAAAAAAATAGTCGTGCTTGAAATGGATGAGATCAACGACGACTTCAGCGATACTGACGTGACGCTTGTCATTGGCGCGAATGATACGGTCAACCCTATTGCCCTTGAGCCCAACTCTTCTATCGCAGGAATGCCTGTTCTTCACGCCTGGAAGAGCAAGGAAGTCATTGTCATGAAGCGTGGCATGTCTAGTGGATACGGTGAGACATTCAAGCTAACTCCGTTGAATTTTCATTTGTGCTAACGTCTGATGCAGCCGACGTGCCTAATCCGATGTTCTACATGCCTGGCACGAAGATGTTGTTTGGAGACGCAAAAACTTCATGCGATGGTTAGTTATCTGCAAACATCCATATATCTTTAAAAACATATACTAATGCACATTCCAGCTATCCAACATGCTCTCGAAGCACATAAATGAGATATATAAGCAGCCCCGCGTTTTTCTTCCACTCACGTACCCTGTCGAATAGATCAGTTAGATCAAAGACCGAAACAGACAAGAGATTTCTTTCCCTGTTGTAGAATCCCTTGTACCCAATGTTTATCAAAAGGGCCTTTCCCCCTTATTTCAGTTTACGTCTACCGCTATGTTTTGTTGTTTCACACGTTTATCTTTCATACCCCTGAGCCTGTCGCTGAATTTGCTTGGTTGAACGAGTAGCTAGTTTGACTGATTGATCTATCGAGATGTTTCGACCACGACCAAATAAATACACTTTGAGACTTGCATCTTACGCCGTAAGAATTACTATTAATATATGTGAGTATGCCCCGTACATGTACATACGGGCTGTTTCATGACGTATTCAGCCGTTTTACACCATGCATGAGGGGAGTGTATTCGCCAATGAGGGCATGCAGGGCGGTGATAGTGACGGGCAAGACGGCGGGATATGCGGGTGGCATGATCGATGCATGGCGGGGAAGAATACGAACTTTTGGCCTGCAGGGTTGTTTTATCCGTGTCATGCGGGTGTGTCTGCAAGCTTGTTGACCGAGAAAAAAGGAGCGCGGGAAGTTGATATATCATATAACTAACGGTTGGATATAGCCAGGGGTACGGAGATGGTCCGGCGGTGGCCGTTTTTCTACTATGTAATGGGATTCCATGGGATGAAGTTGACGATGTCTGGATTACTATCAATTTGAGCTATTTGAGCAAAGACGACAAGCATATCAAACGACAGGCGGCCCTACGAGCGAACGAACGGGGCTGCCAGGGGATTCCAAGAAGAGCAGAGAAGCATGGTATCATCATCGACAGAGCGTGACAACATGGATATACGAGTCAAAGAGACAAACAGAAAGATTTACAATCTGGAAGCAGAATCGAACAGAAGAAGAATTATGCAAGACTAAAAACGAGTAATTATTTAACAGAAAAAAAAAAAGAATGAGAAACAAGCAGCGCAAAAAACGGTATGATTTGGGTATCGGGGTATCGGGATCGGGTATGGGTATCATTCACGTCCACCTCGCCTTTTTTTTATATTTTTGATTATAAAAAATCTGTTTCCCACAACACGACCATGCATCATCACCGCGTACAAAGGGAGTGACGAGGCAGTAGGAGGCCAGCGGAAAGTTGTAATTTGGATGGATCGAGCCAGTTATTAATTAGACAAGAAAAGCAAAGACATAGGAAACACAAAAAAGGATAGGAAACACACACACACACACACGGAGACATATATTAGAGTGGGGTTTTGAGGGATTGGATCTGATTAATTTTTTGGTTCAAGTCATTGCCATGCTCGTTAGAAGGTTGGCTGGGGTTGAGTAAAGGATTGGGTGATGGCGGGACAGATTGGGGGTATTGGTTGGTGAATTGGCTGTGTTTTTTCTTCTTCAGTTGATATCGTTATGCTGTAGACAAACCAGGACTGTGCAAGTACCGCTGGTCCCACCACTTTTCGATTTCAACGGAGCTCGTCCTGGCGTCTGCTCTTCATGCCGCGGTGGGGACGGGTTGGGAGGCAGCGACAGGAGCGGGCTCAGAGGAAGCGGGAGCCTCGGTGGTCTTGGGCTCTTCGCCATTGACGGCCTCAGTGGTGGCGGCTGGGGCCTCGGTGGAGGGTTCCTCGGCGATGGGCTCAGTCTCGGTGGCCGGCACAACGGCAGGCTCCTTCTCCTTCTTGACGGCCTTGCTGGGCTTGCGGAAGAGCTGGGAGAGGCTACCAGTCTTCTTGGGGGTCTCACCCTCAGAGGTCTCACCCTCGACCTCGGTCTTCTTCTCCTTCTTACCACCTAGGGTGCCGAAGAGGGAGGTGCGGCGCTTCTCCTTGAGGCCAGGGACGACAGCGTCGGCAGCGGCAGTGACGGTTTCATCAGCCTTGTTGACGGTCTCTTCAACCTTCTTCTCGACAGTCTCCGTGACAGACTTTTCAGTCTTTTCGGACTTCTTCATGAAGGAGAGGAACTTGTTGGAAGAGGTTGGGGTGGTGACCTCCTCGGTCTTCTCGGCCTTCTCAGCGGTCTCTTCAGTTGGAGCAGTGACGGTCTCGGGCTTGATTGGCTCAGAGGTGGACGCATCAACAGGGTCACCCAGCTGTGGGGCGGTGCTGGAAACGGCTGGGGTCTCAGCAACGGCCTCCTTCTTGGCCTTCTCCTGGTCTTCCTTGGGGAACTTCTGGAAGAAGTTGCCGAAGATGGATGTACGTTTGGACTTGACAGGAGTCTCAGTCTTCTTCTCTTCAGGCTTTGGCTCTTCAGCGGGAGCTAAGGGCGTGGCAACCATGGTTAGCAGTTGGCTATGTGATGTAAGGTGTCAACAGAACTTACCATCAGTGGCTGGCTCAGCAGCAGCAGAAGTCTCAGCAGCCTCGGTGGCAGCGGGCTCACCGGCCTCATCAGCAGCAGCGACGGGAGCAGGGGCATCCTCGGCATCGTCCTTCTTAGCCTCCTTGTCTTCGGTCTTGTCTTCCTCCTTCTGCTCTTCCTTCTTCTCTTCCTGGTCCTCCTTCTTTCCGAGGAAGTTTCCGAAGATGCTGGCACGCTTGCGGGACTGAGAGCGGCTCTTCTTGTCGTCTTTCTTCTCCTCCTTTGGCTCGACGGCAGACTCGACGGCCTTGGTAGCGTCATCAACCACCTTCTTGGTGGTGCCAGCGACGGCGGCAACGACTGGTACCTTGGCTGAACCTGAAAGTTAGTACTCCATCCGAAAAGGTAAATGAAATTAAGCTCCAACAGCACTGATCGGTTTGACGTACTGAACTTCTCGAGCTCGCTCTTGTAGCCCTCACCACCCACGATCTCCTCCTTGGCGGCCTTTCCTTCGGCAGACTTGGCCTCGATGGCGGCTATCCAGCTGTCACGCTCTTCGGCAGTGGCGGCCTGGAAGGTGTGCTTGTGGCCGTTGAGCTTGAAGACAAACTCGTTGTGGCCGTCCTTGGTGACGTCAGAGATATCGCTCTATTATCTTACGCGTTAGCCCCTCTCCTTCATATCTTTTCCGCCCGTCCGAATTAACCCACCAGGTTGATGATACCAGCGGGGCTGGCCTTGTCCTCAGAACGCTTGGCGAAGAAGAGCAGTCCCTTGCCGGTCTGGCTGGCCCACGCAGCGTTAGGGTGGGCAACACTGAGTTTTTCATTCTGGAAGTAGGAGGTGAGCTGCTTGCTCTCAACGGCCTCCTCGCTGAACCAGAAGTGTCTCTTCACAAAACGGAAGCTCCTAACACGTAGCCTTTTATTAGCTTTTACTCTTCTTCCCCCTTGTGTATGGTTTTTATAACTTACTTGACGAGACCAGGGGCCTTGTATCCGAGCTGGCCGTCGGTGGCTGGGACGACCTCCTTAGCAGCGGTCTCCTCCTTTGGCTCTTCAGCTGCTGGAGTCTCCTCGGCGGCCTTGACGGGCTCCTCAGCAGGTGTTTCTGCAGCTGGCTCAGTGACTACTGGAGCCTCGGTGGTGGTCTCTGGCACGGTGGCTGGAACGACGGCAGGCGTCTCCTCGACTGGCTTCTGGGCTTCAGACATGGTTCTTATGCAGCTTTCTTCCTTGTTGCGAGCTCGTTTATCACGGCGTGAGGTTTGTTGTTTATATGTTGGTTTAGCGGGTGTTATTAAAAGAGCTACAGACGTCCTTTTTCGACGGCGAAAACGGGTATCTCGGGTATCACGAAGAAGCGAAAAAGGAGGTTGAATTAAAATAGTTTAACTGGCGGAGGGTCTGGTAATTATTAGAAGTAAGAAATGAACAAGAAGAAGAAGAAAGGTATCACTTTGGGGGGGGGGTATCAAGACGGTGAAAGATGGGAAGAAGTTGAAGAAGTGCGAGGAGGGAAGAAGAAAAAGGTCAGATTAATATTTCGCGAACAAGGGAAGTTTTTTTTAAGGGGGGGCAAAAATTACCAGCAAGAAAAACAAATAACGAAAAAAAGGGAGCGTAAGGTAAGCGCGATACGGGGATGGTAAGTTACGGCGGGCGGGGACCAGCCCCTTTTCCCTGGTCAGGTCATGACAGTACCGGTAATACGCGTACCCAGGGTGACAGCTTCCACATGACCATGAAGGAGACGCATGTTGCCTCGTTCGGGTTAGCGCGGTCTTGTAACCCGCCTGCGATCAGCGGTATGTAAGTTACGGTTACATGACGGTACAGCGATCTTCTGTCTTATGTAAGACCTCCAACTTACCGCTATAGACACGCCAGATGCGCCATACATCAAGCGGACTCCAACCACCGCAGGCAGATCGATGCAGGTACTCCACGACTGCTCCGTATACTATGTACTATGTACGTATATATCTCGTCGACCACCATCTCGTATCCTCTGCGTGCTTCTGCTCCCAAATCTCTCTTTTCTATTCGAGACAAAAAAACAAAAAAACCCCTGATAGCACGTGACTTCCCCTTTTACCTGGTGGAGACTTTTTTTCTCTTGGCGTAAAGTCACATGTTTTTCCCTTTTTTTATTGTTTCGATTTTTTTTTTTTTTATTTTTTGCTGCTTTTTTTGGCGATTTTAACTCGTTGATTGCATTTTGATGTTGACGAGAACGAGGATGAGAGCGCGCGTTGGTTGACAGGCTGCAGGACGGACAAGTCGAGACGGTGGCAAGCGATTGTCGAAACGTCCAACGGACTCTGTTTACTCCCTTAGTACGCACACGCTATTGACTGGTGGAGCACGGGAAGGTACCATATCATTACTGGTAAACACAGAAGAGAGACCGAAGAAAGATTGAAATTCGTTTCCTGTCTTCATCATCATTAAATTACATAGTACTGCTATCGCGTAATAGTGGAAACACACCGTCATTCGCTCAGTCAATAGCTGGCTCGCTTCTGTCCCCTCACCCCTTTTCTTTTCTTTTTCTTTTGCTTTGCTCCTTGAGACGCTAGGCAAGGGTAGCTGTGGCCTTGTCACCACAGGAGCTTCTTCCAGACAGGCCCCTGCGCCAGGCCACTTGTCAGGTGAGAGAGAAGAGAGAAGGCAAAACCTGCTGGCGAGGTTGACGACTTGTCACGGTAGGCGAACATGCCATCTCTTTTTGCCGGATGGGTCGCCCCATGTAAGTATATGCGTGGTACTATTCTAAGTAAAACACCGCACCCCTGGTCTGGCCATGACATTTCGCCTTGATAGCAAAGTGAACCGATGGGGCTGCAAAAGGAAAACCCTTGGAGCACCGGCAGTCCACTCCGGCCAGCTGCAATCAGCGTGTGGCTGTCAGAACATATCTAAAATGAGCTGTTAGAGCTGGTCGATCGTGCCAGGGGGCGTGGAGCTTCTTTTTTTTTTCCTTTTTTCCCCTGGCCACCATCCAATGATGCGTGCAGGGGAGTATTTAAAAGCCGTTTGCCGTGCAACTGATGAGGAACCCTCAATGCAACCAAGGGGGGAGGGGAGAAGGCCCAAAAGGAAAGGGTAAGAACTTACGACTTGATGCTTTCTGTCCGCTCTGCTGTCAGTTTCAAGCACACTTTCATCAATTCCAATGCAACGGTAGGCTCCTTTGCCTGGACTGCCTCCCACTCTTTCGTCCCAAGCATCCAGACCACACAGTCCCGCTCTGCCCTCACCGTCGCAGTGCGGCTCGTTTCGCCAAAGAACGACAGCTCGCCACACGGTCGGCCAGCGACTATGAGCTCAAAGTAGCTTCGGCCCTGTGGAGCTGCATATTCGGCTCGTAGCATGCCTGATTCCAGCAGGTAGAACTGGCTCGGATAGTCGCTCTCGCGGTACAGCACCGACGACTCTGGGAACTCGGCCCGTGTGAAGAACGGGCATACCAGAAGCCAGAACTCAGCGGGTTTGGTGCTGAGGCCCTGGAAGCTTTGGAGCATCAGCGGGAGCGGTGGCTGCTGCTGCTGTGCCGGTGACAGGCGTTTGTGTAGGATCTTGCCCGAACGAGAGTCTTCTGCTTCCTCACGCAAAAAGTTGGACGCTAGCTGGTGCAGATAGTAGCCGCGAGGGCTGTTGATTGTCGCATCGGAAGCTAAAGTTTGAGCATGGGCCTTGCTGTACGGCTCTACGGAAGTGCATCCCTTAGCATATAACCAGGTCGATGAATTATATATTAGGCATCAAAGGGAGATCAACTTACTCAGGTTTCCCTCTCCAGTGGATGGTCCAGCAGATGGAGTGTCTTTGTGCTCGTGGATCGCCTTCAGGGACTCGTTCTCACAGTGCTCCAGCGCAGAGTTCAGATCCTGGAAGATCTCCACCGCATCGTCCAGCTCAAACAGTCCAACATTCTGCAGACTCTGGGCAACCTCACCGGTAATATCAAGCCCGCACACAAGCATATGCACACCCTTCTTTTTCAATATCCTGTTCAATCTCGTAAAGGCCTCAGCAGCTGAATAATCTAGTCCGTTGACATACGAGAAATCCAATATCAGAAACCTGATAGGCCGCTCGCTGAATGCTTCTGCATCCACTAGCCCACGTATCCGCTTCTCAACGCTGACGATGGTCCCAAAGAAAAGGAACCCGGCGAGCTTGATGACGAATGTCTGCTTTCCGGCTTCTCGAAGGAACCTTGTGTGCAGTGGATGCCGCCGGACAGTAGAGAGGGCTACTTGGCCCGTGTATGTCGCCGTGATAGCGGACTTCTGTGATGTTTGGGCCACGAAGTTGACACACGCAAGGATGATGCCTACGATGATGCCAGCAACAAAGTCCCAGGCCCCCATCGTCACAACAATGGTCACAACCTAATCCACCTTGTTAGCCAAAAAACCTTGTCAGATAAGCAAAATGAGTGTTTACCGTCAAATATTCAAGTCTATGCAGTTTCCCCCACGTATCAACGAGTGCTTCCTCTAAAAGCTCAATCCCAAGCATATAAATAAGAGCGCCAACAACCATAATTGGAATATACCCCACTATCCCAGGTCCAATAACCAAAATACCAAATGTGCCAATAGCCAGCATAATCCCTGCTAGGCGGTGGTTGCCTCCGCTGGCAATAAATAGAAGACTGTTTGTGTACACAAGGTAGTTCTGTGCTATCTGTTAGCTAGGGTTAAGTGGAAAGGGCGGTAAAACAACCATACCTGCACACTACCCGCAAAACCAGAAAATACATTGGATATGCCATGTGAGACCAGCTCTCGGTCTACGTTAAGATGATCTTCACCCGTGGAAATACCAAGCGCTGGAACGTTGATAGGAACATGAAGAATACCAAAAAAGGTTAATGCAAACATTGCTGGAACAGTTTCTGCAAGCGCAGGCCAGTGGACCGCAGAAAAATCTATCCATTGGTTAGACTCGTTGAAGGTTAGCTTAACAGGATGGAACATACCATATAAAGTATAAAAATGATACCATGGCTGTGAAGATGCAGGAGCATAAAAAACCCACCCCCTTTCCCTCAACGAGCCCATAGATGTATTCAAAATAAACTTGACAATGTAAAAACCGGCCCCAATGGCCAAGAAATATGCACAAAGCAGGATGTTAGAGCGTATAAATCGCTTCAAAACAAGGAGGCCAATGGCGAGAAGTAAAGGAATTGTCCATAGAGCGATGGTGTCAAGCTGGAAAAGTTTCTCTAGCGTTTCGAGGTTGTATTCTAGATTGCCTGACAGACGAGCCGATACTTCGATGCCAGTGACGACAAGAAACCAGCCCACGCCACCAATACAGCCGATGAGGATATGGCGGGGGAAAAAACCAATCAAGGAACCGAGCTTGCATGCTCCCATACCAAAGAACACTGCTCCAGTCAGAATGGCGCTTAGGGAAAACGCTAGGATAGTGGTTGCATAGACGGCTTGTGGATTATTGTCGCCCACGCGTGCAACAATTTGTATTGCCATTGTATGGAAAAATGGGACAACTTCAATCATCTCTGCGCCAACACCGCCTTTGAACTTTGATCCCCCACAAGAATAGACTAGCTGGGCGATGATGGTGCTGACATAGAACATAGCTATACCATCTGCACCCATGGCAGCAAAAATTGGTTCTCCCAGCGGGAAGAGGATCATGCCGTAGGAGAGAGCATCGAGCACATTGAGCAGTAAACCTAAGAAAACAGCTGGGAGAAGACTGAGCGGGAGCTCTACCCCGTTTTCATATATAGCTTTCTTATTCCATGTCCGCGGGCTGCATATTATTTTAGCCCATATCGGAGGTTTTGAGATCATCCATCTACCTAAGCCTGCTATATCTGGCTTTTGAAGTCCAATATTTTCAAGGTTTTCAGGTACTGCGCCATACTCGGAGACGCTCTGAACCTGGATCAGCGGTGCTTGTTCAGGGTCTGTTATCTGAGGTATAGATGTCACTGGGCGGCGACCAAACGGCCTTTCATCTTCGTCAGGGTCTTCTATAGCTCGCCCCCGCCCTGACTGTACAGGAGCACTGGTCGACTTTGTTAAAGGATTCGTAGGAGACGATCGTAGCATGGCAGTCAGGGCAGATTCGCCCACATAAGAAGGAAACGCGGATCCCCGAGGAGTAGTAGGTTCGGACCTCTCTTCGATTGCCTCTGGCCGAGACCGAGAACGGGTAAGACGTTCCGATACTCCATCACCAAACCAGCTGTCCCTCGCATATAACCCTCCCGTTGATGTTGACAAATCACTAGCATAACCAGAGAGTGACTTGTGACTAATTGATTCAGCGTCTGATAGGGCAAGAGACTCTATCTCTGCAGTTCGTTCTCTGACCCCCAACGATGAGTACTGGGCGGTGTCTAAGATGAATAAATTGTCAACGTTTTTTTTCATTGGTAGTGTAGAGCATTGATGATAATTCTCACCTAAGGGCCGGTGAAATGTTCGGTGGTAGAAAGAACGTGTTGGCGTTTTTTCGCTAACAGACACACGACGGCGTATTGAAGCTCCATTCGAAGCATCCGGAGCTTGCAGAAAATCGGGGTAGTTGCTCGTGGTCGTAGCACTCTGTCTTCTCTCAGAAATAGGTGCGGCATCTCTCAGAAAGCTCAGGTTAGACAAGGTAGACGAACGTCGCCTACCAGAACCTTTCCCTTTGCTTCCGTGCATTTTGTTGTTCAGTTGATATACAGAACATCCACACACTTTCCACGACCCAGGAGAGCGGAATGGCACTAGAGGGGTCTTAGGGCCGTATCTTGGGGCTACACCAAAATCCACGGAGGGTTCATTCTGGCAGAAGCCACTGAGGAGAGAAGGTGTGTAATTAAGCGGCGGTGGTCGTGATCTTGAAGGTCCCCCTCTCTTGGTCTTGTGATAGCTTACTCCGTTACAAGACCGACCTAGGCTGGCCGAGCAAGGAATGACGCAAAGAAGCTAATTAGGTACAAGGATCGCTACCAAGTTCTGGGCGAATACGAAGTATCTTTTGGGCGTCCAAAAACATATCAGCTGCAGAAGCAAGGTCGACCTGATATCGAGGCAGAACACTCCGGTCCGTTTGGCCTCCATGTCTCAACATATTTGGTAATATCAAGGCCTCCCTGCTGATAAGATGGCTTGGATGGTTGAACCCCGGTCTGTGGCGACCATGGCACGGCAGATGCTGCTTTGACATCGCGCTAGCCGTGAACTATATTGAACGAACAGAGTTAGCCAGTTACAAGCTATCTCTCGTTCTTCTTCAGGCCCGCCCTCAGCTGCGGGGATGGATAGCGGTATGCATAACGATACATACTTACGAGTAGCAGAGTTTTGTCCCATTGTTTTTATCATTATTATTCTTCCTACAAGAATAAAAAAGGATGAAGTTGAAGTTGGAATCAGCGCCAAGATTTAACGCTTATCTAACTTTCTCGGCGATAGATTTGATGACTAAGCATATCGAGCCGCATATTCACGTGTTTTTATACGAGGATCGACCTTGCTTCGAGGTTACTTTTCATGATAGTAAAACCAACCTCACCTTAATTAATTAATGCCTTTATGAAAACCAGATCTATATTAAAGATTATGGTCTAATTACATAGGTAGACAAACCTGGATGGGGTCCGTGAGGGTATTAAACTAATAATGTTTACATGGACGTAATTTCTGGCCGGGGATAATAGTTGATGGACGAATAACTATTTAGGTATTCTTTGATATCTGGTATGCTCCAGAACCCCCGGGTATGGACGCAAAGATCGTCATTGCAGCCGTTGATCTTACACCCCTCTCCTTCTCTCTGAATTCACAAGTCTGAAGGCTTAGATGAACAAAAGGTGCACAAGGCTGGGGCTACTCAATGAGTTTTTAAGGGAGGCTGGAGACTGTGCTGTTAAAGTATTTGGAAGGTCTCTCTTGGGGTATGAAGAAGGAAAGGTGGAAATAAGAGTGTCGTTTTGAGCTTTGAGACACCATTTGATCCAAAAACTTTCGAGCCATCACAACGCAAAGATTTAATACCAAATCGTTTCGACTGTACGTGAATTGTACAGTAAAGGAATCATCCATGGCGATGTTAAACCAGCCAACTTCCTTCTCTGTGCTGATGGTCACTCCAAATACGTGACTTTAGCGAGTCTCTGAGAGGTGATGGAGATCACAGTGGGTGGGACTGCATGGCGGCAGCGGACTATGTGCCACCGGTCAGGGCATGAAACTGGCCGGATCTGACAGACCTGCCTCCCACGATTGAGGATGACCGTTGTGGGATTGGAGTAACCATCTGGAAACTCACGAAGAAGGTCCCGTTTGAAGGCTGGTATAGCGACGATATCATGTGGCATCTTAACAGAGGGGAGACCGTGGATATGAACGAATTTGATGATGGGGAAGTACGGAGCATCATCCGCCAGTATCTACGATATGATGGTGCAAATCTCTAGCTTCGGTGTGGAAAATGTCCAAAACTCATCATTGTTGGAAAGTGCCATGGGAGGTCAACTGGGTTGATAATACAATATATTTTTGATAATCCGCTCTTGTGAATGCATTGACATATGAAGATGGTTGGTTGGCTATTAGTATGCGGTAGCTTCCCAGCTATCAAGCAGGGGTCGAGTGGCATTCCTTTATAGAGTATATTGATGATATCATCCATCGTTGCTAAGAAAAGCCTGAATAGTCTAGTGGTATGATTTATTGGCTTGGGAGTTTGATTGGTTGCCCTGACAGGTCGCCGAAGGGTTGTGTATTCAATAAGTCAGGGTGTGGTGATATCTTCTCTCGAGGGTGTGAAGGCAAACCTAAGCTGCTGACTTTTCAAAGTTGAGAGTGTAATTAGATATTTGCAGGATCGTTGGTAGCCAGGGTTATACTCTCTAGAAGGCTGGTTCCGTGGTTTATACTAGGTGTGGTATTGGATAGAGATCTCGACCCTTCAAGAAATCTCTAGCATTAGGCCCCTAGATATCCTTGGCTACTCTTCCTGAGATCACTAGTTCGCAAAGTAGACCGCGCTATGGAGCAACTTGATGTACACTGTTGACCTGTTCTAACCGTAGAAACAGGCGGAAACGCAAACGTAAGCGCGAGCTAAGGATGGTTTGGACAATGTGGCGAAGGCAAGCAGGATGACGAGATTTGGCTTCATAAATGCCATGGTTACGATCACTCATTTGCGGGCAGGTAGCTGGTTGGATATATGGAGGGGCAAAGGGTGTTAGACGGGGACTAAAGGCCAACGAGGGAATTATCAGAGTGAATAGAAAGGGGACTATGAACAATTCGGTTCTGGAACAGGGATAAGGTTGCCGACTCTCTTTGGCATTGGGCATGTATATGGTACTTCAAATGCTTGTGGCCATTTAAATGTGATTTCCACACAGTTTTTTCCCACATGGCTGCACAAGCCATGATAGCGTTGGCGAAGAAGGTCAATCTCTAACTTAGTCGTTGAAGGTAACCCTGTGTGATTAGTTGCTCTACATCCCCCAACCTCACGAAGAACTGACTGTTCTTTGTCAAATTGATCGACCTATGTGCCCCGCCGAGATAAAAATTTAATAGCATTAGCCTTACAATCTGGATATCAAACATAGAACCACGTGGCTGAATATAAGCCAGAGTTGACTTGAACAATGCTTACCCGTATTCAGTCTGGATCTCCCCTGCATCTTTTAGAACTCGAACATCGATATACAATTCCTTGGGGGGCTCCAGCCTGCCCGTTAAATCGATATCAGTCCAGTGGCCCTTATACGCCATCAGCATCTCATTATACTGCCGAAAGTACTCTTCTTCCACCGGTGTCAGTGAACTATTATAATGACTATTTGAGAGAGGCTGCTTATCCCCTCTCGGCATTCCGTGATCTTCGTTGTTATTCTCATTCTCGATTTCTCGTTGCCGTAGTTGGTGTTCGAGAGGGTCTATCCCATTCCAGCACATTTCCTCTATTTTCTCGGCTCTGATTCGGTGATATGTGAGAAGGCAGCGTTTGTTGCGGCGCATAGACAGATGGTTGACTAATAGAGCACAAGCGGTTACCGGGTCGTCTGCAGGATTGAATGATGATTGAGGGGCGCCTTCCTCTTCTCCTTCGGCGGCTATGCGGGCCTGTTCAAGCTGTTCAAGAATACGGGCCACATCTCTATCGAGGTCGCGGACCTCGCGGGTCACTGCCTGGACAATCTCTCGTTGGTAGGGTGGGAGGTATGCGAGAGATTGGGTACGTTTGGCATGTTGGACCTTGACGAATTAGTATCATTATGAAATTAATTTCAGCTGTGTATTCTATTCGGTATACAAAGAAATCATCATACCAACTTAGTTCCCAAGTCGCCATACATCTGGACTGCGTATGTCGTGTTAAAAAATGAAGAAAGGAAGTTTCAACTAGTCAACATATAATGTCAATTATAGGTCAATCACTGAAAGGGCGGCCCCAGCAACAGCAAGAAGGGCCACTATATACCTTCAGTGATCAGTTGATACTACTATTAGCGAATGCTGAAGGAGAATGTCTTGCTGAAGAGCAACAAAATTCGAGTTCGAACAAACTCGTGATGCAGCGCTTATCGATAACAAGGTAACTAAGAGCCGCGCCAAGATTGAGCTTCGCAACATCAAACAACGTCTCTTGATATTAACTTAGCTTCTTTACAACTCCGGGTGAAGATATGAAAGTGAATCAAATTCCATTTCTCTGTGAAGAGTGCACTTTCTAGCGAAGTTAATTTGCTGCAAAAGACTATATGAAAAAAAAACACTATTACCAACCCTGATGATGATGATGCAAAACTCTCATGAATAGGATATGTGTATCCAAAAGCGATGAGATGGCCACCGATGGCATGAGCATGAGCATAAGACAGTAAGAGAGGACAAGCTGTTGAGGAATAGAAGGCTGTAGTAGGCAGAGAAAAGTTGAGGAACAAGGTGATATCAAGAAAAGATGCATAAAAACAAATAGAAAGGGAAGTATTGTTTTTTTTTTCCAATCTCGACTCTAAAAGAAAATGATTTTCGGAAGGGAGCCAAAAATAAGGAAACCTTGATATCATGATGAGGTTAACGCCGGCATTCCAATCACTCCTATGTGCGCCTGCCATCCACACCCGTGTATTCGAGAAACCGCATCTGCCAGCGCCACCGTGAAGCATGAAACAAAAGTAAGGAAAGGAAAACAAAGAAATTTGAGGGAATAAAGGGGGGGTATTGCTCAATAAAACAAGGAGAGAATGTTAAGGTGAATCTGGAAGAGATAAAAAGGTGGTCAGTTTAAGAAGCAGGGAACGAGGCTGTTGATTATCCAGCACCTATTCAAGGCGATTTTTTGGGTTAACGAATCGACCAGGCTATCAGCTTACGGTTGATCCACTGAACCATTCGTTAAACTCCTCGCCTGTTGGTGGAGGTAGGGCGTGTGCGTCTGGCCATATCTCACGTCCTGTCATCAGACTAGCCGCTATTGATGAGGGTGGAAGTGTGGTATTGTGGTACTGGTCAGTTTCGGCCCCAGGCATATACCCGTGAACATAATGTTGGTTGCTTGCGGGGTTGAATTGCCAGAAGTCGGTTTGGCTCCCAAAGCTGCTGCCATTGTCTGTCGGGAGAGAAGTAGCTGTTTGGTCAAATTCCAACAACTGGGGGTCAACCTGGGCTTCACCTATAGAGACAGGTAACCTGTTCTGGGACAGTGGCTGTGGTTGAAGGAGCTCTGGATGGGCGCTAGCTGGCATGCTGGTCATAGGAGCAGCAGTGTCATAAGTCACTCCACTTGGCATTCCGATTTTCTTATATGTTACATCTTCAATGTTCGATCCGAGGAGGCTCTGGTGGATTGATGGCTGGTAGTAGTGGGCCTGCTCAGGTTGGGATATGATACCAGGATGAGGTCTACCCGGGTTGATCATCTCCCAAGACGAGCGGTTGACATCTCCAGCCGGATAAATGTCGATATGTGAGCGCGGCATCGGAGTAGAATTACGGCTTTCATAGGTGCTGTCGTTGTCGCATGGGGTCGAAGTCCTGCTGTGGTTACCATCACAATTGGGCCCAAATGGGCGTCGTACTTTTGGTTGACGAGGACAAGAGGTGATATCAAACGTTTGGTCCTCAAAGTCACTGAGGTCTTCCTCATGAGAACGCTTTCTCTTGCTCGCAGAGCCCTGGTTTTTGGTATTTCCCTGATTCTTGATCGTGCCCTGGTTCTTGTTTGGCGCAAATTTATAGTCTGGATGAGCTTTGTGGTGGTTATCTCGCTCGATGGTGGCATATCGTTCATATAGATCTCGGATCTCTCGGGGCTCAAGTGGCCAGCTCTGCCCAGAAGCTCGTGAGACGACTTGATGGTTGTTCTGCGCACACCATTGTTTTGTTCTCTCTGCATATGCTGATCGATAGAGCATGAATGAGTTCATTGGCCGTGCGATCTTACCGTTCTTCATCTTTACTTCCTTCAATCGAGTCTCCACGGGACGGTTGACCCAAGCTTCCATGTCGCGGATTGGGATGTGCGGCATGTTCTTCGTCAGCTCGCTGAGTGGTGCATCGATGGTCGGTCCATCTCCTTTGTCAGCCTTTGCTGGCTTTGGTCGCCGTCTGAGCTTTGCTGGCCTGATGATTCGAACTCTCTCATCAGTACTTGTTTTGGGGGCAGCCAGTCCCTCTTTGAGACCTTCCGAGGCTTCATTAACGCTGATGGATGCTGGTACTGGCAGCTCTCCAGCGCGATGGTAGGTCTGTAAGAGTTGGTGGTTAGCGGCTTTGCTTTTCGCTAGCATCAACCAGCCTGATACCCATTCTTTTTAACCACTTACCAAGACCGGGAGTGACATTTCTTGTTGAAAACCGCATCCTGTCATACTGCGATACATATGGTTGGATTCATATCCATTTTGCTATTTTCAATCCTGTGTCAGAACTAAAGCTTTTTCATAGCAGGCTGGGCAGTGATGATAGAGAAACACTTACCGTTAGTCTATTCATTATTGGAGTACCAACTTCGAAGCTAAATTGAAATGGTTCACTTGTAGAGATATATGTGAACTGTTGCTGGTGCTGAAGCTGTTGTGGCTGACTATGAGGATATGTCTGTTGTTGTTGTTGCTGGTGCTGGTGGAAGCTAGAGTGTGATAGGACCTGAGGACTCAACTTGACGTCGCCGTCGTTTGATGGTGGAGGAGAGGGTGGCTGTTGATTGAACATGATAACAATAGCAGCAGGACAACCCTTTATTTTTCTCCCCTTTAATGGCTTAAAAGGTAATGTATGTGTCCCAGTTAAGAGAAGGGAGAGGGGATTATTAGAAGAAGGGTTTGTTCGCGTTATGAATGAAAATTGCTTGCAGACCTGAAGAAGAGAGGGGACTAACAAGCGAAGGAAATCTCCGTGATAGTGAAAAGAGGCTGTTCTCAGATTGTTTTACCTCCGTCTTTGGGTTGTTACTGATATCTGGAGGGTCTTTGCTATCCTGATTAGTGTTTCATTTGGCCAGAACAGACGGTCGATGGGATTTCAGGAACCAGAAACCAGAGCTATGGTCAGCAGATTTCAGATCCAAAATCTCTTCCGGCAGGCAACAAAAGGATAATCGACCTTCAAGGGGGGGGGAAGAAGAAAGGCTTCTCCACAATGAAGAGAGGATAAGCTGCACTCTGGCCCCAGCGTTGTTTGAAGAGAGGATATATCAAGAGCCGTGTGCAGCAGCCTCCGTGGTTGGTGACTGCGGGGTGTGAGAAAGAGGAAAACGGCGATGCGAGGCGCTATCAGGGGAATCTCCTACAGCTTGTTGAAAGAAAAGGCCAAATCCGGAGGAGAAGCAGAAGATACTGGTGGGTTCTTCCGTAAAAAGAGAGCTTCTTAGTGAATATTGAACGGAGATTTCCTTCTTCCTTCGTTCCTTTGCCTTCTGAGTTCTTCTCTCAGTTGCAGACAGAATGATATCTTTCTCCTTTGCCACAACCGGATAGGTGATAATTGAGGCAGCAGTGAAAGGCCGAAGTGAGAAGAGTGAAGTGAGGATTTTTTTTTAAGAAAAAAAGGGAGATGGATCTCCCTAAGCTGCAAATAATATAGCAGATGATGCCGGTGGAGACACAGCCTGTTTCTCTTCTGCTTGATGAGCTATTGCAACCACCCGTTTGGCTACCCAGGGCAGTGGGAAACAAATTTGACCAGATTCGCAAATACCCTAATCTCTGTAAGAGAGAGAGAAGGGAAAAAAGGCCGGCTGCGAATCAGAGACATGCAGGTTGGCCAGCTTGATCTGACCGTTTTTTCCCTCAGATCTAAAACATATAATTTCCAACCAGTTAGCATTTACATCCGCCCTAAATCTCTCCAGATGCAGACTGACAAGTATTAACGAAACATGGGTTTTTGTGAAGAACATTGATAGTAAGGAGACCTCTGTGAAGAATACATCCTGTCTTTGTTGATTGAGAAAGACCTTTGTACTAACCTGGCAACGGAAGCAGAAGATAATGACCCCCCCTGTTTCTAGCAGCCTTCCCACTTCCTGCTATCTTGCAATCTAATGATGGACAAGAGGCAAAGCAAGAAGAGTGAAGTCTGAACAGATGATACCGAAAATAGCCCCTTTGTGGATGAGAGCAGATGTACCTGTTCTTACCCTCCCTTGCGCGCTTGTTGTTTGTTTCTTGTCTCTGTTTTGTTTCAAAAGTACTAGACCTTGGGACAAGGCAGACAGGCAAGGTGGAGAGTACTATGTCGAAAGCAATTGTTGCGCGGTAGCGGATGGGTTGGATGGTAGCCGTTGTTGGACTGAGATTGAGAAGCGGGCTGGCCTTGACCCTCGACGCTGGGAAGGGATCTATGCAAGAGCAGGTGGGAGAGATCAAGCAAGAATGATATAAAGAACCCTTCAACTACGATGACTTTGGGTTCCACGGGTGTCAATATAAGAAAGTTCCATGTCTGAAAAAAAAACAAAAACAAAACCGCTCCTAGAGAGAAAGGGAAAGAGAGAGGAATGGCGATAATTAAGCCGCCAGCGGGTATGTATGTATATGATATAGTCGAAAAGGCAAAAAGAGCTAAAAGGTCGAACTGGTACATACATGCATATCAGGGTAGTGGTTGGGGGTTTATTTTTCTCATCATCTGCAAAGCATAAAAGACTTTTTTTTAATAAAAAAAAAAGAAAAGAAAAGAAAAAGAAAAAGAAAAGAATATATACGTTTGTATAAGAACGGAGGATGTCTGGGTGATAGACATGGCTGGGCTTGGAACTTTGGCCCGAATTTTGCTTATTTTAGTCTGGTTTCTGTTCTACAGATATTTGTGGAGATAGCAAGTTAAGGGATGTATATACCTGTTAATAGACCATACCGAAGTACTGGCTACCTGGATACTTCATCAGGCCCTCCACCATTCGTGTATCTCGTACGCTTTGTGACCCCATATGCTAGGCTAGAGAGGTACATAGAGCTAAAGGCTATGAGCCATACCCGGGGTCACAGAGACAGCGCTAGAGGAGATGTTTGTCTTTTTGCCCAGTGATCTCGGAAATATTTGTCGAGAGTTGAGTCGAATACTGAAAAGGAGGCCAGGAGGGCTACGTCGTTAAAAGGGCATAGGACGAGTTGACGGTAGATTGGCAGATAGACAGGCATTGGGGGAGAGGGAGAGATGACATGGGCCGTGACGGGTGTATTTTCTTTTCTTTCGAGCTGGGCAAGGTAATCTGGAAACGAAGCACGTTTTTTCCCAACCTGCTTGGGGAATTCTCAAATCGCACGATAGAAGCTAGGGGTTTTTTTTTTTTTTTTTTTTTTTTTTTTTGCAAAATATAGATAGCCGGACTCGTCCAGGATACACCCTGAAGCTGATCCTAAAATGGTGATCAACGCCTTTCCCCCCCTTCGAACTTGGTACAACGAGGTATGCAGAAAGTTGTCAGCATGCTGTACCGCATAGGGAGGGAAGAGGGAGATGGGCCGCAACTGGAGACATACATAGTACATGCATATGTCCACTTCAATCTGGCTGGTGATCTCAAGAACGGTACGCCAGTCTATCGCCTCCTCTGCCTCCTCTGCCTCCTCTACCTCTCTTCCAGGCCTCCACAACGAATGCCGTCTTCCGTATCATGAGGAGAGGCGCGGAAGGGGGGGAGGCAACAGAGAGAGAAGGGGGAAGAGACGGGATTAACGTGTTTCCAACATCCTCCGGAAAAAGAAAAGAGAGCAAGGAGTGTGGATACAGAGTACATCGACAAACCTATCTTGGTCAGGATGCTAAATTCCTCAATACCACACCTAGTCTTGCGAGCTGACTGGTTTCCGTTGTGGCGGGTTCCAGGTGAAAAAAAAAGGACTTGTCCTTAGGAAAACGAGCTCGGCCGTACCATTTCCAGGACTGTGAACAACTTTGGCTTGCTGCTAATAGTATGCCGCTAATATATTTCTCCCTTTTTGCGTTTTTCTCACTGGACCTTCCTATACTGCTAGTCAGGATTGTTTGGTGTTGTCTTCGGCGAAAAAAGGGTTTGATATTTTTTTTTTAAGCATATCGCCGCAGGAGAAGGTAAAAATGAGGCGCTACGCGTGGAAAACCAGTGAGCGATATGAAAACGGCCGGTCTTGTTTCGGAGGAGCTGAGACTTAAACAACATGCGGAACCCAGCAGTGTGTTGAGTGTTCCTCCTGCTGCAGGCTGGATGTAGATAACCTGGCTGCGGCGTTGACGGAAAACAAACGCTGCGACTGGAATGTTCCCTAGCAAGAAACTAGTTTCGGCTGTCTTCCCCCAAGGGGCCTTGCATTGACAATATTATTATCTAATGACGAACCTAAATATGGAGTTCGTCCAGGTGGCCGCAGATGAGGTACAGGGCATAACCGTCGCCTGGGGTTGCGCTATTATCACCTTCCTGTTCGCCCGTGTTTGTTGGAGTTTTTGGCCTACATAACCAACCTATTTAGTTATGGCCTCTTAAATTTAAGCCCCCACAGGGTCTATGCTGGTGCCCAGTAACAAGTTCGACTAGAGCAGGAGAGAGTGGTCCATGTTTGTTTCTCCTCGCTAGTTCGCAGCAGTGGATAACGAGGCGACAGTGCGTTCGTGATCAGCCATTCTAAGCTTCGGTAGTTGTGGAGAGGATGTGAGGACTGGTGGAGATGGCTGCTGGCTGTCTAACTGACAGAATTTTGCCCCATACTCTGCTGCTTTGAACAGAGTCGTCCGTTCTCCTGTAGCTGGAAGTCCATATATGGTAGAGATGTTGTTGAATTAGGCAACGTTAACGAAGCAGCAGGTGCTAAGGGGCTCCTAAAATAACTGGTTGACGTCTACTGAACCTGACGGATACCCCGGGATGTCTAGCGCTCTCACACTCCACTCGCCGAGGGAGGTCATTCCTAGTAAAAGCGTGACACCAACATGTAACTGTCAACTTCAATTGGCAAAGGTGGCCTGGAGATCTGATCTGCCGCGGATGATGGCAAAATATGACGAGTTATTTTGGGGACCATTTACTAGGCTTGGGACTGAAGGCAGATATTCATCTTCTACCATTCGTTATAGCGTCAAGTATCCAACCAGTCTGTCGGTGCTATTGTTCGTCAGATGACAAGCTATAATACCCGGGGAATGCTGGGTTAAGCCAGGTAGTGGTAACTCTTCAGTGATTCCTCACCGCGCAGCCCCGTTCTTTCTCCGGTCCCAGACTAAGAGAGATCGTGACAGTGTGCATATAACTACACCCCATCTTTCCCCCTTCCCTTGATCGGGGAAGGCTCCGCGGCGCTTCTTTGAAACGAGTTCCCATCTATGCAGTCGTTTGCCCTTGCAGCGCTCATCAGCTACGCCGGGAGGTTCAAACACACACATATTCTACCACACCTGTGTGGGAAGTAGAGATAAAGTAAGCCAATTGCTTGGCAAGTATAGACCCATCGCAGCCTTGTCGTTGCTGTGGCTGGCCTGAATATATGAAAGAGACACCTAAAAGTGACATGTCGATACCTACCTATGGAGCGTTTGGATGGGGAGGGCAGGGACTCGTGTATTTCCCAAAACGGTATTCCAAGGGAGCTAGCAGAGATATCCCCCCTTAGATTCCTTGCAAGAATAATCAAGATCGTGATGACGGGACAGCGGCGATATATCGCTTTGGTGGGTGTCGAGGTCCCAGCAGCCATCAAATAGCCCCCATCACATAATCCTCAGTCATCATTTAAAAATGTAACCCCTAACCCCAAAGTCGGGAATTGCCGCTGGCTCCAGATATTCGTATTTATTCACCAATCTCAATGACCTGTTAGTCTTCACAGTTAACCAGTCTTCACCTCTGCTACTATTTTTCGTCGCAGCCTCGATTTTCCATTCCCCCTTACCTTCTGTGTACAACTCAAACCGTGCTCCCTTCATAATATCATGAAAGTGGCGTGGGAAGTAGAAAAAGCATATGTTGAATGACTCGCTCGAGCCAGAAAAAAAAGAACCCCAGCTGTACCGCTCTGCTGGGACGTTCTGAAAATAGCGATTGGCCCAGCTCTGATCTAGACCATGTATGAGACGCCCTGCCAATCTCTGAATCGTGGATACACAATCTTGATCCCCTGTTGCATGCCCTGCAAGGACGATTTAGTCCCCTAATCCCAAACTTTCTTTCCATACTTTTTCCACTTTTCTCTTTCTTAACGTTCAACCAGCCCTCCATAGCCCCCCGAGCCTTTTTCTCCAGGTTTGATATTCTTGCCGAATATCCTATTCGGCTTGCCATTTCAATCCTAGCTTCAGCCGAAGCCACTTAATGGTGGCTTCCATGCTGTTCTGCCGTCTCGGAAGGCTCCCCGAAGAATGTCATTAGGCCTGAAAGGGTAAACGCAGTCTGCTGTGGAATGACGGGTGTGGGGTGGGATCTTTTTTTTCTCTCCATTGCTTCTGCTTGTGTATACGATACACGGGGTTGTTTTTATCTCCACATGTTGCTTAAGCGGATCGTTGACAAATGCGGCTGCCTACTGGCCTCACTCTTCTCCATCATCACCTATATACATGGTACGTGAGTGTGTGTGCATATTCATTATCATCTCAATCTCGGGCGAGAGACATCAAGCAACCCTGGTTAGTGCCATGTACTATGCAGCCCGCCTAGGTACAACATTAAACGGCGCCTGTGATAAATAATATCGCGTTTGCTGGTGGCACCTCAATCCCCGCATACACCAAGTGGTCAGGTTGCGGCAAGGGAGCTAGTTGCAGTACGGGATATTGCTTCTTATGTTCGACGTGGCTGTCCTTGGGTGGGGATTAGTTGTCGCAAATTGGCTGGAAATGAATCAAAGCGCTGCTTGCAAAAGCACTGAGGTTGGGGCATGGCTAAATCGATAAGCTGACGATGAAGCTGTCAAACCATAGGCTAGATTGCAGTATAGCTCATTCGATATGCACCTAGCGCGCCTAGGTGGTACTGCTTTCGACGATGCAGGGTGCGATCAATTCTCGGTCGATGCATGGTCTATCATGTAGAATGAACGCGGCCATGACACATTTATTAATAGAAAGAGGCGCTTCTTGGAACCCCTTGATATGATGTCTACGCCGCAATCGGAGGCTTCCACATCAAAAAATATTCCGTCGATAAGCCCCTTCGCATGATGACTTCCAACACTCTAGTCGTCTCGATATTGTTGCATGCACGGTATTTAAGAACCGAACTAATGTTCTAAAAATTTTGAGATGGATGTTGAATTGTAAGGCTTAGAACAACTAGTGGTCATTGTGATTAAATCTTCAGCGCGATCCATGCTGGCGTTTAAATTCTGTTTATGGGCCCAATACAGTCAATAAAATCCTGGTGCAACAAATGTGAGCCCTAAAACGTTGGGCTTTTTGTTTCACTGGAAAGAAGAGCTGCCACCAAGCCCCTTAGCTGAAACTGGAAAAATGCCGCACTTCGGAAAGATCTGCTCACATCTGTACAAGACACATGCATACCTGTATATGCATAGGAGGATAGAAGGTCACTGCAGAAAGGTGTTGACATGATCATGATGCCCGGCTAGGGGTATCCCTAGCCAAACAAGAGCTTCTCTTCAATATTGTTTTCGATCATCTGTTGTACAATGTAAGACGGAAAATAGCCCAGCCATGGTACTGGACTCGGGGGAATCCAATGACAGTTTCCCCTGTTGAATATCAATTGACTTGTATATTATAGATGAAAATGCTTGAAAGAGGGAGGTTGCTCAAGCATAGGGTGATATTTTCGCCCCCAACAGAACGTTTTAAAACTTCATTTGCAGATTTTATTTTCTTGCATTCTGATTGTGGCGGCAAAAGAGTTGTCATCAGGCTAACCAGAAGTAAATCAACATCAATGAACATAGTAAATTGAATGCTTTGATCTTTGATATTATCCTCCCACGGTAGAGAGTAGCAGTATGGTTGAACGAAGGCCATCCCAAGCACTGGGTAGACATGAAAATGATATTATGATTCTTGGAGATGTAATTGTCCGGAATTTCCGGATGATGGATTGGTTTCCTCCCTCCTGCTCTTGTTATTGTTACTGCATTGCTGGAGAGACCGGGATTTGAGTAGAGCCTCGATATGCCCGTTATTGCCATCTCAACTGCATATGCTTAGTCAAAGGTTTCGGTCGGGCCCGATGTGCTTTTTAACCCTGGCAAGGTAGCGCCCATATGCCAAGGCAAGTTATAACTGATATTATGAGCCAAAAAAATTTGCCTTGTTCTCTGTCACAGTGCCTCCAACATTGCTCCCAACGCCCGGGAAATTTTCCTGATTGGACGGGATGTGAGACAAGGGGCCACAGGAGTGACTTTTATGGAGTACGTCTATCCTGAATAGACGCTACCAAGCGCTGTAGTGTACTCTTGCCATAGGCTGCGGGGAAGCACTTCGATGCTTTTGGCCTTAACGTTTCCAATTCTCTGGTATAGGACGGGACGCTCGAAGCTAGGTCTCACAGCATTATTCAGATCAAGGGTCATGGCCAGTGGCCATCAGATCCAGTAGCACGCATTGTATTGGAGGTTACCGACGTACTAACATAACTATGAGTAAATCGAGTTTCAAGTGTGATGAAATTGCCCTTCTAGAACTCAGCAATTAAGCCAGATGACAGGCGCCGCCAAGGTAGCTTTGGCATCAGAAAATTTCCCTTCTCCCCAGTCCATTGCATACTAGAATGAGGCAGACGCTCACTGACCGGAATATAACTAGCTGATCGACCTGTTGTCAGGCGCAGCGGTGCTGGTAGGCAGCGATCCTGTTGCATACTTGCTGTAGCATGCCGTGTAGTAATATCCTTATCCGGCGCCCTTCAACCATACAAAGTGTTATACTGATTGATGGATATAGGGGCAAAGTAAATACTAAAATCCGATCCATATAAGTACCCATGTCGACCATTAGGTGTGACATATGCAGGTATAGATAGAGGTGGTACAGTTCTGGCCCGCGGAGATATTTAGGCCAGTTGTAGTCCACTTCGTAACTTGTTTAATAATGATATGCATCTTCCACAGCTTTGTACCCGCATGAAAATATATCCTCCTGTACCTGCTTTGCACTGTAGACACTATGGGTATTCTCATTTTCGGAAAGACAACCCGACGGTTTGGGACAGCCAGGCGCAGGTGGCTTGGGCATGATAAGGGAATTAGAGCTGTCAAATTTTTTTTTCTCCTGTCCCAGCAATGTGCGTTTGTTTGTCTTCAAACCGTCCCTGCCGCAGATTTCAGATTGAATGGGCCGCAGTGCTGGGAATAAGAGATCTGCTTTTGCCGCTCTAATACAGTGCAGGATACCTAGTTAAAGAAGGACAAGCTTTCTTACCTCTAACCAGGGCCTGGTGTATATGTACGGTTTCTGTTGGATATGATCTGCCTGTCTCATGTAGGTGGTTTCCCCAAGGAAACTGTTAAAATGCGTCTCCGCACACGCGATGGATAACTTGCGCCCCTGTCGAACTCATTGAGGGCTGGTCTTGTTCCGGATATTATCTAGTCAATTTTCGGTCGTTATATCAAAACCAACTAAGGGATGTAGATGATCTCATCCGTTGCCTTCCATATTCCACAAGATGATGGACCACGGAACAAGATCTCAAGCCAGTAGAAAGTGGTACTATTTCCGATTCACAAGGTAATAGACCTGCAATGTCTACCCTCCTATCGGATCCTTGATGTCTAAGCAGTAACACCAGCCGCGACGGATGGGGTGAGAGCTGGGTAAGAAACAGGCAGCCTACCCAGCTAACTAATTAGTTAATCGGAGGTCAGCTGCGTTATCTTGTATTCCCCCGTGAGAATCTGGCCATTAGGCAAACAGCTATTATGGTCTTTTAGCCCTGTTAGAAACGTTTTGCTGGGCGTGTAAGGTATTCTAAACAGGACGCGAACGTCCCATAACTAACGGAAACCCCCAGCCAACCTGACAGGCCAGGGCGAGAGAACTCGACAATATGATCTTGCGATTCGGTCAAACCAGACGCCCAAGCCAACGCGAACGCTGTTTTGCGACTCCGTGGCTGATGATAAACGAGATCAGAATGTAGAATGGTGGTTTTTTCAGGAGTAAAGAGAAAAAAAACCATCTTTGTAAGCAACGAAGTCAACCTCAACGTCAAACATCCAACGCTCATGGAACAAGACTTGGTATAGAAGACTTCAACGGCCGGACAGATAGCTAGCGAGGGCAAGACAGTGTTTACCCGTGGCTCTCGAGCTCGTGAGGTGGTACAAAATGGACGAACAATCCCTGGTTGCACGAAGGATTTTTGCAGTTTGGTCGACAGCATGGTGAGCATGAAGCAGGGAACAGGCATCTAAGACTTTTGGACGGGCATCTCTGCGGTACCGCCGGCTTCTCCCATGACAGGTGGACGTACTATGTACGTCTATCGGAGGGCCGAGGACAGCGTACAGCTTCTGCTGTATGACAATTTGTCCTCGTTGTATTCCGGAACGTGGTCCTCGTGTGCCTTGTTACAGACTGTCGTCTAGAGTATTCTACTCTCTCGGAACGACATTACTTCGAATACCTTGTGTATTTAGAGACCGCCTAGGTCTCATAGCACTGTTATATATACCCTTTACACAAGAAGACTGCGACTCTAACAGCAAGAATCATAGGGCCGAAGTGCCTCACAGATATTTTGCTTTTGGTTGGAAATAAACTACGTGGTATGTGGCATCCAGGCGAATAAGATGCTTCTCTGTCAACTGCTCTCTAGGATTTCTCCGTCCTACCTCAGCAGAGTGGAATGACGCTATGTGCTCGCCTCCATGGATATTATGCTGCTTCTGCGGTCACAAACGGGAATGCAGCTGCTACCTTTATTATTACCATATTATGCTGATGAAACATGCCTCAAACTATTGATCAAATGAGCCGAAATATTTTCATTCCTTTTGTATGCCTATTTCGAACACCTGCTTGACATAACGTCCCCATATTGCATGGTTAGACCAAAAATCTGGGTTCTCTCCATAGAGGCCTCGATATACGTCACTAAAAGCAAGCCTGTCGCCACATCCCCCATGTCAAGTTACGAAAGCTGAGTTCTACCCAAAGTACCCCGTACAGGCTCGTTTCCAGAGCGAAAGACGGCAAGGTTAGCAGAATGCGCGCTTAAGATTGATCTGAGAATGTGGTGAAAGCTCCGCCTTGCGTGTACAATATGTCACATATTGCTGGCTCCGTTACCCACGAATAACCAACCTCCCCCTCCCCCCCTTTTTTTGTCGCTACCTGTGTTTCTCTGTGACGGAGTATGGAGGGAGGTGTATTAGTTTTTTCGATTATCCCGCGACCGAGTCGCGACCGTTGTACGTCCAAATGATTTACCACTTCGATAACCGTGTAATTCAGCTTCTACGATATATTTGACCCGATATCACTCATCGCCCTACCTCGCTTACTTCTTTTCTTTTCTCCCCTCCTTTTCTCGCTCAGTACGAACCCTTGAGCCCACCGAAATAGCTCGCCTTTACGCCTTTTCTCGTGGCTTCGTTTCTTTCTTTCTTTTTTCTTCTGCTGTCATGAGAGCTTGGTGTGCACTTGACAGGATGGTTCGATAATTGGGCGGCGATCTGGCTCGGGTTGGACCGGTCCAATCTGGCTTCTTCACCGGCCCAACTGATTATGAAATATGTTGGAATATCAACGAGTCTAGATTGAACACGTCTTAGGACGAGGGGTGACTTGTTTTCTTCGTTGGATACCTGATCTAACTAATGATGTAATGACATAATGTAATAGTGGCTATGAAGCCGTTTGTTTAGTCGCTGAAGCGACGAGGCATTTCTTAGGACCGAGCCGTGCGGTTTTATTTGAGGCTGATAGAATATCGACAATGCTCTTGTTCCCACGACTGGTTTATTCCTTATCTTAATGCCTCCTGGCGCTATGAAGTAAAAATATTTCCTACCCGGAATGGTTCTGTCGCTGGGTTGGCGCATATGAGGCTTTTTCTTATCGAATCCTTCCAAGCCAAACAAATCGACAACGCAATTTGTTGAAATGTGAAGTAATACTATCTCCATTTATTTTAAGCATATGCCATCACGGGGTAGTGAGTTTCTTTTCGCCGGTATTAAACTATCAATCGATAGGCCAAGGTGGATGAAATGGAGGTTTATTTATGACCTTGTCAGGGGTTGACCACTTTTGACAGCAGCAAAAGTTGGCTGTTAACTAGTTTTTACAAGAAAAGTTTATGAATCTCACTTACCCCTTATTATTGTACAGGCCAGAACATGAGGGATACTAATAAATCTATAGCCTGGAACAAGTCCACATTACCTTTAAAATCATAGGCTGCAAGACATTGATATGAAATTTGTATGCATTGAAAAAACTCGTATTTATATATTTATGCTAGTGATACAAAAAAAATATGACATGCGTTAATTACCCATCATATACCAGGATCAACTCCAGAGACAAAATCTTTTAGAAAGGGGGAAACTGCTACAAAGACAGATAGCAGTACGAAGTGTAGAAGTATGAGACCAGTGAATTATGTAGCCGTGCCGTTGAACGTGCGCCAGACAATAGTAATAATACAAAAGGACAAAAGTGTATATGGTTGGAAGGCCCGAGGAGGGTTTGTGTGTTGGAAGATGCCCTCGTATTAACTGGACGTTTCCAAGACTTCTTGAAAAAAAAAAGTATGATGATGATGCTCTATCAACCGGTTTTGCTGGGGGAGTATTGACCGTGAGCTTCTGGCTGCCTTTGTTCAAATGAATTCGGATGCGTGGATAAAGGCGAGGAGAAATTTATTGTTCCGAACGAATGCTGTTGTGGCATCCCGTTATGCGCCTGCACTGGCTCTGGAGCCATAGTTTTCATTGGTGCAGGTATAGGGGCATCTTCTGATGCCCTACCCATCAGCTTCGGGCTCGGCTGGAGTCTCTGTATTGGAGGGACGACAGACTGAACTCCGACTTCGCTGAAGGAGGCGGGGCGAGCGGGAGAGTGTTTCGTAGGGCTGAGGCCCGACATGGGTATTCCAGGTGAGTAGCAGTTTGGCGGAGGTGTGTGACCGAACGAGGTCTGGGGGTTGGTCACAGAAGAGAAAGAGCTAGATGGGGACTGGTTTGATGGATGGTGATGGTGATGTTGCTGCTGGTGCTGATAATGGGCTTGAAAATTCTGTTGTTGTGGCTGCTGCTGCTGCTGTTGAAGCGGATATGGCGAGTAGCTTGTGTGATTTCGCCGGTATGGGGTCCCTGGGTATATGCCATTTGTGCCGGGTGAAGATGCAGCGGTGGTAGGGGCGGGAATAGGGGCGGGCGGGAAGCCAGCCAGTGGACCGACATCTCCATTACCTTGTGTTGGAGACATGGAAGGCCGGTTCTGCACCGGAGATGGGAAATTGCCGGGTATAGAACCTGATGACGTGGGACGTTGGCTGCTGAAGGAAGATACCATGTTTCTAGGAATTGACGCCTGGGGTAAAGGCTGAACAGGAGCAGGTTGGCGCGGATAAGGAACACCAGTGATTGGTTGAGGTGCTGGATGATATGTCGACTGCGGAGGAACACTGTTTTGTGCGAATATCGGATGGGATGCAACGGGAGGGTTCGAAGTGAAGAGACGCGGTTCCATTGGGGCAGGGCGAAATTGCTGCGTTGGAGAAACATTGTGGTTGCTGGCAGGCGGATTCTTGATATCAACGGAAGTGTTGTCAGGCTTGGGCTCTTGCTTCGAAGGGGGTGATGCTGAAGAAGCGATGCGGAATTTCAGCGGTGGAATCTTGGGTCTTTTTGCTTCTTCGATGCGTCGTTTGCAGTCTGAACATATGAAGTGGAAATCATCCTTCTCCGCATCCGCCTGGGAGATACCAAGGCACTTGCTATGCTGCCAGACATTGCACTTGTCACATGCAACGCTATGAGATCCGTCATCCTGAGGGTGTATATATTAGTATATTCTCTGTAAAGCAAAAGGGGGGTGAGAGGAGCGCATACCAGATTCTCCCCGTGGACACCGCAACCAGAACAGTCAAATGTCCAGTCTTCGGTCTCAAGCTTTTCCAGTCCCTTCTGTCGCTTTTCCAGCTCAGCATTGAAGGTCCTATGAGATATCCTCGCTTCCCCGTCCTCAGCCAGTTTAGCTTTTTCAGTCAGACGGACAAGCTCTTCCTCCTGCTGCTTTCTCTTCTCCTCACGATCCTTGAGACGCTGCTCGCGCGTCATCAAGCGGTATTGACGCTCCTTCTCGACTTTTTCCGCTTTCTCCTTCGCCTTTTGCTCTGCAATTCGCTCAGCTTCTTGTCGTTTGGCCTCTTCAGCTGCCTGTGCTTCCTGACGTATTCTGTCTTGTTTGCTCGCAATTCTGCTAGATCTCTTTGCCGTGGCTAATTTTTCTAGGGCTATCAACTCCTTTTCTCTGCGGAGTGCTTTCTTCTGCTGTGATTCTTCTATTTTCTCAATGACGGGTAGGACGTCTTCCATAAGACGGTCACGCAGAGCCTGTTCATTGAGGTCTTTTGACTTCTTTAACGAGTCAATAAATGTGTTGTAGTCGTCCAGTGTGACAGCGACACACTCCCACTCATAGTCTCGGGAACTACTTGGGGCAGACGCTTCCCCGTCTGCCTCATTCCCCTGGCCATCAGTTTCGTCCTGGGGCTCAGCAACCTTTCTCCGTTTGGATGCGCGGACTCCTGCTCTGCTTTTCCTACTGTTCACTTTCCGTTTTGCGGGCTGGTCCGGTGGAATCTGAGGTTCTATACGGCGATATAGGCGGTTGTCGTCGAGGACGTAGTATTGGTGCTCATCACGGTCGTATCCGATTTCATTAATTCTCTACCTCAGCACATCGTTAGTTATCCCATTGAAATGCTATCAAATCACGGACATGCTAGCGTACCCATTGTATCTGATCTGTCTCTTTCACTTCTCCCATCCGCTCTCGAAACCTGTCTGGATTCCATAGGGTCCATGCGGACAACTGCTGTAGCACACGAATTCTCTGGAATATATCCAGTTGGTGGAACTTCAACGGCGTCTCTCCGTCTCCAAACGGGTTGCGGAGAGGCGCTTTCGCGAGGTACTGCCGCCGTGTATACTCTTCAAAGTTGTCATAGCTAGAGATAGAGATTACTGATTAGAAACAGTTACGAGCAGTGAGGCAGGGGGTCGTACTTGAGGCCGCGGTGTGAAGAGACGAATTTAAGAAGATTGAGGCCGATATTAAGTAGCCTCTCTGAGTGTCCGGGTTTAAGACACTCGGCCTCGAGATCCTATTGAAGCACGGTTGATTAACATACTGAACTTATAGACTCTATTCGTACCTCACTCGCGCAAGGAAGAGAGGGGAGAAAGAACGGTTTACGCTATAATACAGAGCTACGCGAGATATAAGATATACATACCTCTATATCAATATCATCATCGAGCTTCATCGGCTTGCCAAAGGTATATATGTACTGCATCAAGTTCGGGAACTCCCACATGTTCCGCAGCTGGTGAAGGAGGCCATTTTCCTTGGGCTCCGGCGCGCTTTGAGTCTCCGTCTCCTCCCTGGCACGCTTACGCGACACCATCTTGGGTCTCTCTATCGGCGGGTGTGTCGGGCCTCACTCTGCGAGTCGCGATGGGGAGAATGCGGTGCGATACGATAGGGGAGCCTGGGCTTCGTTCTTAGTAGTTATGTAACTACTTAGCGCTGAGAAACGAGCAAACGGCGAAAGTCACAGAACAGGTTTTTTTTTTCCCCTTTGTTTCTCAAAACAGGAAAGTCGTGCCTAAAGATATAACAGAAGAAACCTTTGGACGAATATGGAGAGTAATAGAAGGCATTCAAACTTCGAGTCGAATCCGTCAAGGGGGGAGAAAAAAAAGGCCGCGAACATCGCGAGCGTCTACAAAAACCAACCAAGAGAAAAAAAAGCCGATCTCGATTTGCGGCGAAAAGAAAAGAAGCGCGTTGGGCACGTGATATTTATGATGACATAATAGATACTCTTATATTTGACAAGAAGATGATGAAGAGAAGGACGAGGGAGAAGATAGGAGGGATGCAGAAGTATTTCTTGTAGTCAGCGTAAGGAGACCAAGTAGTGGAAGTACTCCTGCATGCATGAGAAAAATCTAGTACAGTGATGGTAGTGACAGACAATATCCAGTGCGAGACGATGCAAGTACAGACAACAGAAGGATATAAATAATACAAGTAAACCCGACTTTTCGCTTGAATCTGGGGATGATAATGATAGTGACGAGGTGAAGGGTCTGCAGATAGGAACATTAGACAGCAGTGGATGAAATCAAGTACGAAGGGTAATGCTCTTCTAATCCATGGTATCGTGATAGTGAGAAAAAAAAGGGGGCCTCATATGAAAACAGCAGCACAGAAAAGAAGAAAGAAACGAAGCCATATCCCGACCTCCCTCGCCCCGGTGACTAGAGAAACACAATAAGTGTGAACACGAAAAAGCAGAGGTAAGCAAGAAGATGCAAATATGCCCGTTGGACGATCGCCGCACACCAGAGTTTCCCACCCCTTCGCCCTTCCTCAACACGCGCGCGCCAGAAAGACCAGAAGAGAAAAAAAGATACAAATGCGTAAGAACTGCTTGGGGGAGGCATGGGAGGATATCCAGATATATGGCAAGAAATGGTTGGGATGAAGTGGTATGTAGGTAAGCAGGGAAGGGGGGAGTGAAAGAAGGGCATATAAAAACATGAGACAAAAAGTCTGGAAGGTATGTATGGTAGACGCTGAAGTGAAAACAAAACCCCGGTTTAAAATGATAGTACCTACTAATATTTTCTCTTTCTCTTCCTTTTCCCTTTTCCTTTTTTTCCCTCCCATTTATTCTGAGACTCGAATCATGACATGATTAGGTGTTTTAGACGAGGACGCTGTTTCGTTTTATATCTCACATTATTAAGGAATTTTTATATTTCTCGTGTGCCACGGCTTATCACATTCCGGGACCGGCATTGGTGCCGTCAACGACGTTATCAGACAGGTTGATGAGAAGCTGTGCAAGACATCGTTTAGTGGCAGCGTCATCACGGAGAACAGACGAGAAGGTCGCGTCACGGAGCGGTTCTGGCAGGCATTGACGAAGAGCCTCGCGAGCACGGTTGTTGTCACTGAGTCTAAAATTAAAGCATATATAAGCGATGTCTAGGCTGAGGGTTTTTTGACACAAGACCTACCGTAAGAAGCAGCGGACAACGTGCTTTAGTAGCCGAACGGTTTGTTGTTCGACAAGCTGGGTGACCATATTACTTAGAACTGTGCCGACGGCATAGAATCGTTCGTACGTGGCGCAGATATAGGCTAGACCTATATCGTCAAGAAGTATCTTTTGGACAATGAATATCGCCACGGTCTTGCTGAGCTCTGAGCCAGTTTCCATTATTCGAAGACATAGCGGGATAATTTCGGTGGTGAGGAGGAAGTTGATGACATCGGACGAGTCGTTCTTGACCAGTGCACCGATGACACCGAGAGAAGTGAGGCGGAGGTATTCGAATGGCCGAGACTTTGAGGTGGTATTTAGGAATGGATAGAGGAAGAGTGGAATGTGTGCTGGAATTCCATAATTAGTCCTGTGATTGTTGTTGTTGTTTATGAGAGGAGAGCATACCATTTAGGAAGAGAGTTCTGGTCTCGTTGTGGGAGGCCACACACTGAAGCAGGGCCAGAGCATTGCACACTCGGTTAGAAGCAGCGGCAGTAAGTTGTGAAGGGTTCAACAGCGGGTAGACGGAGATAATCTCCTGTAGAAGGGATGTCATGACACCTTGGAGATATAATAAGCATACCGGATCAAATGGTATACGTCAAAGGGGAAAGAGGGAAAAGAGGTTTACCAAATGAATGCCAGATGATGAGAGCTAGTTCCGGAACCTGTTCTCGCTTCTTACTCAGCTCCATGAGCGCTGACTCCCGCCGGTTGGGATCCAGCAGCTCAGCAACCCAGACGAGAACTTTCCTGTTCTCCTCACTGACACCGCTGTCCAAGTTTCCCGTGACTCCGTTACCGTTCTCCTGGCCACCGGGAGCCTGCGAGTTGTTGTTGGCATTAGCATTCATGCCGATACGGCTATAGTGCTGCTGCTGTTGATGTTGGGCAGCTGCGGCTGCGGCCGCGGCTTGTGCCTGTGCCTGTGCCTGAGCATGCTGCTGGGCTGCGAGAGACGGGTGCTGCTGCGACTGCTGCGACTGAAATTGAGATTGGTGCTGTTGCTGTTGCTGCTGGTGTTGCTGGTGTTGCTGTTGCTGGTGATGCTGTTGGTGCTGCTGGGCCCAGGAGGACTCGGCTTGGGGATATTGGTGCTGGTGCGAAAAGACGTGCGGAGCTTGACTCTGTAGCATGGCGAGAGACGAAGAGCAAGGACTCACTCTGGGGAAGTTCCCCCAAGCGAATCTCCTAGAACAGGGCTTCAGATAGGGGAGAAGCTGAGCGCAGAGAAGGGAAGAGTGCCAGGCGTTTGTGAAGAAGAGCAAAAACGTACTTTGAAGAGGGAGAAAGCCGAAGTTGAAGTGTTGAAGTTGAAAAGGCGAGTGGGGATCAGCTTGCTGACTAAGGCGTTTATTCGTTTATCGTTTTAGAACTCTTGTACAGACATTAAGCAGAGAGAAGAGAAAAGCACATGTACATCATTCAAACGTTGAACAACCCATTAAGACCTCCATCCTATATTCGTCTTTTTGTGCAGCAGAGCGAGGGATGTCGCCCTTTATGTACCATAATACCCATTGTTAAGATAAAACCAGCCCATATCCACAGGAAAACCCAGAATTGCACCCATAAATAATCATATAAAAGGACATTGACATCGAGATCGCGTGAAAACATCAGAATTGTGGAGAGAGAAAACAGAAAGAACAAGAAGAGAGAGAAGGTATGTGCAAAGTATGATCAAGACCGCTGTGTCCGTTGGCCAGAGGAGGAGGAGCTGCTGCTACTGCTCGACGAGTATGTATAGGATGACCCGGTGTAGTAGGTTGTCGACTTGTCGTCCTTTCGTCGACGCAGACCGAGACAGAGGGCGATTGCACCGATAACAACGCCCAGACTGGCCAGCCCGAGGAAGCCGGTCTTCTTTTTCTTGTTCTTCTCTGAGCTGACCCTGGAGCCGCCGCCGAACCAGCCGTGATGAGAGGAATACGATGACGATCCGGTGTAAGCGGAGTGCCTGCTTGGTTTGCGGCCGCCTATTCCAAACATGGCCCGTACACGGTCCACGCAGCTTCCCACGCAGCAGCAGATGCATATGAGCATGAGTATCAGGGCGCCAGCGATAGACCCAATGACGATACCGGCAATCGCTCCACCGCTTAGGCCACCGCTGCCCTTGGTGATGCCGATGACGCTGCTGCCATCGGTACCGACGGCTGGAATGAATGGGATGGTGGTGGTGGCCGGAATCGTGGTGACGGTCACCCCCTGGGTGCTGGTAGGTCGTGTGGGAGGAGTGGGAGCTGGGTTGGTGGTGGGAAAAGGTGAACCGCCGGCTTGGACGCATACCAGGTTCTCGTTGCATGACTGTGCAGCCGTGCAGCAGGTGCTGCCGCATTCCGTCTCTCCAATTTCGACCTTACATTGTGGCTGGCCTGTCGGCTGAGAGATGGGCCTGCTGCCGGTCGACGTGACTGTGACGAAGTCGGTTCGGACGTATGTCGTAGTGAAGTATTCCCATTGACCTCCTCCAGAGCCAGCGGGAATACACACTGCTTGGTTGTTCGAGTTGGTGCTGCATGTTTCGCTGGCTGAGCAGCAGGCCTGTCCATAGTAACCGCATGGGGTACAGTCCCGTGCTGTCAGCGAGTTGGTGGGTTGAGGAGTAGAAAAGGGCGAGGCCGCAACGAGCTGTAGCTGTAAGAAGAGAGCGAGAACGGGCACCGATGCCCTGTGTAGGTTCTTTGCCAACATCGCCGGCGTTGGTTACTTTTTTGTTTCTTCTTCTGCAGGTCGATAAGCCCTTGGAGCGGGGAGAGCTTGGGGTAAACAAGTCACTCTATAGATAGGCCGGGTTGCCAACTCCGGAGAAAGGAGAGCAATTGCTAGTACGATAGATGTGGGATATGAATGAATGAACACAAAGATAAGAAGAGAAAGAAAAAGAAGCATTCAAGCTGGAGATAGAGAAGAAGAAGACTCGAGAGACTTGCTGGTCCATCTTTGTACGCTCAAGCGACGTTTTTACCAGCCATCGTTTTCTTTCTTGTTTTCCCTCCCAGCCACACGCCCAACCACCCGATTTATTACTTACATCTTTGTATTGTTAGATGACTTCCCGTACCAAACCGTGGAGCCTTTATTCTATATTTATTTTAAGCTAGGGGAGTATGTTTGTAAGACGGATACTGGTTAGGACGAAGAGGAAGGCCGCTGTCTCGCTACAGGATGGTTGGTTGATATTTCTACCCAGCAGCGACATCGACATCGCATATCCAGCTGTGTTTTGGACGCAGACACATCGACTGTTCTTCTTCTTCTTCTTCTTCCCGCTAGGCGTTTATTTACTCTTGAATATTCATCTAGTCTGCTGTTTCATCCATCCGGTCTGATGTGGTTCACCACTCGACAACCGCAGTTTCTTGACTATAACAGCAACCATAATAAGCCAGAAACCGTAGCTATGATTGAATATACCAAGCCTTTCTGGATAAATTTTGATGTTGGGTTTCTTTCACTTTCGTATACAGTAGACTTAGACATGACATTCAGCTATGGGAGAGTGTCAGAATCTGCCTCTCGGCCAAAAAGGCGAGCCCCCGCGCCAATTGGCGGCGGAGAGACTGGTTATATTTGACGGAAAGTAAACAGTTTCATGAGCACTTGTCAGCATGGTTACCAGGATGCGTGGGTGGGCAGCCACGTCGTTTGACGTCGCTTTTGGCCGTTACTCCTCACTCAACTTGACATCAGCCTGACGTCCCAGGGTTACCGACCTTTTCTAAAGGGACCAAGGGAACCTATGCCAACGGTATATCAGACCAAAAACATGGAGTCACCCGCATCTGCTGCTTTCGCAAAGCTGGTCCCGGTCAACGCTGCTGCAAAGCTAACGTTTCATGCCATGTATGAGTCTTCCTTGGATGAAAATGTTCCTCAGCCAGAGATACCAGGCCTTTATATACAACCTCAACAGCAATATGACAAGGGTGTGCTCCTGAGGCGGCTGCAAGAGAAGAAAGGCCTTACAGATTCCGATAGTGAGAGTCTAACGGACCCAGACACGGATACCGAAAATACAGTAAAAGAACAGGGGATGATATTGACTGGGTGGTTCTTCTTCAGTCTTGATCCCGGCCCCAATGATCCAACTATTAGGTAGACTATAGGAATGAGAGGCCGAAAAAATATTCGCATTGATTTTCTAATTCCCGAAATCCCAGCTTCTTCTGGCGTTCGGAGATATCAAGTACGATTCAACTTGCACCAGAGAACCGGCTACCTTTTTATCTCAAAAACTTCTAGCGCCCTTTCGGCTGAGGTGACTGTTAATGGAAAAGCCGTGCGTAGCGGCGAGCAGTCTTCTCTCAACCAAACCTCTATGAATATCCGTATTAACCGACTGGAGTTTGAATTCCAGTACACCGATATAGCATATACGGGCAAGTACTACGGAGACCGGAAAGGGTATATGACAAAGAACCTAAGTAGCGTTATCCTCCCCAATGCGGAGTTAACACCTACCCCAGCAGGACCTTTCGTTGCTTCGGTGAATGGACGATTTCAAATTTCCTTGGAAAAGGGGCATATGGAAGAGTCTCGTCTGCAACAAACAGTAAAGGCGAAGTGGTTGCGATTAAGGTTGTAGAGCGTGATGAAAGAAAAGCCGAGCAAATTGACCATGAGATAAGGGTTCTCAAAAGTCTTCAGGAATTATCTGAAATAAATGAGGGCGATAAGAATCGAATAGTGCGGCTAAAAGATACAGTATATTCGAGTGGGAATGCGTCCTCTCGCCCTACCACCGTTGAAGAGGTCGCTCTTATCCTTGAGCCCACCGTTTCTGCGACCTTATCTGACCTAATTAACCCTATTTCTGGGAAAAGGCAAGTGGTTATGTGTTTCCTATACGGAACTTTTTCATCAAATAAACATAGTGACCCCTGCATTCTGTTTAGTTAATATGTGATCGGTACCTAGATCGGAAGGTATATAGTCACTGACGAAAACTGTTAGGTTGAATTTCGATTGGCCATGTATTGCAAACCTGTTCTATGACGCTTTGATAGGCTTAAACTTCCTGCATTCGAACAATTGGGTCCATGGAGACATCAAACCTGGCAATATCCGTATTCTGGATGGCAACACTCCTCGTGTAGTTCTCCTTGATTTTGGGGGCGCTGTTCATTTGACACCAGAGAGACAGCTACCTGCGACACCGGGGCGGGGCGGAACGGTAAACTACCTTGCCCCTGAACGCGAGCTCCAGAATCATGATCATTCAATTGACGTATGGTCAATGGGCATTATCGGGTTTGAACTTCTCTATGGCTATCGCCCATGGAAAATAGCTGTTAATCCATGGCGGCCTACCTTCCACGATGGTTACCGCCAATCTGTGGAGCAGATGGAAAAACACAATAATACGGAGTGTGAGTCATCTATTAGTAGAGGCTCTGTTCTAGAAGCTAATAATTTCTAGTCAATGAACTTTTGTTGGAAATGCTGCGGCATCCCTGGGCAGATAGAAATAATGGGAGGCGTATCACGACTCGAGATGCACTTAAACACGCTTGCTGGCAGGGCCGGGAGGAAGATGAGCCACTAGTGAAGAAGAAGAGGTTATAGCTAGTAGATATTTCCTCCCTCTCAATACAGGTGATGTTAAAAATTAGTATAATAGAAGCCCAATCCTTAGCTGTATATAAATAGATGCGAATGTGAAGTTTAATATTGCGGCTCTAACCTTAAAACTAATTACATAATAATTTATTAGTTAAGAGAAAGCCAATGATGTAATTAGAGTGAGAGTTGTTTGCCTTTCATTCACCTTTTGTACTCGAAAAAAAGAAATCGTTTCAAACTGGCGTCCAAACGAGTCAACTGAAAGGCCTTTTCCCTGACAAACAGATGACTAGCTCTAATGATGATGGCCAGTCTAACGGTAACTTCGAAGGCTATGTCTTCAAGTCCTGTCTTGATGCTGCCGTAGTTGTCGATGAGAAGTTTTATGGTGTATGTTATATCGCCTATATTTCTTCAATATCCAAGCTAACGTCCAGTAACCACAAGCCTCTTCCAGATGTTGTATCAATGCAAGGCCGCTTCCTTAGACCTAGGCCTGAAACACCCACATTCGATCCGGAATACTACCCAGACTTTGCTCGTAAGCTCGCATTCTTACTCGACGGTGTGCCCTTTCGTCAAAAGGTGCGGCGTCGCAAGTACGGGGAAGAGATAGTAGAGGAGTGGATAGAAGGTCACACACCAATAGAGATAAGGGAGAAATGGATATCTGAGCAGGAGAAGAAGATGAAGCAGCATGACGCTATTCTTGAGAACCCTACACCTCCCACACCTGAAGATGAACGGCGAGCCAAGGAAGAACGTATGGCCGCTGAGAGGGATAAAGCACGTCTAGTTTGGGAAAAATACAAGGCTATAAAGAAGCAGAAGAAACGGAAAGCAGCTGAGCTCTCATCTTCATCTACGCAGACACTACCAAACCCCAGAAAACGACAGATGCCTTCATGACCATTGGCTGCCAATGAGACCAACACTTTTGTCTAAAGTCTGTTGGAGGGCTCCATGTTTCTGATATGCTCCTCATTTTACCTTCGCCGCTCACCCAATAAAGATAGGGGAGCGATATGACAGCAACTTATTGTGGCTGTTTGTAGGTAACGTATGCTCAAGCTACAGCACGGCAGTGACTTTAACTCATGCTAACGCCAACATTTCCATAAAGGATGCAAGGACCTTGAAGCTGTAGTAGCCAAAATAAGACGATGCCTGAGGGTGTCTACCTTGATGGTATCTAATATTCTATTAACGATCATCGCTTCATGATATCGAAGAAGTAGAGAGAATATGGGACATTCAAATTAATGCATAAATCATTTAGACACAAGAGAGTATATGTTATATATGTACTGCTTCGAAGAGAAAAAACAATCGTCCAAAGTAGAGCATTCGTTTTCATCCATTTTGCGCCCAGGTACGTCAAGTAGCCATAACAAAAAAAAAAAAAAAAAAAAACCAGACGTAGTTCATGAGAGACAGGAGATCAAACAATCATTCCGGCAATGGCTATCGATAAACCTGCGAGGATCTCATATAATGCCGAGTGCTGGTGTGGAGGTGAGCTATTGGGAACGCCTCCTCCGTTCGCAAAGGCAGTGCAGTATCCTTCCTGAAGACCAAAGCAGGCCTGCAGCAAGAGGCTAGAGCATATGGCCTGTCCGTCGCCGGTGGGAACAGCACCTTGTATCGTCGTTCCCGCACCGTTTCCACCGTTGATGGTGACCCCGTGTGCTCCGCCGAGCGAGGAGGTACAGGCAGAGTACTGCGACTGGCAGCCAGAGTAGGAGCGTACACACTCTGCCGAGTCATGGAAGGTTGTGGGGATGTAGACGAACGGGTATGGCGCTCCGGGGACGGTTGAGCCCGTGGGTGTAGGGGCGGCCGTGGTGCCTGGTTGGGGGAACATGAAGCCAGAGGAGGTAGTCTGCGTTGGCGCTGGCCCTGGTCCTGTCTGCGGTGGTGCGGTGGTAGTGCTACTCATCAGGATGCCGGTGCAGGCTGCTCCTAGCGGACAGCATGCTATATGGCTTGCGGCGTCACGGGAGCAGACTGCCTTGGGCTGGCAGCACGCTTCCGGACTGCCTAGGAAGGCACAGGAGTTGTAGCCGGCCGGGCAGAGGTTCTGTCGTTTGACTAGCTGCGCCAGTCTTGGGGAGAAGCCGAAGCTGAAGAGGGAGCCAGAGCCATAGTTGCTGTTGACGTCGTTGCGGGCTGCTGGCGCATGGAAGGGCGAAGTGTCTGTCGCGATGGCCGGGAGTACGAAGAGCAGCAGGGTCGTCTTCATCATGTTGATTAATTCATGAGGTTCTCTTCATTCCTTTGTTAGCTTCCCCTTCCTATTTATGGCCTTGGAGATGATGTATATTCGCCTACCATGTAAACAAGTTTCTGTTTATATCAAGATATCAACCAGTGGGCTGACCATGCAAAAGACTGGAGACTGAAGAATAGTATTAGAGACAGTAAGACCGGCTAGCTTCGTCTGGCATCTCTAAGATCTTCTTCTTCTTCTTCCTCTTCTCCATCTTCATCTTCATCCTGGCTTCTGGCTTATCCTTGTTGTCGTCGCTGGCCTGGCAACGCGCGCCAAGTCATCGTCTTACTAACAGAAACTGGCGACGGCGAGGTTGGTTCTTCTCGCTCTCAAAATACATCCTTTGATACCGTAGAAATAAAATAACAGACTCTGATATTGCTTGTTTCTGAATATTAATCTCTCATTAAGTCGATTATGCATTCGATGTGCTGTAATTGAACCTGCAAACACGGCTTGAATATTGATATAAACCATGCATAATAACTGAAAACAATCGGGATATCTTATCCTCAACTTTTATATAATTCATTCTATACAAATAAATATCCATATTGAATAAAATATTATATACTGTGGCGGATGTTTCGGCCTGACTTTTTCTTCGTGGTAAAAATCCAACTTTTTTCTTTCCTAAGCAAACTCGAACATCTCGAAAGCTTCAAGTCGAGACTGCCAACGGCAGTGATATACGAGAAAGATATAGACTAAGAGTTGGCCTGATATTTAGTATGCCTTGAGCCATGATATATACGACCTGACCATGGGCCTCAGTTGATCTGTATTGTCTTGCTTGCCCTCTTCTCAACCGTCATGCCCGCAAGAGCATCTCGATAAGCCACAAGCTCCAACTTCTCTTCCCTCTCCTCCATATACCATCTACTCCCTCCCTCTCTCTCAGAGAGTATATAAGAATGTCTAATGGATCCAGATCAGATGCCCTGAAGAGTAAAACCGGTAAGCTAGGCGATTCCTATCAATTACAGCCCAAAATCCACCAACTGACGCAGATAATTGACCAGCCACCAAACCGGTCTTCCATTTCGCCGCCGGGCTCTTCTCAGGTCTGACTTCCTCCATCCTCCTGCAGCCGGCAGACCTCCTGAAGACCCGGATCCAGCAGTCAGGCCAGTCTGCCTCTCTTATATCCACCGTCCGCGCCATACTTGCTTCGCCCAATCCCATACGCAACCTATGGCGAGGAACGCTCCCGTCAGCCCTCAGGACCGGGTTCGGGTCTGCCCTGTACTTTAGCTCCCTCAACACCCTGCGGCAGTCCGTGGCTATCGTCAAGCTGCACTCAACGGGGGACAGTGGCAGCACCGGCACGACTTCTTCGCCGCGGACATCTGCCCTGCCTAAACTATCTCACTCGGCAAACCTGCTTACCGGAGCTGTGGCGCGAGTCTCTGCTGGATTCGTCATGATGCCTGTCACCGTGCTGAAGGTGCGGTATGAGTCTGATTACTACTCGTACAGGAGTCTATGGGGTGCTGGCAGAGACATCGTTAGAACAGAGGGTGTTAGGGGTCTGTTTTCTGGATTTGGAGCAACGGCCATTCGTGATGCACCGTATGCGGGTCTCTACGTCGTGTTTTACGAGCAATCGAAGAGATCTCTGTCTGCACTGCTACATCCGGCTGCACCGCTTTTATCATCCCAGGGTGAAAAGGAAGGGCAGGGTTCGTCAGCGTCTTCACCATCAATTCCTTCGGCAGCGTACGTTCACTTCATTTCTGGAGCGCTTGCTGCTGGGTTAGCCACCACCATCACGAACCCGTTCGATGTCCTCAAGACCCGTGTACAGCTGATGCCCTCCAAGTACCGCAACATGTGGTATGCGGCAAAGCTTGTCTTGCGTGGTGAAGGCGTACGGGGTCTATTCGGAGGGCTGAGCTTGCGTATTGGGCGGAAGGCTATCAGCTCTGCGTTGGCCTGGACCATCTACGAGGACCTGATATTGCGCGCCGAGACCTCGCGTTGGGCGCAGCAGGAGAAGGGCTTGCTGACTTGATAACCAACCCTGTTTTATCTCCCTCTTCTTCCTCTACTCATCTGTATTATTACCTATTACCTTTTCCCCCCCTATATTATCACTGAATGTGGTTGGACCTCAGGTGTACGGCGTGTTGAGTTATTGTTTTCTCAGTGGCTTTGGACGGGGTGTATATATATTACTGGAGGGCTGGATAAAGCAACGAAAATGTATTTGATAAAATCAGCTTGAAAAAATTTGCATAACTTCATCAGTTTTCCTGATGCCCTCTTCTTGGTCCATCAACATGGGCTTTATGGTGAAAGTCATAAGATATAAAGAAAAACAACAGATAAAAAGAATCGAAAAGACAACAAACACACATGAAAGAAATGTGACAGATTCAAAAGAAACACCCATATAAAGCAAGAAGGCAACTCATATCACATATCTATCCGCCTACCAAAACAAGCCTCTTCTATCAGTCTTCTTCCTAACCAGGTACAAACCATCTTTCTTCTTATCGTTGACTTTCATCTCAACCATGGAGGGGCCGCTGTGTGAAGGAGGAGCAGTGAGCACACGCTGTTCACGTAGTTTTCGCGTATGCTCAAAGAGCCTGTCTTGCTCTTCTTGACAGAGAGTGTGGTAGATAAGCATGTAGTCGGCATCGTTCTAGGAGCCGATGTTAGTTAAGAGTCCCAGTGTAGACAAGTATCGGCATAAGCGGAGATATATATAAAAAATAATAACTTACGGGATCATATTCCCATGTCAATTGGAATGCGTCGAGGGTTCGAGCCTCAAGGTAGCGGCGATGTACCTAGATAACACAAGAGTTAATATATTAAGTATTCCAACGGCAAAAAGTGTATAAAGAAAGAATAAAACCAAACACACCTTGACAAATGCTTCTTCATCATCCTCAGGTCTAGATTTGCTATGGTGGACATGTTTTTCAACCTGTACAATCTCCATCTCCTTGGGGGCTTTGCCCTGCATTATAGCAGCAATCTTGTCTTCTGAGAAACCAACAGTACCGAGCAACTGGTTAACCTTGTCATTGAACTCCTTTTTGGCCCTTTCAGCCTCTTCACGTTGTTTCAACTCCCTCTCTGCCTCCTTCTTCTTGTATTCCTCGACAGCACTGTCTTTTAGTTTCTTCTCCTTCTGTAGTCGCTCCATTTCATCCCTCTCTCTCTGGGCGATTTCGGCTTCCACCTTTTCACGGATTTTCCTCTCGCGCTCCTTTTCTTCTCGCTCCGTTTCCAGAGCTTTCATTCGCTCAATGAGGAGAGCGTCTTCGAGCTTTCGTCGGGCAATCTCGTCATTTTCCATCTTCTTGAGTCTCTCGAATTGTATCTCCTTCTCGATTTCTCGTCGGGTCAAGGGGGGGTCCTCATTTTCAGGTCGTTTCTCAGACCGTCCCATCTCCTGCATCTCCTTGTATTCCTGCATTTTCCTCCATCGTCTTAGACTCCTGATTTCTTCCTCCTTAGCAATGCGGATTTCCCGCTCCAATTCGGTCTCCTCACGAGGCCGAGGTTGAGGTTGTGGTTGAGGTTGTGGTTGAGGTTGTGGCTGTGGCTGTGGCTGTGACTGCGCTGGGGGGTTTTGGCTATTCCTGCCCGCCTCGATCCGCTCACGTTCGTCACGGCGTATGCGGTCTTCACGGCGGAGCCGTTCATCATCGCGACGTATGCGATCTTCTTCTTTTCTCATTTCCTCTAGTTCCCGCTCCCGCTGCCTAATTCTCTCTAGCCGGATCTCAGCTTCAATTTCAGATCGTCGGGATGGCTCTTCACGACCCAGTCGGCGTATAGCCCTACGCTCGCGAACGATGTCATCTTCTAGGTCACTCAATTCTTCAGCTAGTGCAGAACGTCGGCGAGAGACAGATCTAGCCCGACCGAGAGGAACCTGAGGAGGTGTGAGTTTGGTGTTTCCTTGCAACCCTTGATCGTTTGTGATATCTATATAGACCTGGGTATCACCGCCGCGGCGTCGATGGGCTTCGGATGCCGAACGAGGCCGTTGTTTTTCCTTGATGATAACATTATCACGAGGCCTTCTGTGGATGCGGTGATAAAACTCCTCTTCAGAGTCAGTATCGGAGACTTCTGCGTAGACGTGCTTATGATGCATGGTTTTCCTCTACAACAGACTCTTTTGTCGTATGGGATCTGACCGAATATGGGAACACCTGTTTGAATTCGTAGTTGTATTATCTGCTTAATCGGTGATAAGAACGTTGCCTTGTCGTAGACGAAAATATGTATCGTGCTAGAAGAGATGGTATTCAAGGTACAGAAATAGCACCGAGCAGACGCTGGAAAGATGTGTCGCTGGTAACGGCCGTCAAAGTGGAACGGCCTGGGCTCAAATAATGAGTAGAGAGATCCGTAAATTCTCTAACTAGCCGGAAGACGGTGTTGGTTGGACTCCTGATGGTCGACAGAAGGATAGAAAGACGGAGGGTAAGTCGCCCAAGTGCCGTTGATGCAGCAATAAATAATAAATACTCCCAGCCCGGAAAGGTGGGCTCAAGAGCCGCAAGCGAGAATGAGGGGCTATTCTGATAGGGCAGCAACCAGGTAGTTATCATCGAACCCTCTCTTGTCCCTTGTATACGGCGCAGGGCTTCGAGTTTCAGAAAGTTGAGCGTTCTGGAGGCTGGGGCCTCAGCGATCTCCACGTCGTCTTTTCGATACTGCCGACATATGCAGTGCTGGGTTTCCCTCCTGGCGGCAAGTGGGATCTGGTTTCGTCATGTGTCTGCATGAGGCCTTGTCACCGTCATGTATATGTACGCCTGCCCAGTAATACATAATATAACTAGGCCTGGTGGCGTGGGCGGCTAGCGAAACATCGCGGCCCCGTCACGGGAGAAAGGGAAGCCCAAGTATGGGGCACGAAGCAATGTCAGCCACCCAGCCACCCAGCCACCCAAGCGTTGGGCATTCATGTCAAGAAGAGGTCGGAAGACCGTAGGCGATTATACCTTGAACGCAACGTTGTTGTTTTCGTTACTGGTCGAATCTTCTGCCAACCCATCCCCTTGCTAGTGTCAGTGGGAGAGGTTTGCTGCATTCAAGTATGCAGGGGCATACTCCTTCGTAAACGGAGTCTTTAAGAGTCAATCAACTACGGGTTGGTTCCGTTAACCGCCAAAAAATCTCATCTATCAATTGTGTTGACCACTGCATCGTATCGACTATATAGAATGGAGACAAATATTCTGTATATGGGGTACCTTGCAGGCCTAAAGCAGCTTTGCGGTTTGTGGTTTGAGGTTTCACCGTACGCTGACAGAACAGCTCATTATAGTATTTGTCTTCCTCATAACATGTTAGATTCACATTCGAGAGCGAATACCAAGCAGCGTTTATGGCATCCCCTTGACGTTTCGTTGATCTTTCATCTGCATGTAGAGTCGTGGGGCCCCAATGCGCTCATTATGATAGTTATGCGTGCGAAAGTTCATCCCATTTTCAGGGGCCAGACCTGTCATGACGATAACCATGTAAGTTAGTGTGCATGCCCGATTTTATGCTCTGCCGCCACTCCGTAGCATTTGTTCTATATGTTCGCGGCTATTTTTGTGTGTCGTCTCAAGATAGTGTAGCCTCTTTTCGAGATTTGCAATATCCGTCTTTAATTCTTTCGTTTCCTTTGAGAGCCGTGTGTTCACTTTATCAATCGGTGTAGCAACGAACCTGTACGAAAAAAAAAAAAAGAAGCAAAGCAGTTAGCTTACAGCTGTGTCAAAGGAATGGCTCGTTTTAGTGGGAAATCTCCATAGATGTACGCACATTTTGCCTACGCCTTCATATACGTTTGTGCCTTTGGGGACTTGACCGATCTCCCCAGAAGTAAGCTCCAACAGGCGCATCTCTCGTTGTTTCGTTGTAATCTGAGTCCTGACGACATTGATTTGTTGCTGGGCGGCCACCGCCTGTGATTCTATCTCCTGAACAAGCTGTATCATGGCAAACAGCCAGACTGTCAGCTTCTTTGCCTCCCCGCCTCGAATCAAGAACGCGGCGGAACCTTTCTCTTCTCACCTTATGGAGAGCTTCGTTTGGAATTGACATAATTGCGATGGCTAATGTACTTGAATTTAAGACCGTAACTTGAACTTGAGTTACAGATAACCTGATGCTGCAGTAGTCGGCTTTGTTACTCGCGTCGTAGTCCCGCATCCCTTCAAGGGAGCTTCTGTTTTTGGCCTGAACGAAGCTGCTGATTATGTAATTACTAATGGGTCACGTGGTACTATGGCCTCTCGATTTTGTTTTAACCTTTCGTGTTTCTATCAACTTTTCACGTTGGTATGATCAAATTATGGGTCATCTTGAGATTACTTTCGATGTTTCTAACACGAATATATTGAAAATGGCTGTTTACTCTGCTCGGAGAATTTTGTGCTACAGCCCCCGGAAACTCAGCCGACTGCAATCAAGCTAATTGCCTAAGCTATATTTCAGATATAAACCAGATCTTCTGGAAACTTCAATATAGCTTCACAGGCACATGGATAGGATTTGCAAAATGAGAGGGGATAAGTTTCGATCCGAGAGGCTGTCTATCCGCTTACATCCCTTACTGATTTCATCCCTCGTTTTCCTTACTACCGCCGGTCTCTATGGACTTTCTCTTGAACTCGTTCTAAAGAAGAGGCACAGTCATATGCGGTGACATTTCCGGGTACAAAAACGAAGTCAAGTTCATGTTCAAATTTCTCCGGACCTGCGAGCAACTAGACCTAAGAGCGGCAACTATGGCATTTGACAGCTCATGGTATAACTGAACTAGAGAGAGAACTGGATCTTGACAGCGGGTATTGAAGCAGCTTGATCGTCTCTGAGCTCTAGAACCAGACCTGAATCCATTTGAAGGTGGTTTTTCTGCTATTTCACCATGAGAAAGCCATTTGAATACATGTTCAATCTACTTCCTGCCTGTCGTGGTATCCAACTTGATTTTTATGATAATATCGGATCCGCTTTTCTTCCTAGCGTCTACTAGTGCTAGTAAACGAGCCTTGGTTAGCGGGGAGACTATTTTCACCACCTTTTTTGTAGAGCCATTCGTCCCCGTTTGCGAGCGATGAGGGATACGTAAACGAAGGAGTTTTGTTATTAAACTTCAGTGATTGGTTATCATATTTAAATGTGCGTCGAGGCAGTGCTACCAAACACGGCCGTGAAAGCTACTATGTATGTTGCCCCAGTTTCCCCATACATTTGGTGAAAATAACAACTTAGCTACTATCCAACTAATCGACACGGAAATTGTCGTAAGAAGACATGGATGGTAGTACAGTTTTTTATTATATGACAGTCTCGGGCAGTATGCAATGCCTCCATTGTCCGAGATAATCCTTCCTATATTTCCCATTGCTATTTATTGCTGAATTTATCAAATGGATAGCTAGGATCCGGTGGAACTTGCGGCCGAGATAAGTGTAGCTCTGGAGTTACAACATGGCCCTCCTGCTCTATTTTACTACCATCCATTACTTCTTAATTCACTGCTAATGCCCAAGCCAGTCAATCAATAGAGCAAGTCTCATTCATTCATGATACCCTTCTTCTCATACTCATAAGATTCCTTCCGCTGATCTTCACAGTGCTTCCTTCAGCTATGAGTTGGCCTTATGTTAACTTGAAAAGATACAAGGCTACCTTCGAGCACTGTGGTACCGTATTAGATGATGGATGTTGAAATACATATGTATAACTCGTTCAGCCTAGTCCAATAGGATAGTGCCCTCCATGAGGCTGTATATCTCCCCCAATTATTGATGATGCGTATGGACGTGCTTGAAGGAAGAAAGCGTTAAAGCCAACGGCGGATTCCACTTGGCAGGTCTTCGTCAACACAGGTCATGTTTTGATAGGTAGGTGGAAGTCCCTAGAACTCACCCAACCTCTACTACACATGGAATATGGGAACGACTCAGACGTCGGTACGACATTCCTACAATATACCGTTTCCTGGAAGGATTCCAACTATGTACTTTTAACAAACAATCCGCGGCTCTGTGGGATGGAAAAAAACATAAAAGGCCATATATCCCCCCGATGATAAAAAGAAAAATCAAAACACAACAAAGGAATCAAATACACCCAGCACTATACAATAATAACTCCCAAACGACCTATCCTTTTGTTTGCTTAATTGTCAAACATCTTCCAAAACAACCATGAAGTTCCTCGCTCATATCTCTCTTGCTACCGTTGTTACGGGAGCAAACATCAAAAACCACTTCAAAGACGGCTGCAAGGGTGGCTACCTTGATTACCCAAACATTGCCCCAAGAATATGTTCTTCCGCACTCCACGATGGAATGACTAAAGGGGCTGCCACTGTCGCCTTCTACCATATGCCCAAGCATGCGGGCATAAATGGCTGGCAGAGCAACCGTGACAACTTATGCGGTGCTCTTAAGAAGCACAGCCGCGTCGGAAACTCCAACCACAAGTGCCTCGGTAAACTCCAAGGTGGCTCTCAGTATGTCGGTAGCAGCTGGACCCAGCCGGGTCAATTAAACGCGAAGGCTGAAGGAATGGATATCGCCTGCACAGGTCAGATGGCTCCTTACTCTCTCGTCCTAGACGATGGACACAAATACGCCCTTAGTGACATGGACGATGGCATGATCGCATCCCTGTACGATTTGGCTGTCAATGGAACTACTTTCCAAAACGTGCCAGGCGAGTACGCAGCATTTGAGATTGAAAAAAAGAGCGTTCAACAGCGCGCTCAGGAGATCCAGGCTTGAGCAGCGAATAACAGCCTGGGTTATGGATATATGGTGATGCGATATGATGATCTGGCCGGATGAGAATATGGTAATTCTGGTTTAGTTCTCATTGTTAAGAGCAGTCATGTATTCACAGCAAAATGTTTTCTAAACCGGAGGGCGAAGCCATCCCCTAGGCCGATTATCACTGCCAAATTAATCGATCACCAGATAATCCGAACTTCTTTAAGACATCGAACATCAAAGTCGTGCAAAGTCTGCGACTGTATAATGCAGTTAATACAGTGGTTTAGTCCTCTACAAATGTTACGGAGTATTGACTGAATGGCTGAGGCTAATAAGCCAAGGGTAACATTTATCCTCACAACAAGTCTCCATTTATCCAGCTTTGAACGAGTAGAATTTGCAGCTCTTTGTGGTACCTGATGTCATCGGCTGGCGCTCATGATCAGCGATCTCAGACATGAACACGCGTGATGAGGCCAGAAGACCCATTGCTACAACCATACCCGAGAATAACATTCAGTACGTTCAAACTAAGTAGACATCCGATGTAATACTCTCTCAGGATTCACTCAGAGTGCTTTTATTCCTTCTATCCTCTAATATTCATCTAAACCCCGTCCATGTTGTATTCCAAGACTATTCTCCCTCGACATCCCTGTAGGGCTAACAAAAAAAAAAAAAAAAAAAAAATAAGCTTCGCGGCCGTCAACTCTAACTTTAACTGGGCACTTGGTATCCATCCTGCCAACTCTCTTCTTTTTCTCCCCTCCCACTCTTCCTTTCTTTCTTCGTTTCTTCTTTTTTTTTTATTACTTATAACACCATATCAACTCTTTCTTCCACTGTCTAAGGGCCAAATATGATACATAATTTATCTTAGATTGTATACTATTGTTACGCCGCAGATGCATTTCCATATACCCTATCCGCCTTCCCAGGTAGGATATTGGTCACCAGTCACATCAACCCTCAACTGGTGCGAAGAGGTAAGTATTACAACCTACGCCGCAGCTCGAACGGGATCGGTAATCTGACAATCATCTGTTAGGACTATTATGCGACTCCATATGCCGCTGAAATTGTAAATGCCTTAACCAACGTCCTCTTTCTCTACCTGGGAATAAAGGGTATCCGGAGTTGCCGGAAGAATGGCCACGACTCTATCTTTCAAGTTGCATTCCTCGGATATCTCCTGGTGGGACTGGGGAGTTTTCTATTTCACTCCACGCTAAAATGTAAGCTCATTGCGCCTTGCTCTAGCGTCCAAGCATGATTGCTAATCAGCAGCTGTCCGGTGTAATAGATCCGATGCAGCTCGTTGACGAGCTATCAATGATATACACGACGTGCCTGATGTGCTATGCCACTTTCTCCTTCTCTAGATCTCGAACCCAGTGTTATATCCTCGGGTCTGGTCTCCTGAGCTTGTCTATCTTTATCACCCTTTACTACCATTATATTCAAGATCCCGTTTTCCACCAAGTGGCGTATGGAGTGCTTACAGCAATCGTGGTATTCCGGAGCATGTGGGTCATGGAAGTTACCCTACGTCCATCTCTACGGAGATTGCGCAATCAAAACAAACCGAATTTCTCGGGACAGACATTAACTATCAACGGAGAGACAGTAAACGAGAGAGATATTCGTATTCTCAAGAGTATGTGGGTAATGGTTGCTTATGGTCTGTCGACTTTCCTTGGAGGGTTTGCCATCTGGAACTTGGACAATGAATATTGCTCGAACCTGCGAACTTGGCGCCGTGAGCTTGGACTTCCATGGGGCATTCTGCTGGAAGGACACGGCTGGTGGTGAGTTCATCCTATAGTCTGAATTGTAGGGATCCGCTTTGTGTGTACAATTACTAACTCTGTTCAAGGCACCTTCTCACCGGAATTGGTGCTTATATGTATATCACCTGGGGGATATGGCTGCGCCATTGCCTCAATGGCCGCCAAGATGATTATAGGCTACACTGGCCTCGTCTTTATAATGCTGCAGACATTGTTCGTGTCCAGGATACATCTAAACCCTCAACACCCGAAGGTTACGCTGAGAAACTCAATTAAAGTGATCTCCTTTACATTAACTATGATTATTAGACAGGTGCCTTTGGAGTTTTGGAGATATACGGTCTTTTTATTTGTTTTGAATTGTACTCAATGGTATTTGTAAGTATACTTCATATAGAAAATATATTTTGCCTTGATGGGCCCATCTGAGGTAGAAGGGGATTAATAGGGATATTTAACAATTCTGAATGAAGCAGTATAGCCCATCGCTTGAAGATGGCTCTGGTAGAATACTATGCCTGTACAAGCACATATGGCGCAGCCATCTCGATGAAAGTGAAATAGGGGCAAGCATATTTCTCTGGGCTGAAAGGATGTCTATTCTGTTATTTAAACCCAGGCCTTCTCCTTCATACTGCAATATCTGAAAACCCCTTGTCTAGAGAGGCTAGTAATATCCCAGATAGTTAAACTGTGTATCAATTGTACTTTTGGCCGGCTGTACAGCCCCTTAATAAGGAAATTAATATATTTCTATTACAACTTGGCTGCAGTCGTGGGTTTCTTCCCCACATTCCGTAAACGTAATAAATCTACTTGTCTAATCCACTCCTGATCGACAGTCATCTTCTCAATTGGGGATCTTTTCTTCCATTCCTCCGCCAGCTGCTCTTCCTCTTTGCGCCAGCGTTGCATCTCAGTGCTTATCTGATTAGCGCATAGCTCAGCTGTTTGATTGACAGCCTCCATGGCTATCAAGTGTCCCACACCCTCCATAACTATGCCTTTCACCCTCCCTTCAGCAGCACCGCCGCTTCCACCAACCGCGATACCAGTCTGGTCAACCTTTTCCTGATTTAGCTTTCGATTGCTGACTTCCGAGTGTTCTGCAAATAGGTATAGAACACTTGGCCGCACAAAAGGAAGCATCTCAAATGTTTTATTAACTTCATACCGATAGAATGGGAATGCAGATTTGTATATGTGGGAGTCAAGGTCAGGGTGAGTGAGGCGGTTTGCAGATTGACAATCATTTGAGTTTAACCCATAAGCCGCCCTAAAGAAGGAGAATACTTCCTGGTGCCGAGTTGTGGTGAGAGTTACAGGCCTCTCGCCCACGGATTTATTCGCAGAACTGCCCTCCAGTGGGTATATAGCGGTGGGTAATTCTCGGAGTCCATACTTTACGAAGCATTCAAGCACACGGGGATCCCAGTTTTGATAGAATTTGTTTCTTTTGAGGGCCTTTTCGGCATCTACTCGGGATGGCCAGAGATCCCGCCGGTATGTTGACACAAGGGTTACAACTGGTATTTTAACCTTGGCCTGTTTGGAATATTCATCGTCGAGAACTTCAAGTCTGTTGATCACAGGGTCGAGTAGAATAAGAGACGTGAAGAGTCGCGGATGAAGGATTGAAAGGGTTACTCTGAAATTTTTCCCAGGGCTCGTTAGGTATTTCCATGATACCTGTGCATAGGGTGACTTACAAGTTATTACCACCCATACTATGACCAATCCCTACAATAGGGCGAGGCATTTCAGCCCGCTTCATATTGACTAAGTTGAGGAGGTCGCGCGGATGATCATACCATGACGCTAACCAGAGGGTTAATGATAACGGATCACAATTTGTGTAAATAGTAATTGAACATACGGTCATTCCCCAAAACATACTCGTTAAGCACCCCACTTTGTCCCTGGTGAGCAACATCCGCAATCCAGATACCACGAATGCGAAAACCAGCCTTCTTGGAGCGCGCATGTATTTCTTCCCACAAGGGCTCGTATAGTTCCTATCATTGAAAGGATGTTAGGACAATCCGATGATCCAGGAGAACCCTAATTGAGACGTAAATGGGGTTAGAGTCTGTAAGCCTGCTTACCTTTGGAAATCCATTGGCATGCGCACCTATTAGGGTGACATCGCCGGGTTGTGGGTTTGGATTATCCAGAGGTATATATTGCTTAACAGCTAGATTGAGTACTTCCTCTTGCTCTGTAGCCGTCGCATGAGGGTACTCCCTGATGTGCTGGCAGGGAATGACATGCTCAATGACTCGAAAACAGCTGGTCATTGTGCTTCTAGCTCCCTCTTATGTTTGTGCACCTAGTGATGCTTTGATGTTGCTTCCTTGAAATCGAACTTTCCAGGTATCAAATCGTGAAATAAAACACTTCCTAGGCAGTAGTTGTTTAACTGTTCGAATACCCCAGTGTCTTCCCGTACAATTGTTGTCGTAGCATGTAGCAAGCCTAGAGCACTGTAGGATAACTTGCAACGCATCCTTCAACTCCCGATGTGCCGAGGTAAGGTGAAGTAGCAATTGATGTGTAAGCGCCTTGGTTGACTAGTTTATACTATGTATGGGCACATTTTTAACATGATTTTTTGTACACCCTTATGATAAGATAAGATAGAGAAGTAAAAAGCTGCTTCTATGTCCTTGTAAACATGATTCTATCACTTGAAACTGCTTTCAAGAATTTAACCCGTATCTTCATGTGAACGTTTTTGATGATTAACCAGGGATACGTGATGCGGATCTCAATATATGTAGCTCATATGATAATTCAACGATGACTAAACCAACTATTGCCTATTACGGAAATAATCGGCATTGATATTGAATGACTTAGCCCTATGTAGAATAATACGCTTAAAACGAGTGTTATCCAATAGAAAGTAAGATTAGATGAAGTATATTACCGCTAGGCTGAAATAGCAATAAAAATAACACGTGACTGGCGTGATTTTTGACGCGTCGAAATGAAGGTTAAAATAAGCGCGTTTTGGTACATGTCGTCAAAGCCTTTTGATACTTCAAACTCCTCACACATAATAATTAGGTGGAGGACAAATCCCACCGAGCAAACGCAGGCTACTCTAGTGCATATCGGCCTGTGAGGTGAGAAACGACTATTGACATGGCGAAAGAAGGGCTATTCAGCCAGTCGAGGATCTGTATCATCTGCTCTCCCCAGCTTACTTTAGAACAGGCAGAAGAAGTAAGCTGTCCAATCTTAATCGCGCTCATCGAACATCTCGCTGACTTTTTATCTTCCCTGACTAGATATCGTCTGCTTTGCAAGAAAATGGTGCTGAAGTAGTCATACACCAACCACAATCCCCCCTCCCACCTATCAACGAGTTCAGCCATATAGTTTCTTCAACTATAGACTTCCAAGGCCATGATACTGCATGTGATGCTCTTATTCCGGTTGTCAAACCCCAATGGGTCCAAATGTCAATATCAAAGCACAAGCTAGCGAACCCACGGCAATATAATCCGGATCCACGATTGTTTATGAATGATGTCATTGTCACTTGTGAAGATATTCCGGAAGGTGATAAGGATGCGATCATTGGCGGGGTATTGGCTATGGGTGGTCTCTATACTTCGCGGATCACTAGTAGCACGACCCATCTTGTTACCTTATCAATGACTGATAAGTGTATGGCTACTAAGAATAGAGGTCTTCCGACTAAGATAGTGCTACCTCACTGGTAGGTGTATCAATCTCGAACATATTTACTGAGCGGCTGTGTCTAACTACAGTAGGTTCGATGATTGCCTTAAACTTGGCAAAAGGATTGATGAACGGCCTTATTTACTTCCCAATCCTGAGATCCTTCGACCAGACTATCATCGTCCTTTGCGCATTACCAAAAATAAAGACGTAGTTGGTGCCTCTACCCCAGAGCCCAACGCGCTTCCCGATATGGTCACATCTCCTGGGGGATCAAGACGCGAACTTAATATATTTAAGGGGAAAACAGTGATGATATCTGCAGATTTAGGGATAGCCGAACGCATGACTAACTCAATTGAACAGCTGATAGTGGAAGGCGGGGGCAAAATCACTAACCAGGTCTCAAAGTCAGATATCTTCATCTGTCGATACCGTGAAGGCGAGGACTATAAATTAGCATCGAGATCTGGGAAAGAAGTTGGTAACCTCTCGTGGCTATACCACCTTATTACACATAATGCATGGACATCTCCGCTACGACGACTTCTTCACTACCCTATTGCACGGGATGGCATTCCTGGTTTCAAAAATTTTAAAATAAGTTTATCTAATTATGCAGGGGAAGCAAGAATTTACTTGGAGAATCTCATAGTTGCTGCTGGCGCTGAGTCTACGAAGACTTTGAAACAGGATAATACCCATCTTTTGACTGCCCATGGGAATAGTGAAAAGTGCACGGCTGCAAGAGAGTGGAATTTACATATTGTCAACCACCTTTGGCTTGAGGAAAGCTATGCAAAATGGCAACAGCAAACGGTCACAGATCCCCGATACACGCACTTCCCTCGGCGGACAAATTTGAGTGAGGTTGTGGGCCAAACACGAATAGATAGATACGCAGTGGAGGAGAACTTTTTCCCCCCTGAACCAGCCTCGAGTATTAAAAAACCGACTGTTATGCAGCAAAAAGAGAATAATGCCTCTTTGAGCAGGACGTCCAAGCAAGCCAAGACACCGGTTTCGGAACAGAAGGCAGCTACGGACAATGCAGAGACCCCAGGTACCAAGCCTGATAGTACCGTAAAAAATGCAAAGAAAGCGAAAGACAAGCTCCCACAGACACCTTTACCCTCTAGATTTGCCAATCTTGGGAAAGAAAATGAGACCCCTTCTACTACCGGAAGCCGAAAATCAAAAGATATAGCCGCTGCTAGACTACACAGCCTTGCGCCTGATATATCACTGTATGAAAAGGAAACGAAGCGAGCTGGAGGTGTTATTTATGGAGGACGACGGAAAAGTGCCGGCGAGCCTGACACAACCAGGAAGAGATCAGCGGAACCTGACAGTGCCTCTGACTCAGAACAAGCTGCCGGGACTAAGAAGCTCAAGACCGCAAAGCCGCCCATTACAATCCGCCTACTTATTACAAGCTTCACTAGGTGGATAGAGAAGCCTAAAATAGAAGACTTGGAAAGAGTGAGTTTATTCTTAAATCCAAGTCATTGTATACCTCAGCGGAGTTAACCAGTTTTCGATACAGTCTCAGCTCAGGGACCTTGGAATTTCAGTAGTCACTGATCCCTCCCGATGCACCCACCTGGCAGCACCTTCTATCAAAAGAACCCAGAAATTTGTCAATGCCTTAGCACATGCACCAGTGATTATCAATTCTGACTTCATAACAGACTGTCTTGAGAAAAACGAACTCCTAGACCCCGGCAATTATATTCTCAAGGACAAAGCCTCAGAGAAAAAGTACAAGTTCTCCTTAGAAAAAGCTAGGCTGAGAGCGCAAGAAAACAAACAACAACTGCTCAGTGGACACACCATTTACTGTACGGAAAAGATCAATGGTGGGTTTGACGCATTCAAATCAATAATCGAGGCGAACGGGGGCCAGTGTGTGCTGTATCGGGGCCGCTCGGGGACAACCATCAGTGGTCGACGTTCGGCAGTTGACACATCTGACCAGGCTGAGGCGGAGGAGGTCTTCCTAATCAGTGGGCTTGATAAGAGTAGCGTCAAGCTTTGGGAAAAGTTCCGCACAATGGCTCGGGATGCAAAACGGGTGCCCAAGATCGTCCGGTCAGATTGGATATTAGACATTGCATTATCTCAGGAATGGCGAGGTGGTGACTCGTATGAGCACGCTGACGAAGATGTCGTGTAAAGAAAACAATGATAAAGTGTACCATTTGCCGATTATGAAAATGTTGAAACATTCTTAACCCATTCCCTTGGTTAGGTACAACATAATGCTTCGTTGGAGGAAACATATTCTCGCAGTATTAAACTCGAGATATCAAATAATTTTCTCGTTAGTTTCTTGCACCGATATAGTGATGGTTTAATAACCTCCAGGTTCAACTGTTAATCTTTGAGGCGGCCACCAAGTATAGGATTCCGTTCTTTTGGGTTGATGCAAATACTGATGGCTGAGGGGTATCAGGGCGGGCCGTTGATTTCAAAAGAACTTCACTCCCTGTTGGTCTTCATTGCCAAATACCTGCGCCTTACCCTGCTTGACCAGGACCTGGAGAGATTTCTGCATAACTTCAGGGTCCATTTTATGGAACTCTAAGTAATAAATTAGCAGCACGATGCAAGTTTAACGGTTATTGTAACATTTATGACCTAAGTACGCACCCTGAGAAATTGTTGCTTCTCCCTCCATGAGCTCGTAAAGTGTAAGGACAGTGTTTTTTTGAGCCGTTTCTTCAACCTGTAAGAAATACATTAGCGTGAGCATATACCAAGCTATCTTTCGAAATACCAATCACTCACCCAGCTAGCAAGGGCACTAGCCCATTCTTCCGGCCTCTTCCACCATATCCACGCTATTGTTTTTTCGCTTCCAATCCATTCTGCGCGTTTGCCTCCAGCGCTGCCCGTCATCCAGTCCACAATGGTTACGGCATCGGCCAGACTCAGGCCCTTCTTTAGCTGAGTATTATAAAATAACGGGGAGGAAATAGTATCGATCAGTGAAAGACGGTATATCCGGTGATGTCGGCAGTAAGATTGAATTAATGATGACCACTTTTGGAACTGTTCCTGCCGAGTTGTAAGGTTCGGTTGTATGGTATAAAACGGCGGAAACGAGTAGTCTCGTGGGAATATAAATTTGGGTGAATCAGATGTATTTGCAATACTTCCTGCGCCGCTAGGATTTGCCATTGTCTAACAAGAATAAAAATGCTTGGTAGTGGTAGATATTCGATGGAGGGTGGAAGTTGTCAGAGCTTAGTTAACTACTGATAAGATAAGATCGCGTGGGGGCTTCGTTTGCTACAAAAAAAATAAGGCAGAAAATCACCAACATCCAAGCTTCCACCATAACTACCACCACACAAAGTTTTAGCAAGCGATATACCACAAATCAGGGCTGTAAAAGTGACAGCCAATCCCTCATAATGTCAGCACCGGAACAAAAGCGTCAGCGGCGCTCTGGGCCGCAGAAAATACAAAAGGACAAGGTGGACGAGAATGGACAAGTGAAGCTACCAAGCAAGAAGCTCTATCGTCAACGAGCACATGCGAATCCATTCTCAGACCATCAATTGGATTAGTATGTCCATGTCATTGTTTTCCCTCATATGCCTCCTATTGAATCTCTCGAAACTAGAGCAACGCTAATTGATCCACTATACATAGCCCTATCAGCCCAGAACAAATGGATTGGGCTGCGATGTTTCCTGCATATATCAACCCGGATTCGACGGCTGTGAACCTTTTAGGTACAAGAAAACTGGTTAAAGATGTTGAAATAGCTGATATTGGGTGTGGGTTTGGAGGGCTATTGGTGGCGCTGGCGCCGCTAATGCCGGATACCTTGATGGTTGGTATGGGTTCCCAGTTCCTTGGTTTAACCGGAGCGCATATAAATTAACAATTCTAGGCATGGAAATCCGTTCTCAAGTTCTTGAATATGTGACAGAGCGTATTAGGGCGCTTCGATTTAGACAAACACCTCCCGCAATACCACAAGAATCATCTGCAGATACAACTACGGATAATTCTTCGTTACAGCAAGACGCATCCGGAGCAATACCTCCATCCACTTCTCAGTCAACTTTGTCTGGACAGCCCAATTTTCAGAACATATCTGCGATTCGTTCAAATACGATGAAATTCTTACCAAATTTCTTTTCCCACCATCAGCTCTCAAAGATATTTATATGCTTTCCCGACCCGCATTTCAAGGCACGGAAACACAAAGCGCGCATTGTCTCGACAACACTGAATGCTGAATATGCATACGTACTACGGCCGGGTGGAATGTTATATACCATTACTGATGTAGAAGATTTGCATCTGTGGATGGTTTCGCATTTCGATAGCAAAAAGGCAGAAAATGAGCTCAATTCGCATGATATTGCCGAGCTATGGGAGCGTGTGAGCGACGAGGAACTTGCTGCAGATGAATGCGTTCGAGTGATGAGAGACGAAACGGAGGAAGGAAAGAAAGTGACAAGGAATAACGGGCAGAAGTTCGTGGCTGTTTGGAGAAGAAAAGCTGACCCAGAGTGGCCTTGTTGATACCTATATTCAAACTTATGCCACGAGAAACACATATATAAGTTTCAAAGACCCAAAAAAAACAATGACATTTCTGTAAAGTATCGCCTGCTCTCCTACGCTATGGATCAAACTAATAAAAGCAAAAATTCACTGCTATCCCAAAGACACGAAATTAAGCAATCTGGAGTGCATGTAAAAGTGGCTGTATGTAGATAATGATCACGCCTTTAACCGTTTCGACTCACAGGACTCGCAGACAGGTAGCTCAACTGGGCCACCTATCTGTCTTCCCCTCGCGTTTACCTTAGGCTTACCTTGTCTCACAAAGAAACGCCCGTCAGGCCCGAAAGATCCCTGGCATTCGTGGCACCGGAAACATTCATCGTGCCACTGTCCTCCAAGTGCGGAGACTACTACATCATCCAGTACTGGCTTCTTGCAGGCCTTGCATTTTGATGCAGTACGTCGTGAATGACATCGGACACACCATGCAAAGCCTTCCTTCTCAACAAATGGAGTGGTTGGCGTAAATGGATCACCGCATTCAGCGCAGAAAAAGTGACCGGCATGCCAGGTTGAGCCACATGCAACGATAACCTCGCCTTCAATGGGTGTTTTGCAGCTCTTGCATCGTGGGCTAAACAACTCATGGAAGTCTAAATGGCAATAGAATCGTGGTGCATCGAGCCCTAGGTCATGATAAGATTCCGAATGAGACAGTCGTTTCTGGCGCTTCTGCTCTGGCTCCGGATAGAATGCAACGCATTCGAGAGGAGTGTGGCAGTGAAAACAGTTGAAACACTCTGGATGAAGCCGGTAAGAGCTTGCTGTGACGATCCGTCCAGATATGGATAGATCACAAATAACGCAGGTTGCTGTCGGGACACCTGCTTTAGAGAGGGACTGATATCTTTCGATCCCCGGGTTTGGGCGGCGGTTGGCATGATTCGGTCCAGGGCTAGGCAGCTCCCTCTGTTGGATTTGGCTTGCTTGCTCTATCTCCGATATGGTAGGCCCAAGAGGAGAGACGCGAATCTCCGGTAATATAGGCCCTTCACTGTCAACTGCAATACTGGGGACTGCGGGAGCACTAACACTAACTTCTGGTATAGAAGCAAGGGGTGGTGTGCTATTGGAGCCCTGCCTTAGGATAGCATGTCCGCTACCCTGGAAAGATTCGTTGCTTGGTGGGCTGACAGGCTCGTCTCTCTCTGGTTCTTTCCAATTGGGGTCAAAACTCACGATTGGTCGACCTGGCCTATCACTCACGGCTGAAGGCATCGGAAGCTTTGTGCTTCGGTCTTTCAGCCTCATGCTTGTTGCGGCGCGAATTTCATCATCACGAATTTCGATGCCATTCTTAGTGGGAGTACTTTGTTCCTTTTCTGACTCTGGTGTTTGTTCCCGCGGGGTGTAGGTGTTGGTTGTGTAAAGAGGGTTTCTGGTCTGGGTTGGTGGATTCTTATGTATATCAAATCGATTTAGTTTTCCACAAGTTGTAATACTCCATCTATTTGGGAACGGGCGTGCGCCACGAAGTACGGAGTTATGAGGTTTGACGGTTAAAGGAGAGGCGGAAGCAGTAGTTTGAGACGAACTAGGCTCCTCGTTTGCGTTATTCTTTTCAGGCTCCTCGTATATGGAGTCTTCTGGGTTCCTGAATATTCCTTTGGAAGAGCCACCACTGGTAGATCTCCTGCGGCTCTGGATATCATTTTTTTTATCAGTCTCATCCTTAGAGAGAGCAAAATTGACTTTTCGCGCTGGCCGGGATGTTCCATTCTTTGTCACATTTAACGACGATGCATCTTCAGTAGCGGCGGATTGGGCTGCATTAACCCCATATGTTGGCTGCTTACCAGATACAGAGTTGCTTCCGCTTGAACTATCCGATGAAGATCGGACGCTGTCAGACATGAGTTGACTCCGGATGATGTCTCCACGTGCCCCGAGGCTAGAAGCCCTCGAGTGACTGCCCTTCTCCAAATGTTGCCGTAGTCTGCTTACGGTCTTCAAATCAGGGTTTCTATAAGCTGAATGGGTATCATTGTGTCTAAATCCATGAGTCTGGTGCTCCAGAACGAGTTCTGTTGCTTCCTCCTGGGCTGCCTCAAATAATCTGTTTTCGTCTTCTTGAACGTCCATTTCTTCCAATGCCGACCTAAGAGACCGGACTTCTTGTCTTTCCATCCATCTTTGGCCACGCTCTATGTATGGCACTGTGGTCGAGGTTGTTGAGGCCAAGCTAATCCCGCATTGGGATACATTTCTTGCCCCGTTATACACCTCGGATTCCGGTATTGGCGGTGTTCCACCGGAGCTACTAGTATGTGATGATAACTCTGAGGTGGTCCTTCGATGTGAGAGAGCGCTGGATGAGCGGGGGATAATATCCTTGGAGCTGGTCCGAGAATGTATCTTCTCTGATGGTCGGGTAGAAAACGAAGGCGCTGGTCTAGCCGGCATATCTTTTATGCTGGCAGGTGTTGCTGACCCAGAGACCTTCGAAGGAAGTGGTCGTGAGCCATTGGGCCGTGGTGGACGAGCTGATCGAAGATCCCGTAGGTAACTTCCTGTTAATTGCATCAGCTTTCTGTCTCGGTATCAGGCTAATGGCTGGCCATCGAAATCCACCTACCCAGCTCTTCATCGCTCATAAACGTAGGTCCCGGAGGGGAGACTTTTCGTGGGCTACTCTTTAGTTTAACACCGTACATTGTGGCTGTACTGAAGCAGACGCTGTCTTTGATATGAGCATCGGGCAAATGCCCATTTATATAGTTGAATAGAGAGAGTTATGAAGGTTCAATAAATCATCGACGATACAGATCAAGGTTATACACATGTGGCGAGTTATATTCCAACTAGTCTTGGGGGTTGGCTCTTTGTGCACCCTTCATAAGCGCGAGTTCTGGCTTGTTTTTTTGGCGTATCAACAACAGCCAAGTCACACCGGTTGCGAGGCCAACGCATAGCTGACTAAGGCGCGGGTGTTTAGCCGAGGAAGCCCCATGAGTCTATTCTAGTTTCAACATCACAAGAAGCCTTCTTTGCATATTGTATGTATTATGATTTTGACGGGGTGTAATGATATCATTCCCTCCATGATACTATAGAAACAACAAATCACTCGAGATTGCAGAACACAGTTTGGGACTATTAGAGGATCGCTTGCAGGCGTGTCGTCAACCTGTTGCGAGCGCATGGCGGGAATATTGGATAGCGGCCATAGTGTCGAGGGATTGGATATTCAGTCACTTCCAGGATACAAACAAGAGTCTCACTTATCAGCTATGGGTGCCGAGGAGTCTTATGCAGGAGCTGAGAAAAGAGTTTCTTATGTCGTTCTGGAGGCGAATTTCTAAATTGATATACCGTGACAGACATTTTCCTGTTTGGCTACTCTGCCAGATACCTACTTTTAAAGTTCTTATATTTATGCAGGTTTTGAGATGAAGAATTGTGGCTTTGAAAGTTACCTCTAAGCTAATGGCTCGACTCCTGGGGCCTGCAGGCTTCAGGATTCCACAGAATGTCCTCTATCAGGGCCACCATTTTAGGTTCTTCTTGCTATTCTTTCTTGCACTTAGGCAGTGATCGATACATTCAAACATAAGATGCTTGACAAACGCCTCTCCTTAAAAGAGTTGGTAGAGTAACATAATAATATGCTGTCAAACTTGGAATGCCTCAAGATCTAGCTTACCGTCGGCAACGCAACCCAGGGGGTTCGTGTCTTCAAGCAAAGGTATAAGATAAGGTTTGATACACTATGTATTTTCAGTACATATAGAGCTACCTTTGATTTTTCCATAACCCTAAAAATCCTCCAATCTTTGCATTTGACATTCTTTCTGGATAAACTGGCCACAATGTATCACCTGCAGCTGTCATATCGATATAGGCGCGCCTGGTATGCCAATGGTGTTACAGAAGCTCTCAGGTACTGGTAACCACTAACCAGCGTTTCTGTAATTTACCACTATCGTCCTCGTAAGAACCGAAACTGGGAACGCTCGCTTGAAAATTGGACTAAGGAGTTTGAGGAACAACCGCTACGTGAAATACCTGGACCAGTCGCTGTATTGGGTGAGGGTTAGTTTTGAATAGTGATGCGAATTGCCCGCGAATTTTGCAAGGATAGAGACCAGTACGGAGTAACACTGTACCAACCCAAAGGAATTGACACTAAAGCTTCAAGAGCATTTTCGCACCGCTGTGAAGCAGCTGCTGTTTCACGTAGGAGGCAAGGCAAACAGGCAGTAGAAAAGAGCCATAAGGGCCAGTTTATTCTTTAAAAAATGATATCGCCATCTGCGTCGGAAGAGCACGAGTATATAGTTCTATCGTTTATAGATTCTAATTCTATTAGAAGCTCCCACGCACGACAGAGAATCTAAATATAGTTGAATGACTCGAACCAGTTCGTGTGGTTAACTTGTCATTGAGATAAGCCAATCATCAATGGTAGTGGCGTCCAGGCGGGAAAACGCCGTTATAAAAGATATGTTCCATAGTTAACCTTGTAACTACACCCAAAATATCGACGATGATTTTGAAGCAATGTTCGTTCATTGCATCGATAGTTGGCTACTCGAAATTCCAACTAGGACAAGGGGTTTCGCTATTGACTCCATCCCAGCAATGATAGGGCGTACATAGTATTCCGCCTGGACAAGCTTACTCCCCTCTCGCCCGGGTTAATGTTAATCAGCTTGAGATAGACCAGTCGGGAGGATGAATACGATGGTTGCCCCCACCGTTCCGCTTAAACGGCACTGAAGGCCCTTTTTCGTGCTTTGGAATTGCCGGAAGGCTGCCCCGAGATGAAGCCAGGTAAAAAATATGGCTCCGTTTTATATACTGAGCTAGTGGCCGCATTCTGTGAAGAAGCCATATCATAAACTGTAACTGCTTGCTCTAACGGGGAGCGGAGAGAAGGACCTTGCTTAAGACTCAAGTTAAGTCTTCCTGGATAAGAGACTTGCTTATTTGAAGGTCACTTTCTCGCAAGTTCAAGGATGGAAAATGATCCAGCAGTGTATAGCAGCAATGGACCTGCCTCCCATCAGGTAGAAAAGGAAGCAAACTACTCTGGAGAAAAAGGGCCAGGTCGAAATTCTATTCCTAGATCAGATGAGGACTTAAACGAAAAAGAGACAGAAGATATTCCGCCAGATGGAGGATATGGTTGGGTCTGTGTTTTGTGTGCTGGTCTAATTAATGCCAACACTTGGGGTGTCAACAGTGTAAGTGTTTTCTTAGTTATAGCTAGCGGTTATCACACATATCAAAGGGGATCTAATAATACTGACATCCTCCAAGTCATATGGCGTTTTTCTCTCTTATTATTTAGAGAACGGTATATTTCCGAATACAAGCCCCATTGAATATGCCTTCACTGGAGGCCTGAGCATGTCTTGCTGTCTTCTCATCTCTCCATTGGTTACTCATATGGTGCATTTATATGGAAACCGAGCAGTCCTTAACTTCGGTGTCATTCTTCAGACGCTCTCCTTTATTGGGGCATCGTTTGCGACGCAGAAATGGCACATCTTTCTCTCGCAAGGGGTGTGTTTCGGTTTTGGAATAGGCGTGATCTTTGTCACCTCTGTGAGCATCATACCTCAGTGGTTCCGGCGTAAGAGGAGTATTGCCAACTCACTTGCTGCCGCCGGCTCTGGTATAGGAGGGCTATCATATTCCCTTGCGGCTGGCTCGCTGATCCCAAAAGTCGGCTTAGGATGGACCTTTCGCGTTCTAGGTCTATGTTCATTTGCCATGAACTTGATCGCTTCAAATCTGATGCGAGACCGCAACAAAGCTATCGGTAGCAGATACCGCGCCTTTCACTTCCCATTGCTCAACCGGCCCGAGTTTCTATTTCTTCAAGCATGGGGAATGCTGTCCCTGCTGGGTTATGTTGTCATATTGTTCAGTCTACCTAACTTTGCTCTTTCAATCGGGCTATCTCAGAAGCAAGGCAGCATTGCTGGCGCATTATTGAACCTCGGTCAAGCCCTCGGGCGTCCAGTTGTGGGCCTCGTCAGCGATAGATACGGTCGATTCAATATGGCTGTCCTATTTACTTTCTTCTGCGGCTTTCTTTGCTTAGCGGTCTGGATACCATCTTCGAATATGGTTGTGCTCTCCTTTTTCGCCATCATAGTGGGCACCGTCGCCGGTACTTTTTGGACAACAATTGTCCCCGTCTGCGCGGAGGTAGTCGGCATGCAGGAGCTTCCTGGTGGCCTGAGTCTTACCTGGGTGGCTATGGTGCCTGCAACAACGGTAGCCGAACCAATTGCCCTCGTCCTTAGGCATGGCTCGGGGTCTACAGGTTCCTATACCTATGCACAAGTCTTTACGGGAATTGTATATGTGGCTGCAGGTTTGTTTTTGCTGGTGGTTCGCGGTTGGAAAATCGGTGATAATGAGAGGATAGCAAAAGCCGCAGTCAATAGCAATTCAGGGGAGGCATCGTCTGGTAGAGTATTCACAACAGCCCCTACCGCTGCTATGGATGATCCTATCACCGGCTGTGCGACAGTTGTGCCAGTCATGAGTCGTCCAGACAATGATCCTAGGTATCCATCTACATCTTCCGTCGTGGAGGTGAAGCTTTGGTCTCCTCTACCTCTTGCTCGACGAATGGTAGCCTGGAAGCTGGTCTAAGGAACAAGGAGTAAAATGCCGTTTTCTCTGCGTTTAGGTTAGTATTTGATGGTAGATGGATTAGATCTAACTTGCACGGCGTTTTATTTTATTGCATTCAACAGCATCAGGATATTTAATGAATAATAGTTTGGCTCTTTATTGCATCAAAATCTCTAGTGGGTTATCGAGACAGCAACATGTTATGTATACTGTAGAAAGGAGGATATCATGCTTTCGCCAGAATCAAAACTCGCACTCTTCTCTTGCCTGCTCCACGTCCTTTTTCTTCCTTGACGGAACTAACATTCACTTTGACCTTATCGAACAACTCGACGACCATGCTGTTCGAACCTGACTGCGGTTTCATGGCTTCACTGTCCTCATCGCTTTGTTTCTCCCACACTTTAAGAGAGTATTGTTCGTTGTTGAATTCACTTTCTCTCCTAGCAGCCACTTGCTTGCTTGAGTTTGGATCAAAGACCTTCGTTTGTTGGCCGTCGAGGACGAAATCTTCTAGTCTAACAACTCCTTCAATACCGAACCGTGGAATGAAGACGACGACGCCATTGTCAAATACGCGCATTACATAGCCCTCTTCATCAACGCCAGGAGCCACTGCAGAACCCAGGCGCTTGGCCTCTTGCTCACCCCTAGCCTTCAGTGCTTGGCCAACATAATATTCTATACTAGCCCTGCCAGCAAACTGAGCATTTCGATGTCTATGGTTGATGTTCTTGCAAATATCCTCTAGTTTGCTGCGAGTAGTAAGTCCCTCACCAGCAGAGGCTCCGGGTCCTTCATACCCGATTGCAGCAGCCAATTGTCGATGAACGACGAGATCAGCGTATCGTCGAATGGGGGATGTGAAATGGGTATAAATGGGAGATGCAAGCCCGTAATGCCGGAATTCAGATTCTGAATGTGCTCCGGCGCAAAAGTATTCAGCGGACGTCATACAACGTGTTGCGAGGATACGAATGAGGGTATTGAAAAACGGATTTCTCTCGTCAACACATTTGTCCAGAGAGTTGGCTAGAGCCAGAGAACTGGACACATCAAGTGTGAGGTTGCGCTTTTTCGACAGCTGAGTTATCAACTCTTCAAAATTTGAAGGAGGTGGAGTAGCATGTCTTCGTAATAGAGCAGTTTGAGGGAATGATTCGTAAATCCTAGCAGCAACCGAAATATTGGCGAGAAGCATGAATTCCTCAACGAGACTGTTTGTGTCCAAAAGGGCTTTCGTCTTGACATCCGCGACTGGGTCAGAAAGCTCCGAATCGGTTTCAATGCGAACTTCTGGGGAGGCAAGATTCAATGCTCCCGCATCCATTCTCTTTTGACGGAGAAGCTTAGATAGCCGAAGCAGTGTCCGCATACTTTCAGTTAAGTCATCTGTTTTAGATCTATCATCAATACGTAACTGGGCTTGCTCGTAACTAAAAGCTTCGCGGGAAAAGATAACGGATTTAGTAAAACTTGAGGATACGATCTCTGCGTCAGCAGTTACCTCCCAGAGGACGGAAAATGCGAACCGTTCAACATGGGGTTTAAGAGAGCAGAGATCAGTACCAAGGAGCATTGGAAGCATGTCTATGCGCTTGTCAACTAAGTAGACCGTTGTTCCTCGCATACTAGCCTCAGTGTCCATGGCGTTATTGGGCCGTACAAAGTTGGAGACGTCTGCAATATGAACTCCGACTTCAAAGTTACCATTTGGAAGTGGTCGGGAATGAAGAGCGTCGTCAATATCTTGACAACCCGGTGGATCAATACTGCAAACAAGCAAATCTCTCAAATCCCTTCTGTCTTTCCAGCCGGGGTCTGACATGTCCTTTGGGACCTTCCAATCATGACCTTCAGCGGGTAAGCAGTCCAGGACTGTTTGGGGGAACGGCCTATATTGCACGTCGTATTCTAGCAAGAGGGCCTCTGTCTCGGCACCTTTCGTTTCTACCTCTCCCAGGGACCGCACAAAATGGCCCATTGGATATCGAGAGTCTCTGTCCCAGGCGTCTATTGTGATCAATATTCTTTGTCCCATGAGTTCATTTGCCTGTCGAGTGCGTATTCTTATTTTAGGGACTCGTTTATCCATCGGGATGACGAAGACAGTCTGCTGGCGCCGCCCAGCCGATGAAGCTTGAGAACTAGACGATCCATCGATGTGTCCAACGTATTGACGCCAATTTCTCTTGATGATACCAACCACCTTTGCGGTCGGCTGGGGCCGGCTTTCAGTACCGGTCCCATGGGCTTTTCGGACCTCATCTTGGAGTGCTTTCCTTTCACGCTCTGTTACCACAGCTTCATTTTCTTCCGCTTCCGGATTGTCGTCTTTGGTTAAAGCTTCCTCGTCAATGATCTTGGATGACGGAGTTTTCCACTGGTCTTTGGGTAGCACTTCGACAACCACAATATCGCCAGCAATAGCTCTGTTGCTGTTATCCCGTCCTAGAATAAGAAGTGATTTATCAAAAGCAGGGACGTTCACACTTCCTTCTAGGTAGTTGTAAGGTGACACGTTGAATACCCCTTGGTGTAGAGTACCAGCTCTTATCAGTGTCATAATCTTCGACATCGAGTAGTATGCGGGGTATAGCATCTCTCCCTTCTTCGGCTTCGCATCATGAGCTAACTTTGACTCATTGACCATGTCCAGGAGCCTGTCTGCGTCTTCAAGTCCGGAAATATAGTCCGTCAATGAGAGGGCAATTACACCTTCTTCGTCCGACTTGCGAGCATTTCCTTTATCATCCGTGAGTATTACAATAGCGGGGATATTTTGCTCCTTTTGAGTATTCTTCGTAACTTCCTGGAGGTGTTCCGTGTACCACTTTGCTGCTGTTCGTACGGCCCTGTCATTGCGATCGTTTATACTCTCATCTGTACCTCTCCTGACATGGGTCTCTAATCGGAATTCATTAAAAAAGAGATAATATCTTTTCTCTTCACTCCTTATCAGCGATATCAGCCGGTTATATAAAGGCAAAGACTGGTTCTTGAGCTCCTCTAGGACGGTTTGCAAAACTATAACATCGTAAAATGCACTTGTCTGTTCAAAGAGGTCCATCGCATTGAGCAGAGCGTTCGTATCGGGCATCAAGTAATGGCCCTTTGGAAATCGTTTTGTACCAGCTGGTTTCTCTGAAAGGACGAATGGAGTAACTAATGCGCAAAACATTTGGTCAGTACATTAACTATTCACATCCGCAGCTTATGAAAGCTTACCAAATCCATTGGCATCCGTTGGGGCATACGAAAGGCATGCTGTGCATAGCTTTGACGAACACGGGATATCCTGTCTAAGATATAGCTCGCGCACTATCTTCTGGACCTTCCCGCTCTTTGTTGACCGAACGAAAATTTTGCTGGACACATTTGAGGCATGGGGATTTGAAGAATGGTTCCTCCGTAAGCTCTTCATGTCGCAGATAGAACCCGGAGGATTCTTATGAAGCGGTTATCAAAAGCTTGTCAGGTCAAGTGGTATGAAATGCACGACTAAAGAAGTACCGTCAAGTCTAATGGCTTTCGAGCTGTCGCAAAACCTCAGAATCATAACAATGTAAAATATTTAGCCGGGCAAATTAAGACCCTAACCTGCTCCACGGTCAATAATCAGGATCTTCAATTAGCTTGAATGCACACTAATTCATGCAAAACGAGCTTTGATTTAGCAATTTTGTTATCGCGATATCACGTGACAAATATGTTCTCCGATGGCGTTAATCACGGCTACAAAAGACGAACATAGCAATTAGAGCAGTTGTATGTTCCGTAGGAGATCGAACAGCCCCAAAGTTTGCGAGTCTATGGCTATTGGTTCATTCTAACGAGACTCGCGGAAGGGTGTTTGTTGAGTCTACTGAAATATCATGACATATTTATTGGATATGACAAGTAAAACGATATCTTACAGTTAAACTGGATTTACCGTATGGAGCACTCAGGCTGCGGCTATGCGAGAAGAGTGGCTCAATTAGCCTATCTATATAAGAAGGAATATCAAAACAGAGAGAAAAGTGGATGCTCCGTCCCTGGCAAGAAAAGATAATTAGACAGGATAGTATTTCCCTCTCAAGGGGAACCGAAAGATGATAGAAAAGTAGTAAAATGGGGTCTAGTACTGTTCTAAAAACTCTTGAAGCCATCATTGGTGTACCGTGTTTTCCTTGAGGCCTTCCGCTTTCGACCATTCAGTTCCAACGTATGCCGATGAACGACCGCAATTCCACTCTCTTCCACAACAAAGAAACAGGCATATATATAACAAGAGCAGCAAAATGTCTAGAAGCACGGCAGATCATATTGAGTGTGGAGGAGGGAATCATTGTTTTTGGACTTTGTCGGGGTCTTCCAGGATGCCTTCTTTTTCAAGTCTTCTTCGTGCCTCTTCGAGAGCCCATGTTTGTATCCTACAGGTCAATTGGTTAGTATGCCGTCATATTCAAGTAGGCTAAGTAAGTATATGTTGGAGTCCAAGACATACGATGTATCTGGCTTGAATACGTAGGCAATGCCGGCAACGAGGAAACTTCCAAAGAATCCGTAGTAGAAGATAGTTTCCCAGCCTTCCTTGACATACTTATGTCCTGGCTTCACACCAAAGAGCCATCCGGTTGGGGGATCGTAGTGGCCTCCGGCACCAAGCAACGACGTCCGGGTCGAGAACCGGGCATGCTGTGGAGTACGGAGCAGGCAGCGCGAGCGCGCGGAGAGGGAAGCAGCGCGCGCGGACATGGTCCTTGCCTGTCTGAAGACGTAAAGGGGGTAACTGAAAGGCGATAGAACGTATTGCAATTGAGCCTGGATAAGGTGAGCGGCCTTGGTGGGGAGTAGCTAGTTTAGATGAGGTCGGTTTCTGAGCCCGAATTTTTTATCCCGGTCGGGCCAATTGACGGAGGGCCGACAACGCAGGACGACTGATGGAGGCCAGCTGGGGCTAAACAGAAGACCTAATGAGACCGCCCAAGGTAGATGGGTTGAGATGCCGCCACGATGTCGTTCGTTGACGGACAGAGAGAACAGATCGAAGCGTATCAAGTGACTGTCTTTCTCTCTTTTTCGCCTTTCTGTTTTAGGCGCTGGCGGTAAAGCCTGGCAGAATCGGGTCCGGGTTATATAGTTTCTCCGTCAGATCTGTCTAGGAAGGTAAAGCGAACCTTGAAGAGAGCATCAAGATGGATGCAGAAGGTCAGCCGACATCGTCGTTTTCATAGAGCGTAGCAGTCAATTGAGGCTTTTGGCTGTGTATAAGTGTCTAACACTCTTTGGAGGATGCAATATCTAACTATACGGAGGGTGATATTCATAATCCGTTCTTCACAAGGATAGTGTATGGAGTATGGAATATAAGAGAAGCATCATACGGTGTGGCTACGTCTCTTAAACAGAGCTCTTCCGATAACAGTTCCGACGCCTCGAGACACCATGCAATACATAGCTCGGAGCAGGGGAGAAGCTTGTGACGAAGAAGAAGCTCCTGCGTCTAGTTTACTATGGGGCTTCTTTTTTCTTCCTCGCTCTGTTATTTCTTTTTGACGAAAAAGAAGAAAGGGGGCCACCTATGCTTAGATAAGCTGTTAACGTCCGTTTTCTACCTCGGCATCTTTTTTTCACTTCCCTCCGGGAAAAAGATGAGCTTATCGCTGCCAAAGCCTGAAGAGCCGGACATCTTGTGATTCTTTAAAACTATTCTCTGCTGCTCTTTTATATCTGGGCCTTCCCCCAGCTTTGGTTTATCTTCTTTTCTTTCTTCTCTTTCTCCAGTTCCTAGCCTCCCCCCAGTCTTCAATTGCTTGACAGTCCCTCTATTCAAATCAACCCTACACCATGGTCTCCTCTCCGGATTGGGTGAAGAAGCTGACACCCTCCGGGCCTCAGGGCTCAGAGCTCCTAAAACATGAACGGGATCAATCCAATGTCTCCGTCGAAAAGCTTGCGGAACTGCTCCATACCAAAGAAGTGTTGGAAAGACAAGACCGTATTCTCTCCATAATTCAGAACGAGGAGGTCTTTGATAAGTCTCAGAATCACTCGCTAGGCCGTGTTGACCGGATCCAAAGATCCCTTGCAAAAGCTAAGCGCCTTGAACAGCTAAAGAGGCAGCATAACTGGTCTGAAGATGACTTCCTCATGGCCAATAGCTTGATCAGCGAACCTACCCCGTATGGTTTGCATGCGTCTATGTTCTTGGTAAGATTTCAGCTCACCCCTTTTTATATATCTATAGCAAGAATTTACCTCTAACAAACTGTGTAGGTAACTCTCAGAAACCAAGGAACTCCAGAGCAACACAGGCTCTTTTTGGAGCCAGCTGAGAGATATGAAATCATTGGATGCTACGCTCAGACTGAGCTGGGCCACGGTTCCAATGTTCGCGGCCTCGAAACCACCGCCACATGGAATCCAGACGACAAGACCTTCATCATACATTCACCTGCCTTGACTGCTTCCAAGTGGTGGATTGGATCTCTTGGGAGAACCGCCAACCATGCCGTCGTCATGGCCCAGCTTTATATCAATGGGAAGAACTATGGACCACACCCGTTTGTCGTCCAAATTCGAGATTTCAAGACTCATAAGCCTCTCGAGAACGTTCACGTTGGCGACATTGGTCCCAAGTTCGGTTACAAGTATGTATCTAGCCTTCCGCGCCTTCATTGTAAACCGTACCTGTTAACATTTCTTCAAGCACCATGGACAATGGATTCCTGCTCTTCAACAAAGTAAAGATTCCTCATGTCAACATGTTGGCCCGTTTCTCCCGTGTCGACCCCAACACTAACAAGTATGTTCGACCCGCCTCTCCGTCTTTAATCTACGGCACTCTCACCTGGGTTCGATCTACCATCGTCCTTCAATCCGGTGGTGTTCTTGCCCGTGGTGTCACTATTGCAACCAGATACTGTGCTGTCCGAAGGCAGTTCCAGGACCGAGATGCTCCTGCTGACGAACCCGGCGAGAACCAAGTTCTGAACTACAAGATGGTTCAGATCCGGCTATTACCCTTGCTGGCTGCTACTTTTGCTCTGCACTTTACTGGTCGTGGTATGATGGCTCTTTATAACCACAACCAGGCTATAATGAAGAAGTCGGCAAGCAATCAGCCAAGCGGCAGGGGTGCTGGTCCCGAGGAACTGAATCCTGGTGCAGACCTCTTGGCGGACCTCCATGCTACGTCTTGCGGACTCAAGGCGTTGGGAAGTACTATTGCGGCCGAAGGGTTGGAAGTATGCCGCCGTGCATGCGGTGGTCATGGTTATAGCAGCTACAGTGGAATTGGATCCTGGTATTCTGACTACCTACCAACGACGACATGGGAGGGTGACAACTATATGTTGACCCAGCAGGTTGCCAGATACGTAAGTTATCTTGCTTCTATACACCAACTACATAGAGATTAAATGGCTAATGCGAAATATAGCTCCTCAAATCTGCCCGATCTGTCTTTATCGGCAAGCCGGCCAACAACGACACTTGCACTATCCTTCAAAGCTACCTCTCTCGCCGCGATACTGGTGCTGCCTTCGATATCCTTGAAAACGACTCTGATGTCGTGGCTGCATTCGCCTGGAGAACAGCATACTTGACCTTCGAGGCTCTTAAGCACCGTGATGTCGAGAAACGATCCTGGAACAACCTCCTTGTCGATTTCTGGAGACTCTCTACCGCCCACTCCCAGTACCTCATGGTCAAGAACTTCTATGAAGCCGTTTTCCCGTCTGGTTCTTCCGCTGAGGCAGCTACTTCCCTTGGCATCGACGAACCAACTCTTGATGTCCTACGAAAGCTTTTCCGCCTCCACTCTCTACATACCCTAGAGCGTGAGTCGGCTGACTTCTTCACTTCTGGAGCCGTCACTACCAGACAAATCATCCTTACACGAACCAAGGCTGTCATGAAGCTGCTGGACGATATCCGTCCTCATGCCATCCGATTGGTTGATTCATGGATGTTCCCTGACTGGCAACTCGACAGCTCCTTGGGCAGATATGACGGTAAGGTCTATGAAGATCTGTTCCACCGTGCAAGTGAGCAGAATCCTCTGAACGAGTTGACCTTCGACCCTTACCCATGGAATAAAGCCTTGGTGAAGAGTGATAAGAGCAAGCTTTGATGGCTTAGAAAAAGTACTATTCAGGCTGAAATATTCTCTTCTTCGTATAATTATACATTGGGGATGGTGTTGGAATCGAAGTTTATTTATTCAGGTACCATATGAGGATGTTGGAATCCTCATGATAGACAGACAGGCGGCTGCGATAGAATTGGATCCGGCGGCAATAGATTTGATAGAAGATCTTTTCCGGAGAGGTTTTTTGGTTTTGTTCATTGTCATTTTATATATGTTGGATATTATCCCGGCCAGTTTGCCAGGTCTATCTTCATTCTGTCATGATATAATCATATAGTTGAACGTACATTCGTATAAACATGGGTTCGAGCAATGGTGTATATATGGCAAGTAAAAAGGCCAAGTCTCCAAAGATCCTGGTGTAATAATAAGGAAAGAAGAGAGAGAGATCTATCAGTGTCAATACAGACACGTTACCAAACAGCCCATTCAAAGCAGCAGTACCCATATCATCGCGCCTAGCAGCCAAATAAACGTAATTGGCCTATCGCAACTAGCCGAACTGCCAGGTTGTACCTTGCCAACTGCGGCTGTTCCAATGCCGGTAGCTGATGCTGTGCAGCTAACTTGACCGCAGCGGTAACCATTAGGGCAGCATCCTCCTCCATCACTTGCAGCACAGCTCATCCATCCATCTGCACACCGCTTAGTAGGGGTAGCGGATACAGAATTTGGAACGCTTTCAGCTGGGATTACAACGGTGACTCCATTACTTTCAACGGTTGTCAAAGACGCAGTGATCGGGCAGGATGTTGTTTCGCAGTCTCGGCCTGTCTGGCAACATCCGCCGCCATATACGGCGCTACATGCGTAGAATCCTATGGGACACAGATCCGGGATGCTAACAGTAGACGATACGGAAGTTGATGGATTAGAAGTAGGGCGACCGGGAGGTGAGATTGTAGGGGATGGTACTGATGTTGGCGGAGGCGGTGGAGGTGGTGCCGTGGTAGTCTGGCTGACGGTAGAAATTGTCGTTATAGTCGATGACGGCAGTGTTATTATAACCGTTGTTGTTGAGACGAGTAAACAGCCTTCAGCCACACAGGTATATCCTGGTGTACAACAACCACCACCCAAGTCAGCAGGGCAGGTAGCGTATCCTTTAGGGCAAGAGATGAGTTGACCCGAACAGTCCTGGCCCTGGGGGCAGCATCCAACGTCACCCAAGCCAGTGTCTTTCACGATTAGACACACATCTCCGGCCTGACAGCAGCTCTTGGGCCGGTTGATGGATGTACATGGTGCACTCCCGGCAGGGCACTGGAAGTCCCGTTTTCCTAGTATCGACCGCCCTATCAGTGGAGATAATATGTCGGAAGAATGCAAAAGAAGAGGCGACCGAGCGTTCAACGATGATTTATCCCCAGCCGAAGAGTCCGGCACCTCATCTGTTCCTCTTTTGCTGTTCACCGCTTCCTCGTCGTGCAGGTTTTCCAGACACCAATAATGCTGAAAAAACTTCTGACCAGGGTCGTCTGACATCTTCCGCACCAGAAAAGGGTGTTCTTCTTGAGCGTCGGCATGTTTTGCTGTTATAAGTCCATCCGTGGTGTTGTCACTGTTGAATTCCCGGATGCTCCCTGCCACCGCATAGGTTGACGGGAGGGAAGAGAGAAGAACAAAACCAATGGCAAGACAAGATATAGGAGGTATCCTCTGTAGTATTGATGAGACAAGATGCCTACGGTGGGTTGAGCAACCCTTGCGTATCCGCATATCGAATGCAGCGTTGTCGGTTCAGCACACCGCTAGGTCAAACAAGCCGACCAAGTTGCATATTTTCTCCCTGAAAATGTAGTTAAGCGAAGAAACACCCCGAAATGTAGCCTTTAATATATTAGCTAGCCAGATGCAGGGACCCTTTATTTATTCGTAGTCCTAATGTTTTGATGAGCCGATGAGCCGATGAAACAGCTGTGGCGAATCGAATGGATCTGTTCATGTTTACATCTCCGATAGCTTTCTCATCTTATTGGTTAAAAGTGCACAAAACTGGTCGGACTAAAAACGTATCAAAGTCGAAGAAAATATATAAGATAGCTTCTACCAGAATATATATATATATATATCCAGAAAAATTAAGTATAAAGTGAATAATTTATTGATACCTCCGGCCGATGTGACAATTATCCAATCCAGGAACTTCCAAAACCAAGCCAAGGTATCGATGAAGAAGTGTATAAACGAAGAATCAAAGGGAAGAAAAGAAAACAGTGATATAGAACGAACTTGGGTATCGGACATGGGGCACAGAATCGTCTCATAAGGATAAACACGTACAGTATGATAAAAATGCGAGGAATGATGGATGGGTCATATATAAAAGGAACGGGAACCGATAAGAAAGGAAGAGTGAATGGCAGGCAAGGTAGGCGATGAATTATCGGACGGGAAAGGAAGTGGGCAGAACAGAAGGTCGGTAAAGGAGAGAAACCCAACAGCCCCGGATACTCCTGTTATACGTGTATGGCTGGTTGGGTGTATAGTCAAAAGGGTGATTTTCTGGCGGCGCGCGGGCAGTTTGCGAGTGGTCTAGGATGCGAATATGGCAGTGAGCCAGGAGGAACGCTTTTTACCTGATGAAGCTGAAAGTCGTACAATATATCAGAACATAGCACGGTATATAGAACACAAACACCGCATTTTACGCAGTGTGATCCGACATACCAGGTGTATCGGACGATCGGTGACCCGAAGAGCGTCTGTCAGACTGATTGGCCCCAATATCATTGGTGCTAGCATAGGTATCGTCTTTGGCAGCGTGGGTGTCTTTGTGCTCTACGGTCTCAGGGTCCGGCGGTGCGAGTTGGTCGTCTGGAGCATTTGATTCCGCTTCTGGTTCATGGGTCTCGCCATCGGTAGCCACTGGTTCTGGCTCGGCAGGAATTAGACCCTGCATTCGCTCCCAGACCTCCTTTCGTATACTCTCTTCCTTTTCCTTCCGGACCCGCTCTAGCTCTTCAAAGCCACCACCGTTGCTCTTAAGCTTACCAGCACCTACAAAGTTGCTTAATTCCCTTTGGAACTCGCCTCCTCGCCGGCTCTCCAGTTCCCTCTGGCGAGCCTTTTCGGCTCGTTCAATAGCTTCGAGGCGTGATTCGTGGTTGGGTTGCAGGGCGCGGACTTCACCCAGAACACTGTCTTTTGCGTCAGCGGGGTCGATATGCGGGTTCATCGTCCTGGATACGGTTCGCACAGCGACGTTGTTAGGGTTAGACCCAGAATTTTCGAGAGCTTGTTGTTTGGTGGCCTGTTCAACGAGAGCAAAGGTCTGAGTAGCCTTTTCGAGGTCGTCTTCTAGATCAACCGCGAGATCCTCCTGCATTGTCAACTGGTCTCGTTCTTCGCAAACAAGCTGAAGCTCTTTCTCCCAAATCTTTGTCCAGATGGGCTTCTCGCGTTTCAAGAAGTCTTGCATCTTCTTGAGCTCCTTGGTCACGGCGCTGATGTCTCGGCCAACCGCCTCGAGCTGGCGTGGTAGTGGTCTGACTCCACGGGTTACAACGTCCTTACGTAGGTCTTCAACGAGGTCTTGCAAATCATCCACGCGAGCAACCAGCTTCTCGGATTCATCAGCAAGCTCTTTCTTGCCGGCTTGGACGCGAGCGTGACCAGCACCGGAACCACCTTCAAAGGACGGGACGACAGCATCTACTGCCGCAGATTTCACCTGATTTGCCTTCGCTCGGATGGAAGTCATAGCCGACGTGATGTCTGACGTGAAGCTCGAATAGGTTTGTCGAAGAGAAGCAAGGTCATCGCGCAAGCCTTGGATCTCGGCGGCTTTCCCGGCAGAAGGTCTAGAGCCAGAGAGAGCTGACATAGCGCTAGGGGCAGCGAGGCGTGATATTTCCTTGGAAGTCTCCTGCTGGCGGTCGATAAGCCGTTGAATCGAGGTGCCATGTCCGTCGATGACATCACGAACGCTCTCAACTATGCTGCGAATGCCGCCTACACTTTCGTCGAAATGCTTTCTAACTTCATCTAAAACTTCGACGTTTAGCACCAGGACAGACCTGTCCTTTACATCTCTCAAGTCTTCTAATTCATGACGGATGCCGGAAACGGGGTCTTGTATATATATCTCGGGCAGGTCAGCACCGTTGCTGTGGGTATTCCAAGCGAACTTTTCAATGAATGCGAGCTGGAGCCTAGCAATCGTCAGGCCGGAGTATCCTTCTGGGAGAACGTATTTCTTTATTTTGCTCTTGTATTGTAGGAAAAGGGTAAGCTCTTTGCCTGGCGGAGGGGAATGTTCTGGGGTATAGTCCGGTCTATGAGACTGTTGCGGAGTAGAGGGAGAAGGGAGTGGCTTATCGAGATTCCGATAAGCCGAAGCGTGGCCATCGGCAGATGGGTCCCGTTTCTTAGGTTCGTGCGACGCTGAGAACGAGTCCTGTTCAGCAATCTGCGGCAGGCCTCCTGATAACGATGGTCCTCCAGCGGACGGGGCGTCTCTCCCTTCAAACTCTCTCTGAGACCGAAGCTTATCTGTTGGCGTTTTTGCTAAGGGACTACCGGACGCCACGGATTCAACCGTTGGTTCCAGTTTATGAGCTACATCCTGGCCAGCCGGAGAAGCAGTTTTATCCGAAGCGGTGCCGGCAAACCGGTTCCTTGATCTTTGGCGGTCATGCAAGTGGGGTCCCCGTAGGCGGACGGCGTTCATAGATTCGCGCACGTCCTGACCACGGTTCGGGATGGGAGAGTTCTGGGCCGGAGGCAAGACGGGGATGCCGTTGGGAGATCCACCCAGATGCTTCTGGATCTGGTATGCAGAGAATCTTCGGGAAGCACGTCGTTCGAGTTCGCCACTTCTCTGTAGCATGCCTATAGCATCGTTCTGCTTTGAGGTTGGAGGGAGAGGGGGTGGAGGGTGGGGGAAATTATGGATATTGTATGATGGAGATTCAGGCCGTTTAGACTGGCTATCTGAGTCGGTATGTGGCAGCACAACGGGCATGTTCTGCATTGTAAAGCTTGACAAAGAAGATGTCGTAGTTGACGGGGCCAGGGACCGCTGTGTTTCCTGTCTGCCGGCTTCACGTTCAGAAAAGCTACCGCCGGGGCGGTCTCCGGGCCAGGGAGAGGGAGACTTATTCCGAGACGATACCGAGGAGGCCTGGTCTTCATCGTAGGCACCACCGCCTTGGCGATGGCTGCCTACAGTCCGCTTCTGGGGCGATTGTGTGGCCGTGGAGGGAGTGTGCTCTAAGCTCTGCTGGCCAGCTCCGTCTCCGAGCTCAAAGCTTCCCGAGCTCCCCTGTCGAGGCGGTAGCGCTTTACCTTCCTTTGCCTGTCGTGACCGTAGCTTGGCCTGCTTCTTCTTGAGCCCGTGCAGCAAATTGATGATGATGTCTCGTATACGGGGCAGATATCGATCGAGACTCTGAGGCGAAGCTTCCTGGCTGAGCGTATCTTCGAGGATGGTGCGTAGTAGGTCGGGGACAGGGCCCAAGTCTGCAGTGTCCATGCCGATGGCGCCAAAGGCGCGACATGCCAGGTTGAACTCGTACCCGAGACGCACATATACATCAGAGACTTCGGTTTCCTTGGCCTGCTTGCGCGACCACTGCGTCAACATCTCCAGCAGCTGTTTTGTCGCCACTAGCAGGTGGGTGACGCTCTTTTCTATCTGAGATAACTGCTTGTCGGCCTGTTGCATGCAATAAAGAAAGGGGACGAGTGTCAGTCGAGCTCATGCTGAATCAACCCTTGCCTTCCCAGCCACATGAACAGAAGAGACGGATGCGGGAAACTCACATTGCTTCTCGTCGACGAGGCCTTTGAGGTCGAGGACACTCGAGCAGCCTGAGTCGCATCTCCCGAGCCTACGACAGAACCAGCAGACGAAGGCGAGGTCTTGGGATAGTGGCCCAGCTCTGAGCCGGGCGAGCGTCTCGGGGTAGCTCCTCGAGCCATGGAGGAATATGAATCCATCTCTACCAAGGGAGGGAAGAGAGGTATATAAGGGGGTTGACGGGGACGGCTAGAACGGATTCATGGGACCGTACAGAGTGGCAGACAGCGTATCAGGCCTCTTGGTTGTAGTGGTTGGCTTGGTGGTCGATATTTGGTAGTTTTCGATATTGAACGAGGGCGTCAGGCCGCAAAGACCTAGCCTGATGGCGGAAAAAGAAAAGAAGAAAAAAAAGGGTCGGCAGCGCAAGGCGTCTCAGCTGAGCATCACCAACCAGAACAGTCGGTCCGTCTGCCAGAAAGCTGTTGAATCTCCTTTGCTTTCTTGATCTTCTTCTTCTTCTTCTTCTTTTCTGTCTTTCTTGATGTTTCTTTTCGAGGGTTTTTTGTCATCCAATAAAATACAAAGGAGCACGTGACTTGTACTGTCACGTATCAAAGTTACGCCGTACTATTGAATATGCAGCTAGAAGAAAATACACACACTTGATGAAGCCGGTGGAAGACGTGGAGAGATCATGCCATATCTCTCTGCTACTCCGTGTAGCTGTATACATAATATAAATATATAAACATACATGCGTAGTCTGGGTATGGGCAGCGCATGTCTTGGGAGCGTGTATGGTAACGTCACACGCCAGCCTCTCTTCCAACATCTTCAACTTCTCTTTTTTTTCCTTCTTCTAACAAAAAAAATCCCCAACATCAAATCTTCAACTCACACAACACAAACACACACACACACGCAGACAAGCAGACACGCCCAGCAAGTCACGCTTCTTCGCACTCGCAAGCTGTCCTCGTCCTACCTGACAGAGGCTGTTCTGCTTGCTCCGTCGGCCCTGGGAGACCGCTGAGACCGCTGAGACCGCTAATCCGGGCGCTGAAAAACCTGCAGAGATCCAGCTGGGTTTCTCTCTTCCTACACCCGGTGGTGGGCCGTCGTGCCTTTTCGCCCGCTGCTGCTTTGCTGCTTTGCTGCTGCTGGAGCTGCCGGAAGCTCTGCTCGAGCTGCTGGTCGAGCGCTAAACGTCTAGTTCTCAAAAACACTCGCTACTGAGGCATGGCGTCTGCTGTCAACTCTCTACCCTCGAATGGAGCTGGAGCCACGCCGCTGAACTCCTCCGTTTCGCCAAATACGATGGCTTCTAGAGCTGCCGGTCGTCCTTCTTCCGGTGTCAAGGGAGCAGATGTCAGTCGTCGTCAGTCAGGGAGCCCCGTCGACGGTGGTCAGAGGTGCGTATTTTCCTGTCTCTCTCTTGATACACGGGGGCTCTATTTTTCCCTTTTATACACGTCTATTTTTTTTTTTTTCTTTCGACGGCACTTGTTCCGTTTCACAGTAAATTTCCATGGTTGATGCTGTCTTGACATGGAACTCGTTTTTTTCGAGATTGCTGGCTGGCCTGTACTTACGATTATCCGCAGACGCCCCAGTTCCCAGAAAGCATGGACGCAGAACATCAACCCTGCTACCCAGAAGCCATCCAGTCCGTATCCACAGCAGAATGGAACTGCATCAAGGAAGTCTGCCATGTCTCCCAGCCCTGCCTCCAACAAGGAGTCGTCCACTCCCGACCAACACGCACACGACCGGCTTATCTTCCTTCTCACAGCCGCCATCGTACGTATCCTCCCAAGCCAAACAACTCACATGCCCAAACTAGCTAACCGGCCCCCCAGGGGAGCAATGTGTTCCTCACCATGAAAGATGGCGAGAAATTCACCGGAATCTTCTCCGGCTCTACGCTAGAGTCTAATGAAACCATAATAATCCTTAAGATGGCCCGCCACCCCCCGTCAGACTCTGAAGCCGCATCGACACAGTCGAATGGTGTCAGCCAAACTAAATCCCCCTATCTTGGCTCCGGCCCAGACCATCAATTGATGATCTATGTCCAAGATATCACCTGCTTAGATATCCCATCACTATCAACTTCAGGCGTAGCAGCCAAGGAGCAGAACGGTGTGTTTTCCCTCCAAGGCCAGAGTTAACTCATCTCGTGCTAAAACAATTGACCAGGACCTTCATCCGGCTTCCGGACCGACACCGATATTTCTGGAAACCAGCCAGGCCGTGAAAGGCAGCTGCAACGCTGGGAACCAAGTGGAACAGACGCAACCATTGAATGGGCTCCGGAGTCAGAGAACACTGGAGCAGGATGGGATCAGTTCGAAACCAATGCTCGACTCTTCGGCGCCACATCGAGCTATGACGAGAACATATACACCACTCGTATCGATCGGTCCGACCCATCTTACAAGCATAAGGAAGCCGAGGCTGCCAGGATTGCTCGGGAGATTGAATCTTCCAACACCGATAATGTGCACATGCGTGAGGAACGGGGCCATGTCCAACATGACGATATCGATGAAGAAGCGAAATATAGTGGTGTGAGACGTGACGCATCGGCTGTTGCTCCCTTGCCTTCAGGACAGCCTAACAAATATATGCCCCCGGCCAGACGACCACCTACCGGCCAGCCAACTGTGCCTGGTGCTCCAGTCGACCCTGCCATTATTTCTGCCCAGGTTGCTCGCCCTGACAGCCAAACCAAAGCGCCATCTCAGCCCAAGGAGACTCCTGCAGCGCCCTCCAGTAAGGGGCCACAGGAGAAGGCTCCCACTGCTCCCACTGCTCCCACTGCTCCCAAGTCTACCGAGGCTCTGAAATCCGTCGCAAGTAATGGTGCAATAGATGCCGAACGTAAAGTAGCTGCAGCTGGTTCTTCCCAGGCGTCGTCTACTTCGTCCGCTCCACGAACGGGCGGCGAAAATGCTGCCTCTAATGTTGAAACCGAAGTACTTGATCATTTCCGACGATTTGCTAACGACGAGAAGATGAAACTCCAAGAGCGACGACGCAACCAGGCATCATATGACCGGACGATCAAACTTAATGAGCTCATGAAATTTTCTAAGAACTTCAAACTAGGTACCCCCGTCCCTAAGGATTTGGTACCCATCCTAGCCAAGGATCCTAGCAAGCAGGAGGAGATTATCGAGCGTGCGAAGAAACAGCATGAAGAAAAGAATGCTGCTGTGCCAACTAAACCAACCGCTGCTACCCCCACTGCCTCTAATGCAGCTAGCGCGGAAACGAAGCCAGCTTCTCGTAACGCAGGAGCTTCTCGCTATGAGGGCGGAAATGGTCTCCCTGGAGCTATTCCTGACCGACAAGGGAGTTATGGACGTGGCCGTCAAGTTTATCCTCCCATGGGTCCCCACGCTGGACGTCAGCTTCAGCATCCGGGAGGCCATCCAGGACGCGCTGGGCCAGGCTTACTTAGTCACCGGTTAGTCGAGATCCAGCAGCAACGCAAAGGCTCAAATATAGGGCCTGTTCCAACACCTTTACCCGCACAAGACGCCCGTGTGCAACCAACTGGCCCGACAGGAGATCAAGGACCAAGCAACGGCCCTCCAAAAGCGGCCCACACTCCTACTTCTTCATCCGCGTCCACCAAATTCAATGTTCGCGCTATGGAATTCAAACCGAACCCAGCCGCAAGCACATTTACCCCTGCTGGGACCTCAGGTGGTCCATCCGCTACTGCTGCCGTAAACGCTCGGCCTCAGTCTGTTCCACGAGCTACAAGCCCTACGGCCTTCTTTGGCTCCAATAAACCATTACCTGCTTCCGAAAGACCCTTAATCGTGAATAGCTTCAACCCCGTAAAGCGGATGAAGAAAGAAATTACTGAGGCAGGATCCAAGGACTATGCCTTTAATGGAGGCATTCCACCGGCCTACAGAACCGCTCCCACCTGGGATGTCTCTCCTATCAATGAGAAGAAGACGTACGCGGACATGTTCAAACCTCCGGTCACCACTGCATCCGCTTCACCACAGTCTCGATCTTCAAACACCCAAATGCCACACCAGCAGCAATTGCCATATCATCTTCCGCACACTGGCCACAACCTTCCGCCAAACAGCGGACCTCCCACCCATCTTATCCCTCCACAGCAGCCACACGCTGCCCCAATGCATTACGACGATCATCATCGTATGCAAATGTCTGCATCGTCTTCACAGGTTTTCCCTTCTCCACGACTGCAGCACAGTACTCCGATGGCTTACCAACACTCCGTTGGCCCTCATAACCAGATGGCCATGGGCCATGGTGTACCTCCATACTACCCACAACCCGGCCATGTGCGCCATTACCCCAATGGACCGCAATTTTCTAACCCTCCTAACGGTGGTGCTCCGATGATGGCCCATCAGGCCTCAAACGGGCCTTATATGAATATGCCACCACAAAGCATAACTCCGTATAATCCTCCAATGCAGATGTTCTCCCCAAACCCTGGCCACGTTTACCCGCAGCACGTACCCCCAATGCAGACACATAGTGGATACCCAAGCCCTAGCCGCGGTGCGCCAATGATGATGCACCAAGGCTCTCAGCAAGGACCTCCTCCTCAACCAATGATGGCCATGAATGGACAGCCAGGACAAAGCTACTATCCCCCTCAGCAGCCGAACCACATGCCACCAATACGTCCTGGTCACCACCAGCAGCACCCTCACTTTGCCTCCAGTCCCCATCAAGCACACAATTACCCGCATCACCAGTACCGCAACCAAAATCAAAACAACAATAATAATTTTACGCAAATACCGCATGGGCCTCCACCACCTATGCAACCACAAGCCGGCCCACCACCTACCGCTGCCCCAGGTTCACATCCAACCGAAGCTCCTGAAGAAGTGAAGTGAAATGAAAGCTGCCTGTCGACTCTGTTTTGAACTTGAGGCTTAAAATCTGACGCTCTAACACACCGCACTTGTTATTGGTGTGACTTCCCAGCTCCTACACCCGGCCAACTCTGGTTCGTGGCAAGTGAAATATGAACAACTTGATTTCTATCCTTTCCTTTTACGCCTTAAGTATATGTATGGCCATTCAGTCCCGCCGTCAACCAACCGGTCGTAGTCGCTTACTGCCCACTTGTACCGTACCTATCACCATTTTCCGGACTACAACAATTGAAACAAAGGGCATATTTAAGTGGCACATCCGCTCATGATGGCTTGTACTATCGTCTTCACAGGTATGTACACTATCTTCTTGTACCTCAACTGGCTCCAATACACTAATGTATCCGAACAGCTATCTGTGGACATTCCAGATTTATTAAATATGGAGAGAACCGGAGAAGACAGATGCTTGATATTTTGTACCGCTGTTGCATGCCTCAACAACCTGCTGTGATCAACAGACAAGCCCGCTCCGGCCACCACTATACACGTATGCGTACATGACTTACGCCACTTTGTGAAATGCTTTCTACCATGATCAATCTCTTAGTCGGAAATCGATCGTGTATTGAAGCCAGTCCAGACGTCAAAATGGCTTAGCTATAGCCTCAATCGCTCGCATTCAACAACAGGTATCATTTGCCCAGCCTGGGTATCATGCCAAACTACCAAACAGTTATACAGTTATAAGGAGGAAAGGAGTGTTTACAGGGGAAGGCGAAGAGGGATTTCCGGTATTTCTTTGTTTCTTTCCGTTTTCATTTAACTTTCGTTGTTTCCTATCGTGACATGACCCTCCAGGAGATCGGATTTCAAGTTGTTTAAGGCGGAGATGGTGTGGAATTGAAGGTTGCTCGAACAGACAAAGTGAAAGAAATGAAGCAAGTAACGACAAAGTGGGATGAAGTGGGAGTTCACTATTTACTTTTGGGATTATTCATATTCAGATTATACGAATTGACTCGATAAGGGGAAGTACTTTTATTGAATGGTCATGTCCTTGCGTTTATCCATGATCCCCTCAGTATACAACTTAATCCATCATAAAACAGTTCATAAGAAATGCCAGAGCAGGTGTATCATCCTATCGAGAAAATTTGCGTTAGCCATTGTCAAGAAAAGACCCGAACATATGGGATAGTTGGGCAATAAAGACGTATAAAGTATAAATCTCCTCAGGTCTTTTCAGTCTTAATTTGCACATCATTCTTGCAAAGACAGGGCTGTCTGCTATCTGGTAAGACTTTGAAGGCGTGAATACAGGAGATATTAAAGCAAGACTAAAAATCCAGCTCAAACCAGAGCGTTTCCTCTAGACACGGCTTCCACAGTCCCAGATAACCGAGAGCAGCAGTCCGAACCCAGAGACAGACCAAGGGCCAAACTTCAGCTGCAAGAGTGTATGTGAACGATGTCATTGTGAAGGGGGATAAATCCCTCTCCCTGTCAACCACTGCCATTAGCCCCTGTGTCCTCATGGGGCAAAGCGGAACAAGGGCTCCAGATAGCGGTAATATTAATGTATGCATTTAGCACCGCACTCAGGAACGGAAGTCTTTGGATTGCAGCTGGGGAGATCAGGTTTCATGAACGCTCCCTTGAAATAT